GGTCCCTGGGTAGGGAGTACCTTAACCCGAACGCCTATGCCTCCATCCCCCAAAGTATGCCGAATGGTCTACAGTATGATGGAGAGACCGATCGGTAAGTCCAATGGTTCTGGATCCTATCGATTGATGCCTCACAACGACTCCCATCCGCTGGGTTCGCTGCCCATCTCGCTCCCTCCATTCCTCATCTGTCATGCATTCCCCGATGCAAGGGAACATCAACGCTTTCTACTCTTCCCCCCCTTTTTTTTTTTTTCTGGGTCTATCTGTCTGTCCAGAACCCCCATCCCACTGGTGACATTCTATTCTATCTGTACTTTCATGTTCTTCGTTTTTTTTTTTTTTTTTTTTTTTTTTTTTTTTTTTTTTTTTTTTTTTTTTTGGGATTCGGGGAAATGCAAGCCGGTATGGTCGTTGTTCTGGTTGAATCCGGTATTTTTGTACCGGTGCGTTAAACATGGGGATGTCGGTGTTGTGTTGATTGGAATTTTCCTCCTTCTAGGCCCTCCTGAAAACTGATACAACTCCAGATCCGTCGATCCAAACCTCTGATCCCTCCTAGACGCAAAATCGATCGTCCAGCACTTGCTAAGCTTATTCTTTGCTCCACCATACAGGGAAAGCACCTCAGCAGTTTTCCCTGCTGGGTCAGGGTGGCCGATCGTCCAGGAATGCGCTCCACATGTCTATCCCACCCCTAGCCTCCAATGCCCTGTAGAATTGCTTTTTCTCTGCTCTCTCACTTCGTTTCGTCTGCATGGAGAATTATCGTTCTCGATATTTTGGAACCTACGGAGCGTCAAGCATCAACCCGTTTGCCTCCGTACTATGCTCATGATATGTCTAGTTAGTAGGAAAGTCTTGAAGTCATCATGTTACCAAAAAAGAAAGAGATGTCGAGATAAAATTCTAGGATGGTTCCGGTTCATCAGGAGACCATGCAGCTGATTATTGGCAAGATTATTGTCATGGATGACCGATATAAAGACATGGGGACGTAATAAAAAATTAGAACCAAAGAAAGAAAAAAACCATCCCGAGATAGCTCGCAATCATAAAGATGAAGGAAACGGAGTATGCTTCATCCGGTCACCGTTCCATCCCACTAAAACCGAATAAGCTGGACCTTGACCGTGGGTGCGGCCGAAAGGTGGGAACGCGCTGGGACTTGGGCCTCTGGCGAGCCCTGTCAACCACGTTGCCGTTGATCAGTCCGTTTGGGTTGTTGTGGACGGCGCCTGAGCTGATCTTTCTCCTGAGAATGGAAATTAATTTATTCTTCGTCGTTTCCCTCCCCTAGGTACTATTGCCATATGGGGAAGATGGGGAGTCTATCGGAGGCGAGGCTATAAATAATAATTATTAATTTGTCTGATAATCCCGTTTATTTTTGCTTTGTTGCACCTGATTGATCCATCATCTTTTGCCTCTTCCTGTTTGATTTGGGATTCTACTCCGTACAGATCGCGGAGTCTTATTACTGTCGGCACTTCTTTTCCTCGAGGGGGTTTGACATCCTCTGATTCTTCTTCTTCTTCCCTCGGTTCCCTTGGGTTTGGTGACTATTTGTTTTCCCTGGTAATTGGCCATGGGTTAATCCCAGGAAATTTTCGAACGAAAATATTTCTTTGAAATTTGGTTGGTCCGAATGCTCATTCTTCTTGACTAGATCCCGACTAGCTCCTGGAGTCTCTTGTCTGGCTGGGGGTGTGTGTCTGTTTTTTTTTCTTTTTTTTTTTTTTTTGTCTTTCTTTCTTTCTTTCTTTCTTTTTTTTTTCTTGTCATTTATTTTTCTGCCTCCCTCTCCGGTAAGTCATTTTTTATTTTTTATTTCATTTTCTATTTTCCCTTTCATTTCTGGATTTTTAAATTATTAGTTGACTGAATTTTCTACATCGGTTCTAGCTCCATAGTCGCACCCATTCTATTTTATTTTATTTTCCTTACCCTTGGTATTTTACTCCCACATCCGACCACGACTCTCAACCCCCGCGCTGGCCAGACCCAGCGCTGGACTGGTCTGGATACGTCTCCATTCCCGGCTGGTTTTGGTTTTTTGGCCCTTCAGTCGCCTCAATCCATCATTGACTGCCTGATACTCCCGGCCTATACAAATATCCATACACGTTAAGGGAAAAATTAAAAATAAGACAAAAAAATAAAACTGACCTAATAATCCCACACTTATTCGCTCCGGCGCCTTTTCTTTTCTCTCGATCTTGTCACCGCAACCACCACCGCATCTTATTTTGTTTCTGCCTCTCACTTCTTCCCTTGGCCATCTATCTATCTATCTCTATTTATCGATCGAATCTATTGTCTCTCTTCCCCCTGTGATTCTTTCTGCTACTATTACCAGCCATCATCATCCATCACTGAGTCGTGCTCCAAAGGACTGGTTTTGTATCCACTCTTGTTTCGGCTGTCATCAATTGGTCTGGTGGATTGTCCGCGGTGTTGTTTTGGTTATCTGCCTTTTGATTCCATCGCACGGTCGGTCTATTGAACAGGGAAATGTCATCATTTTGACCTACGCATATCAAATCTTGACCTCATCATTCCTTGGTTGGGCTCATCGTTTCGCCGTTGTTCGTTTTGTACATCGCCTGGGATATGTCACCCGACTGACAGCAACCACCAACGAAAGTCTCGTTTGACACCCGAACCTCGAGGAAACGCACGTCTGCTGCACTCGCCATATCGAAGACGATTGATTTGGAATATCCAAGGATCCCGCGGAAAGAGTTCGAGTGATTAGAAGAACGAAATCCTCCGTCAGCACTCTTTTCTTCGTTTTCACCTGCGTCCGACCTAGCATCATCTCTCTCATCCCCTACCCATCTCCTCCCCTACCCATCTCCTCTACTTCTCTCCCCCGCTAGATCGCTCTTATCGCGATCATTGCCCCTCCTGGATCCTCCAGATATCACTGGGGGCCTGTCTGGCAATCGATACTGGACGCTAGGCGGCGGCGACACCGTCACTTTTCCTACCGGACAACTCGCAACTACTCTGACCACCCCGCCACCTGTGGAAGCGGGCGATCTCTTTCAATCTTTAGCATTTTCTCGAGATAACTCAGTCACGCTGGCGGCCCTTGCGATCCCTCCCTCTGGCATGGGGACGGCGCTCGATGCGCTGACCACCCCTCAGCCGCCATTGAACACGCGCAGACCCGCCGCTTCGTCTCTCCCCAACTTTGAACTTCCGCCACCAAACTTGCACATTGCAACGACCGGGTTGAGACTCCCTACGCATTCCTCGAATCCTCATAATCCTACCAATCCCAGTGTCAGCAATCTCCTCACTCCACCGGCATCCACACAATCGGTTGACACTCCAGCCCCGACGAGCACATCCTCGCTACCTACTACGGCGACGGCGACAACGGCAACCGCAGCAGCAACCACCGTCTCAGCTTCCCCGGATTTGGTTTCAACGTATGCGCCGAGCTACTGGCAAGGCCAGAGTTCGTACGGAGCTGCTTCGTCCACACCGCGGCAGTCGTGGAACAATCCCGCTTCCTACCCAACTCGAGACACTTTTTCTCCATCCTTGAATCCTTTGAGCCGAAACCCCGCTACGTCGCCCCCAGGTAGCGACGCCATCTCCCCATCGTACGATATGAACCAGTTACCCCCATTTCAGCAACCACTCTCAGTCCCTTCCGTCGGCAGCATTCCCTCCGCAAACCCTAACCATCAGCACCCGCATCATCAGCATCATCACGCCATGGCACATGCGATGCTTACGGCGCAGAATGCGCTCCCTAACCCGGCCTCTGCGCCGCCTCCTCTTCCATCCAACGATTACATGGCCAAATCCTCGTCCGCCCCGGCATATGGCGGGCTTCAGCAGTTGTCCAGCCCTCCAGCGGGATATTCACCCTACGGTGGACAACCAGGAATGGGCATTCACCCCCCGGGACGAGTCGCTTCTAACCCACATCCGTCTCCTCACCACCATCTTGGATATCATCCGCGACAGCCTTGGCCATCGTACTCGCTTCCCGCCATGAACGGGCCCGTGATGACCAACGTTCACAACCCGGGCAGTCAGATGTCGCTTCTAGGCGGTCTTCAACCGGGGATCTTACCAGGATTCAACAGCGGTCATCTGGCCAGCATGCAGCAGATCTATGGGGGCCACCCGCCGCACCCCGGACATGCACCCGGACCCACCAACGACCGGCCGTTCAAATGTGACGAGTGCCCTCAGAGCTTCAACCGGAACCATGACTTGAAACGCCATAAGCGGATTCATCTGGCGGTGAAGCCATTCCCGTGCACGCATTGCGATAAGAGTTTCTCCCGCAAGGATGCACTGAAGGTGAGCTTTCAGCCAGGATTGCCTAGTATACAGAGAGACTAACGTGCGTTAGCGACATATTCTGGTCAAAGGCTGCGGCAAGGAGGGAGCCTCGGACACCTCTGCTAAGCAAGAGCGGAGCGCTGTCAAAGAAGAAGATAGGGATTTGGAGTCCAACGGTCACGGTTGAATCGTTTGGAGTCAAGTGATTACCAGGAGTTCTTATTAGCACATCGGCGTTACATATTGGTTCCTACCCCTTCTACCTCGCTGGGAAACGGTGTTTATCTTGGATGCGTCAAGGCTTTGTATTGTGAGTGTTCTTTTGGCCCTGATTTGATATTTCCTCCGCCTACTGTATGTTCGATGAGTTTGTCACTGCCACTGTATTGTGCTTGAATTTGGGCGGTTTTTCCTACGGCGGTTCGGTTCTCTTTTCCCCTTTTTCCCTCCCTTCTCTCTGTGATTCGAATTCTTGCGCGGATGGTATCAAGCGAATGGACCAAGCTGGATGTTATTGTACTCGTATGTTATGTATGTAGAAGGGCGTTGTGACGGAAATGGTACGTTATCTGGAATGTGATTTTTATCTAGGATTGAAAAGAAACAACTTGATTATTACGATACGATCTGATATCTAGACTATCTAGATAATCTACAGAACCATCCTTCCTAGCTGTGGCTGATCATGATTATTGTCTCCCAGACATAAACTCACCCACCAGTCCCTGATAATCCTCCATCCCATACGGCTCCAACCACTTCAACCCACCCTGCTTCCGACCAATATCCAATCCCAGATCCCCCAGCAATAGATCCACATACGGCAGCGCATCGAACACGAAATCCGGGTTCCGTTTCCCAAATCCCCCGGGGTACCGATGCACGCCGAACTGGCTATGCAGTGCCGTCTCCCAGAGGAGATCCACGTCCGTCGCCTCGTTGACTGTGCCCTTGTCGTGTAACTCGGCTCGCAGGTCCTCGGGACATCGCTCGCGAGGCGTCAACGCCATGAAGTCCCCGAAGTATGCTGCGATCCACAGTGCTTGCGCTTGCGCTACCATCGTCGTGTTGATCGTCATCGTTAACCCCATGAATGCGATCGACCGGGACGCTGCTAGTGCTGGGGGCACCATGAATCGGTACAGTCGGAACGGGTGGCGTGCTGTGGCGGGCGCCCCTGGCGCTAGGGGCTTGTAGGATGAGGGTAGAGATGGCTGATCGATGAGTCGGGGGAAGCGGGTGAGGATCTCGCTGTCTGCGGCTGAGACCATCGGTTTGGGGATGGGGTCCTCGGACCAGGGGAAGCCCAGTGCGAGGTCTGGGTGGGGAAGCCACTCGGATGCCTGGAAGTTCAGGTTCGGCGTCGCTTGCCAGCCCGTGCAGCTGATCAGGGCGTCGGAGGGGAGGACGAGGGATTCGGTGTCGGAGACTTTGCTTTCATCACTGTCCCCGTTCTTGTCAAGGAGATGAACCAAATGCACCGCACGCTCCGATAAATGGCTAATCTGGTTAACGTGCACCTGCACGCGACCACCCGTCACCAAGTCGAAGAAATTCGTCGGATAGTTCAAGATACTCAACCCGGAGGCCACCCAGAACGGACTCACCCAGGGCTTGAGTTTTCGTGTCTCCGGGTGCGCATCGTAGCGATTCAACTTCACCACGTCGTCGCCGAGGATGAACCAGAATGCGTCAGTGATCTTCCGACCCAGCCACGTCCCGTGCAGGAGGTGACGGATCCCCGTGTTCGCGGGACCCCAGATACACGGACTGAACCAGGTCAATAGGCGCGTCGTCACGAGCTTCTCGAGCCACTTCTTCAATGGCGTCACGTACGGCGGCGCCATCCACACCGGCCCGTGGCCGTTCGAGCGGATGATCCAGTCCACGTGTGCGCCGGCCGATGCGGCGGCGTACACGGCGTCCCAGGCGGATTTTGTGCCGCCGAAGACGGTGACGCGGGCGTTTGGTTGGAAGATGCGGTCTTGGTGGAGGGGGAGATCGCGACAGTGCAGGAGCGGCGCGGCGTAGGTGTCTTGGCCTTCGTAGGTGGGTAGGTAGGACTGCGAGGTGATGCCCGTGCAGACGATCAGTTTGCGGGTGTGGATTGTCTGGTTTGGCTTTTCAACCTCCTTCTCCTCTGTCTTCGTCGCAAAGATATCTGTAGACTCGACCGTCTCCAAAACCCACCCTCCTTCATTCCCTTGATCATCACCACGAACAGACTCAACCCGAACCCCCAACCGAATCATCTCTTTAAGGTTAAACCTCTCTACAAAAGCCTCCATATACCTCTGCACCACAGCCCCCGGAATATGTTCCCCATCCTTCACGCCAAACGTCTCCTCATCCATCGGAAAATCGCTGAACTCATATGTTCCCCGCATATTGTTCGATTTCAGACCCGCGTAGAGCCGATGTTTTGCCCATACGCCGCCGATCGAGGATGCCGTTTCTAGAAGCTCGATGCGCGCGTTGGGGTGTACTTCATGGTAGGTTTTCAGCGCGGAGAGACCGCTCCATCCTTTGGCATTTTGTTAATTTGGGTAGTTTGAAGGTGTGGTTTGGGAGTGGGGGAAAAGGTACCTGCGCCGATTATTACGACGTCGATGGGGTCTGCTGAGGTCATTCTGGTGGTGGTGGTGGTGAATTGACACCGGGTAGATATAGATTGTTTCGGTGGAATGGAATGCAGGTGTCGTGGGAGGAACTAAAGTAGATAAATCGAAAGAAGGAAATACACGAGTACAGTAGACGTGACTCGTTCGGTGCGATGCGTTCACTGGTGAAAACCAACCCAACGGAGTCGACTCAGACAGAACACCTCCTTATGCGGAGGGTTTCAAAAGTCCTTTCAAATCCGACTGAGTCGGTTAAACAAAATCGAGCAATACGAAGTACGCAAATAAGTCCAGACAGACCTCGACGCGAATCAAAAAAGCAAAAATAAACGAAACAAGCAAGCAGGTGAACCAGAGGCTTAAGAAAAAGCAAAAGCAGAAAAAAAAAAAAAAGAAAAAAAAGAAAAACAGACCCCAAAGTCAATAAAAGATCGCCGGTGAAATCAAGATCATCCCTAGAGGTGCCGATCTCGGGAATAAATAGATATGCAAGTCGACCATTATGGATATGGATTGATTGAGGGGGGAAGGAATAGCGGTAGGCGAGAGGAGGGACGCTAAGCAAGTGAAATATGGAGTAGATATTCCTTTAGTGGTCTATTTCTTGCATGGTTCCAGTTTATAGACTCCTCTAGTTATCTGGGCTGGTTGATTTTCATTTATAAAGTGCACTTTAGCCGACATTATTCGACAGGATTCTACCTAATCTGTAACTACAGATACAGAGAAAATGAACTAACACTGACGTGGCTTATGGGAATCACTAGGGACACAACAGCTTTTACTACTGACACAACAAATTATGTAACACCCGTATTATATAATCAATTTGCCCACCACCGTTACCATACATTACCGCAGCAACTGCATTACTTACTACTATAGCAACTACATTCTATCTACTACTACTATAAGAACTACGCTCTCTTCTAATTGATCTTCCTCTATTATAAATTCCATGCCTCTTAATTATATACAGCCTGTTATACCTTACAGGAACGGATGTTATGACCAATTTCCCCACAATTTGAGCGCTTTGATTGCGCTTTCTGATTTATGACGGTGACGCTATAGTCTGGTGATTTGTTGCTTTGAGATGATGTGTTATCTTGGTTTGATTTCCTTGGCGGCGGCGGTGGTAATAGAGGATCAAGTATTGGCAGATACTCTGATAGCTCATTACCAAGGCCAAGCCTCCAAAATTGATGGATATCGCTCAGTTGAATTGGCTGGTGCTTTGACAATGAGCTAGCAATTCGGTGAGCACATGGAAGGCCCATTGTCCTAGTGAATATATTAGTACAGTAAGATAAAGGTGCTTCGGGGGTAGCTCTCTTAGCTATAGTAGCTTGATTAGAGATCAAAGATATTGAATGTCGTGATGTTCGCTTTGTAATATTCGAATGGAGAAAGTGGGAGCAGAAATTTAGCGTTTTAATACGATCTTCTGCTAGATCAGATAAAAGGGTATAGTATTGATCCTGTAAAGCATTATTAATTCGTTCAAAAACAAAGAGAATATCACCTGTTGATGCTCCTATATACTGTTTCAAAATAGCATGAGAGCCTTCTACTCGTGAGGTTGCCCAATTACCAAGATGAAGTTGTCTTATCCAAGCCCTAATAAACATCTCTTTATAGGCCAGCCAAGTTTCTTTCACATATCGAAGAGCAGCAGGAGCAAGACTAAATCTAGTCTCAAACTTAGCTATTTGATTATTATATTCAACGATAGTTGATGAATTAATAAGCTCTTTCCATGAGTTAATAAATGCCTCAAACTCCTCATTTGAAGAGAAATGTTGCTTTGTCTTTGCAAGCACATTCTTATTAATATACCAAATGCATAGTAAATGTGGACTTGTGGGGCAGATAGATTTAATTGCGCCTACTAAAGCATGATCTCTGTCAGTGCAAAGAACTGGGGAAAGGGTAAGGGGTCAAGCCATGAGAAAAAGGTCTGTAGAGTCCATTTATAGCTTTCTTCCTGCTCATTTTGCATAAAGCAGAAAGCAATACTATAGGATGAATTTGATGGTGAGAGGCCAATAATATGTAAAAGAGGCATCTTGTATCGATTTGTCTTATAGGTACAGTCTAATAGAAAGACCCTATTGTATTGATTAGCATGTCTAATTGATTCAGGGCAAGCAAACATAAAGAAAAGGATATGGCCTTCAGTGTCCTGCTTAAATGCATATCTCCAATTATTATTTCGAAGTGTTTCTCTTAGGAATTCAAGAGGTGTATAATTGCCGAGTTTCTTCCGTCTTAATTCGTCGCGAATGTTATAGAGATCGTGCGGTTTAATCAAGGTAGTAGGTTGATCTGCTCGTAGGAGGCTAATAATATTCCGTGGCTTTGATCCAATGTCTGACAGATGCTTAATAGTATCGTTTTGATCTTTTGTTAATTGCCGACGTCGTGCTAGAGAATGCCTTATCATATTATCATCAGGTTCATGGTTATGGGTAGGATCCCTGACCTGAATCTGCCATTGATTATTAGCCAGTTTTTTTCTATAGAGACTAAAGGGACATCCGATTCGCTTCGTGCTAGTTTTCCGGCGTTTTGCCCCATCAGGAGCATTGATTCTATCGTGGTAGATACCGCCTCTATCGCAACCAAGGGTGATGTTCCTGGTTGGATTCAATGATATAGTAGTGATAGCATAGCCATGAGACAAGACATGTTGTTGTATAGAAGAAAGCAGTTGCTCTCTGGTTTCAAAAACCTGCTCACTTGGTGGCTCCATGATGAGATAAAGATCAATTGGATGAAGGAAGATCAATTAGAAGAGAGCGTGGTTCCGCGGTTCGGTGGTTGATTACGTTATATAATACGGGTGTTACATAATTTGTTGTGTCAGTAGTAAAAGCTGTTGTGTCCCTAGTGATTCCCGTGGCTTATTGGTTCTTATTTCAACAGACGAGAATGTTCTGTTCACCGCATCGACCACATTCCATCCCTTGATCCACGCGGTTTTATTCATTCGGAGCGAAAAAGGATGGTGGCACTAGAGAGGCTAGGGCTTCCTAGTGTCAACCAACGGTTGGGACGGTGGAGTCGATAGCTGGACATGACAGGCAATAATATTTGCATCCATTATTAATATGTAATAGCAAGCCAATTATCAAACTTGTGGAGATTGGACTGGGTCGGGGGTTCCGGGTTCGGCTCCCATACTCCGCCGACATATCGCGACTGAGCGTTTGGGAGGGCCTCGGGGCTGTACTTTGGGTTTGGTTCTGTGTTTCAACTTTCAACTTTCAGATGTGGAGAGCGAAGGTGGATTCAAGTGATTGTGTCGGCTTGTCGGACCGTTTGGTTTGACAGCTGAGCTTTCGGGGTGATCCATGGTTTGCTCGGAGGTTATTTGATATTTCTCGGGTTGAGTATGTTTAGTATTCGTGAAGTATACTCGCTGTACTACGTACTTCGTATCGTACACTCCATGGTTTTGAGGTGACAGGTGATGAGCGGACAATGTGATGCATGTTATTGCTGATTACGTGGTAGGTGTATCTTTTCTTATTCCTTGCCCGTCAATCATGACTGCTCGACTCCTGCATACTTGCGACGTGCTTGCGACGCATCAACCCCTTGACAGCAAGTTCGTTGCCTTCTAAGCGAGCTTTTTTCTTTTCTCCCGGAAGAGGAAAAAATCGGCAGTTCGGAAGCCTGACATTTCTCCAGTCTCCACTATAATCCAGCCACTTCGACCAAGCATGCCGATCGTTCTCCCTCCTGCAGTGATGACGGACGAGCCCTATCACGTCCTTTTTTCTTCAGGGGAACAAATGGAACCGCAGTCACTATTTAGTATTTAGTTTTAATAATCTAATCACAGACTATTAGGATAGGCTTTCTTGGCCCTGTCGGCATTCGCAATTTCAACGACAGCGACCCAGTCCCAACGGCATGGGTGATGGATATGGAATATGGATCCTTACGGAGTAGGTACCGGCGTCCCGACTGCCGGTGCAGTGGGGACTGGTTCATCAACTTCCGTGCTAACTGCCGTGTAGTAGTCTAGCTTGACTGCTTGAACTCTTCGGAACTGGTTCCTGTTCGTTGTGCTTGGTTTCCGAGGGTTGCCTGTCTGTCTTGACCTGACAGGAGAAGTGGGGATGGTTCTACGGAGTACTATTGCTTTTAGTAACTGTGATTGCTATTCCTGTCACTTGGCGTGTGATTGGCATTAAACGGTCGCGTAGGGATTGCACTTGAAGACCTAGTGTGCAGACTGCAGAATGCAAATTGATCCTCGACGGGAGGACACTCCGGCATATCCGGTCGACCGGGTTGGTTTTATGTATCTTGTATATCTCTTGAGATAGATAAACAGACTAGTTGATGCATCACAATTTACAGACTACCAAGGCGGGTTATAAATCCCCCACGTCCTTTTCCGTCTTCTTTCCTTCGCTGGTTTTATTCTTTTTTTCTTCTTCTCTTCCTTTTCTTTTCCTTTTTGGGCCGCCGATTGGGTCATGTCATGATTGCTAAGACATTGATCTATGTTTTGTGCTTGGGTTTGAGTTCAGATTATTTTCAATGATTTGATTTGATATACTTGAATCTGTGAAAAGGGAATCGACGATATGGCTGCCACCGATGACTTCACGATAGAGGCTTTTACGCTGTTAGGACTTGCCATTGTCACGATCGTCGTGCGCGTCATTGCCCGTTATCTCACTGTCGGGTTGAAAAACTTCCAATTCGATGATTATTTGATGCCGGTGGCTGGGGTGAGTTTGCAGTTTTTTCCTTCGCCAACTTCAATATATATTTTCAGATGTATATTATATTTGTTTTAGCCCTACTGATAAAGTCATATGTTAGATAGTCTACAGCTTCGAAACCGCCGCTGCCTACTGCGTCGGTGCCTGGTGGCAAGGCCTCGCCAACAACTCCATGACAGATCACCAACGCATGACCCTCGATCCAGCCTCGGAGGAATATCGGCTACGAGTCGGCGGTAGCAAGACGCAGGTCGTGGGCTGGAGTCTCTACACGACGTTACTATGGTTGTTGAAGACCTGTATGGCGATGTTCTTTTCCCGAGTGACGTATGCCAATTATTGCACTGCCCTTTTTCCTCAAGCATACCTTCGCTATTTTGCAATGCTGATACACCAGGATGATAACAGAGCCGGCCTCGTCAATATGACTATCCGAATCCGTCTCGCATACCTCTTCATCGCTGCGACTTATATCGCGGTCATCTGCTCCATCTTGTTTGGATGTCATCCTATAAGCAAGAATTGGCAGATTTATCCCGATCCGGGGAATTATTGTCAGCCGGCGGTTTCGCATATTGATGTTTATGTGACGGTTACGTTGAATGTTGCGACGGATGTTTATTTGATTTCGATTCCTACGCCGGTATGTTCTGCGAGCTGCTATCTGGTTTTCTATACTTGTCTCCTGGATGAAGGCGAATATATTACCTCCAGTTCTAGCTCTAATCGAGGAATCCAAACAAACTAGATGTTATTCAAAGCGCGTCTCCCCTGGCGCGAGAAACTCGAACTTCTCGTTCTCTTCAGTGGCGGAATCTTCGTCATGGCGGCAGGAATCTTACGATGCGTGTTGATCGTCACGGTATACCACCATCCCCTCCCCTCATCCAACAAACACATCTATATAGCAATCAAACTAACCCGACTTTTCTCAAAACTCACAGGCCGGAGCCAACGGCGCCTCACAAGCCGGCAGCTGGGCCTGCCGCGAAACCTTCGTCGCCGTCATAATCGGCAACGCACCCATGATCTACCCTCTATTCCGACGCATGGCACGTCGAGCGGGCTGGTACATCACGGACACGTATGGGTATGGTGGCGGAGGGTCGCAGTCGTATCAGCTCTCGGAGGGCGACGGGAAAGTTATTAACGATCATACGTCGACGATGCAGAGTCGCAAGAAACGGTTTCGGCATCCGTTGTCCATTCCAGATACGCAGTGGAATGCGACGGTGGATGATCCACATGGAGTGGAGGATGAGGGGGGCATGTTGGGGGGGTTTCAGGGGAAGAGGCAGAGTCTGACTCAGGTGCAGGCGCAGGCGCAAACTGGAATGCAGAGTCAGGCTGGGGGTAGAGTTAGCGGGGAGGGGGAGAAGAGGAAGAGAGGGTCGACACTGGGGTTGGGGAGGGAGTGGGAGAGGTTGAGTGAGGAGGATGGGGATGGAGATGGGGATGGTAGAAGGGGGATCACGGTGGTGAGGGAGACGATTGTGAGGAGTAAGGAGAGGGAGGGGAAGAGGGAAAGTTTCTTGTGATATAGACGGGGGGTGTCGTTTCTTTTTGTACATATTTATAGATTATGGACTGTTGATTGCTGTATATGAGGGAATTTTGTTGGAGGAGTGTATAGCTCTCTCCTAGTAGATTGAGGATTGAGGCTAGATATTTGCCATGATCGAATTACTTACAACGCCTATCCTGTTGGGGGCTACATGTTGTGGTGCGTAACGAGGTTTTGCCAAAGCAATTGTTGAATAAAGACTAAACTGCCAGGCTTCTAACCTTTCAGGAATTTGAAACATCTGAAATATCTCGACATGCAATGAGCCTGCTTCCATCATCTCAAACGATGTCTCCGGCACCGATAACAAGCCCTCATACGGCAGTTCCGACAGACGAAGATATACTCCGGCAGTACATGATTGCACACTTCGCATTGCAGGCTGCCACGATCTCGCCACCTCCACTGAGATCCTCTATGGTGCTCACAACCCACATCCTCATGGTGTCTCAGTTCTCCCACTATCCGATTGAACGCATTTTGACGAACCACAGCGTTTGCATTCGGCGCCACCTCGTTGGCAACCGCCTCGTGGGCAATGTCATACAACCTTCTTTCTTGCCATTGTGGGCACTCGCATGTTTTCCATTCTTGACCACAAACGTAGCAGAAATCGTGACCGCACCTATAAGATTTAATGGGTTCAGTGGTTTGCTCTACTTCTTGGTCAGGTGGGACGGGGTTAGTTATGTTGACATACCGACATGTAATGTGATTACAGCCATGCTTGAGCTCGACCATGGCCCGACAGTTCGAGCATCGTCTCCAGTCCTCGGTCTCAGCCAGCGCAAGAACATCCTGAAGGGACTGGTCCATCGGGCAGTCGACTGAGGGATGTTCCAGCGAACGGCAAGGAAGATGCGTACGTCGATGGCATCCCAGACAAGTGCCGTAGTCAGCCACGATGGCGCCAGGGGGGATGAATTTGGAACAAGTCGGCTCCGCACAGTACACTCGATCCTTGGCTGAGTACTCAATGGCCCTTTGGCTGAACTGGTACAGCTCGCGATAGTCTAGTACTAGGAGGGCGGTCTCGGGGGTAATGATTCGACCGCAGCAGCGTGGTGGATACAGTTCTTCGTCTCTGATAGAGCCGAGGAATAGTTCGCGTGTGCAATCGTGACAGAGGCACTCTCCGCAGGGATTCATGAAGAGCTCAGCTCTGTCGAAAAACTCCAGGCAAGACACACAGGGGATTCGGGCATGTGAGGGCGATACCAAGCGGGAGGAACCCTCGCCGTTATCCGGCTTGTTGGTCAGGGCCAGTTTGTCTATTAGATCTTCCATGACGGTGGATATCGAGTCGTCAAAATCGCCTTCGTGTGCCGAGTTGGCGTTTGAAATCATCAAAGTATGGGGTTGATCATTCTGCAGCGCGTTCGCATACCCATGATCACGCTCAGCGACCGCCTCTTCCTGCCGAAGAGACTGCAGGAGATGTTGATCGGAGACGATTGCAGCGCTCGTGCTAACAGCCATGGCACGATCCTGGATGCATGTTTGGAGCGCGAGGATATCCTCTCTCATGGTGGTGATTGCGAGCTCCAGGTCGGTTGGTTGTCCGGCTCGTTGTTTTCCCTTCTGTCGAGTCTCAAGCTCCTCAAGATCCTCTTGGAGGATCTGCAGAGCGAGCTCGAGGTTCTCATCGGCCGCCATGTTGAGTAGTAATGGAGGATACTCTCAGACAAAGGAGTTGAAGAGAAGGAAAGACAATCAAGGTTGATCGGTTGGAGATGAAGGAGGAAGAGAAGAGAGGGAGGGTCACTTCTTGGTAAAAAAAAAAAAAAAAAAAGCCTAACGTTGGTACTGATTCCGCATAGCTGAGCGTAACTGAGAATGAGCGTAAGTGAGAGTAAGCGTAACTGAGCATGAGCGTAACTGAGAGTGAGCGTAACTGAGCGTAACTGAGCACACAGCAGTGAATTGTTTGCTGACCCCTCCATAGCCATATTCATTACAGTGATCATCTAGGGAACTCCTAGGTTTCCCTTGCTTATAGGTCAAAAATGAGATAAGATAGGAACCATTATCCCATGTCCCTAAATCCCATTTATATGGTATTCTCTGCTCAATGGACAACCAAGAGCCAACCCTAATTTGACCAATCAAACGCGCTCATTTCAGTAAAGTGTCACGTGTCATTACCCCAGATCCGGAAGCGGTGAAGACTGATCAGCGTCTACACCGCTTTCCAGACGCAATGTACTGCCGGGCCAACCGCATCCAGCCTTCATCGCACAGCTTCATCTCATCAATTTTGCATCCTACCTTATTATTCTTCTTCTTCCACCAATTCCTCTTCAATTACGTCCTCCTCTTCCTCCATCTACCTCCCTACCTCTATATACAATCCGTCAAACCGAAACAATGCACGCCCGCTCCCCTTCCCCCACAAGCGCCGACCCTCGCAAACGCACCAAACAAACGCACCCGACAACGCGCCTCTGCCAGGACTGGATGGTAGTCTCGGGCAACTGCCACTACGCGCGTGATGCCGAGCACTTCACCACCTACCGCCCGGTGTCGGTGTCTTTGAAAAACAACCGGTTCAACCCGCACGAGGAGCTCCACGTCGCGGGCGTGGGGACCGTGCAGCTGACGACGTGTAGGAGCGCCAACGACCCGACGCCCCGGGTCATTCGGCTCGACGAGGTCCTGCATATCCCGGACGCCGTGTGCAACGGATTCAATCCGTTGCTGGTGGGCAGTAGCATGTCGTGCCATGCGACGCATTGGGAGGGTGCGGACCGCCAGGGCGAGCCGTTGTGGTTTGGCCTGCCGTATGCGGGCGGCACGAGGGTGGCGTTGGCGGGTGATCCGAGGGGCGAGTCGGAGTTGATCGGGGGCAGGGAGTATACTTTGAGTTTGCATGTTAGTGGCGAGGAGAAGATGGCTATGGGATTGGGGGTATAGGGATTGGTTGGGTTGATCGAGTTGGGTAGGGCAAGGGATGGGATGGGATGGGATGGGGCGTCGGTCTGTCTGTCTGTTCGGCTTGTGTATTTTATTGATGTATACGTTACTGATTGTTTATGATATGTGTATGTACATTATGTGGAAATGAATGGAAATTGGATATATGCGGGACTTTTTGGGCTTGCTAGAAATCCTGCAATCTCCGGCCTCCCCAGATCTCTAGGTCTCCAGTTCTCCATGTCTCCAGACCTCCATGTCCTCGAGTCTCTGTCTCCCCAGGTCTCACCATCCCGATCATTTTTCTCTCACCGAGATATATTAATGCCGAGATATCAAGCCACGCGCGGTGGACCTGCATGGGGCGTATTATGAACCCTTTGGGCGTCAACACCACGAACACATGGCTTGTCGGACTGTTCGTGCCGATAGACAACTATTCCCAAGGCCCGTTACCAGCCGGACTGGATAGGACCGACCAACTCCGTAGTGCCGTACCCCAATAACCCCAGAATTGCCCATGCGCAGACTAGGGCCTCCAGTCTGCTTCGCTTAACAAGGAATATTGACACTGAGCCAGCAGCGTCGTAGTTCAGTCGGCCACGGCACATCGGGCCGTCAGCCGACTAAGTTGAACACGGAAAAAAAGTAAGTAGGTTAGATTTAGCGTGAATTAGCCCATGGGGAATTAGTAGTTGCTACATCTCACTGCTAGCAGCACGTACGGCATGTTACTCACTTGCCAACTCGGACAGAAGTCAGCTCACCCCGAGGCACCAGAGGGATGGATTTTACGAGCTAAGAGGCAAAGCAATATCACAAGATGATCCAGAATTTCCAGACCACTCAGATCAGGCCCGTTGTCGGACAGGTCAGGTAGGGAACCCTGTCGCAATCCTCGAGTCTGGCTGGTTTTTCCCCGGACTTCATCCTTACCCGATTCGGTACGGACCGACGCCTCCTTGTCGCGGGGAGGAACAAGACAGGGCCAGATCCTGCAATTATCCACGTATAGTGCATCTCTTATAGCCCGGTCACATCGTTTGATTTTTTAGGCCTAGTTTTCCCGGTTTCCTTTCTTTTTTTGGTCGTCCGGGGTTGGCGGTTTGATCTTTCTATTTTTTTTTAAATTTTTTTTAGTCTCAATTATCGCTTTCGATCTTTTGCCCCCTTCGAGGAAAGGGTTCAATTCATATAAATCAGGGTTCCATCCAGCGTTTTGTATCTGATCTCTTCCGTTTTTTTCTGTCTCGGTCAACTGAATTTATTTTGATTTTATTATATCCTGCAATATGGCCGACAAGCTGGATACCACCATAGCGCACCTCGACAAGACCGGCGATGCCGAGGTGCGTGGCGTCAACAATGCCGCTTTGGCGGTAGCCACCCTGCAACAGAAACCCAGCCTGTGGAGTAAGAGTATGGTGAAGGTGCGTTATCTTGAACTCGTTCCGGTAATGGTGGTATACATCAAAAAGGTGATCTAACTTGAATAATGACAGCTCTACTGGTGCATCCTCGTCGCCATGCTCAACTCATGCATCAACGGATACGATGGCTCGCTCATGGGCTCGATCAACAGTTACGAGCAATACCGATCGTACTTCGGATTTGATCCAGACGAGGGTACCCCGTCCACGGGTATCGTGTATGCGATCTACACGATTGGCAACATCGTCGGTTCGTTCACGGCCGGTCCGTTTACTGATTTCCGAGGTATGGTTATACTTTTCTTGCTTCAAAGCCCTCTCATACTCTCTGTACTGACCAAGAAAGGCCGTCGTGTCGGAATGGCCATCGGTGCCATCTTCATCATCATCGGCACCGTCGTCCAAGCCTCCTGCCACAACTTGGGCGGCTTCATGGCCGGCCGCTTCATCCTCGGTTTCGGTGTCGCTACTTCCGCTACTGCCGGACCGGCCTATGTCTCCGAGATCGCGCATCCGGCCTACCGTGGTGCTATGACGGGTCTTTACAACGTGCTGTGGTTCGGTGGTGGCATTCCGGGGACGTTCATCCCGTGGCGGACTAGCGACATCGCGGGTGACATGAGTTGGCGTATCCCGATTTGGCTGCAGATGATATTCTCTGGTTGTGTATTGTTATTCTGTTTTACGATCCCGGAGGTTAGATGAGTTCTCTTCCTTTTTTTTTTTCTTTCACCCCTCAGGTGGATGCTAGGAAGGTGTTGCTGACTAGTTATGCTTGCCAGTCGCCCCGTTGGCTCATCTCGCAGGACAAGCACGAAGCGGCGCTCAAGGTCCTGGCTGAATACCACGGCGATGGGGACCGAAATGCCCCGATCGTGCAGCTGGAGTATCGCGAGATGATTGAGGATATCTCCAAGACGGGTTCCGATAAGCGATGGTGGGATTACCGCGAGTTGTTCAACAGCCGCGAGACGAGATATAGATCGATGTTGGTGATTTTCATGGGTTAGTTATCCTCTCATTTTCCTTCTATTGTCTTTAGCATTACCACGAGCCAGCATGAACAGTACATCTTTCCAGTAATACTAACAAAAGACCAACCCAACAGCTTTCTTCGGCCAATGGTCCGGCAACGGGCCCGTATCCTACTACTACCCGCAAATGCTCCGCGGCGCCGGTATCGAAAACAACAGCACGCGGCTCCTGCTCCAAGGCCTGCAGAACGTGGTGCAGTTCATCGGTGCCGTGGCCGGTGCCCTGGTAACTGACCGCGTTGGTCGTCGTCCGCAACTGCTCATCTCGACCGCCATCATCGTCGTTCTGTTCTCCATTGTGACAGCCCTGAACGCCACCAACGTGATTGACGGCCCTGACGGCGAACCGACCGCTAAATCCGGCATCACGGCTCGTGCTCAGATTGCTATGATCTTCATCTTCGGGTTCGTGTACTCGGCCGGTTGGACGCCTAACCAGGCTATGTATCCTGTCGAGTGTCTGCGCTATGAGAGTCGAGCTAAGGGAATGGGTATGAATAATGTGAGTGTCATCTTCCTTTCCCCCTCCTATTCTACGCAATAACACATTGTGCTTGAAACAAATAATTTCATATGCTAACAAAGAAACTAGTTCTTCGTCAACATCGCCTCCTTCTACAATACCTTCGTCACTGGCATCGCCTTCTCCGGCGCCGGCTGGAAATACTACTTCCTGTTTATCTTCTGGGACACGTTGGAGTTCCTGGTCATCTACTTCCTGTTCGTTGAGACGAGCAAGCGCACTCTTGAGGAGTTGACGTCTATCTTCCAGGCTACGAGTCCCAAGAAGGCCTCGTTGCAGAAAGACGAGGTCTTTGTCGCTGGGGGTGAGGCGGCAGAGATTACGAAGGAAGTGCCCTGATCTGTCTTTTGCTTAGGTTTAGAAGGAGGGGAGAATGGGGTCAGGGGGGATGTTCGACTTGGTTTTCTTAAGGCTTAGGGGTTTTTATCACAGATGTTTAGGCATACTTAGGCTGGAGAGGGAGGGATGGTTAGGGCTTGGTGGATCACTGGACTTGATGATGACGAAATGAAGAGAGAGGAGGGTGGTTACTTTTTGGATAAGCCTGCACCTGATCTTATTATCTTATAATACCATATTGTTTCTTTTCTTGAACTGTTGTTTCAACTCAAAGTATTTTATGGCTGATTAGCTATTACTTTCCTTTGAGTCCATGATAGTAGATGATGCTGCTTTTTTGTGACCAGGTTTTAAAAACACTCTCTACCCAAGAGTTTTTGTAGCTTCTACAAAGGAATGAAACAGAACCTGAAATATAACATTCAACCACTAGCAACATAACCTTTCCGACTAAGCAAGGATCCCGAAATGTAGCCAAATGATCTCTTTGAGCGAGACTTTGTCGAAGGAAGGGATGATTTGGTTCCTGCCAAGCCTTTTTTGGTGCCACCCCTTCTGTCCTCCTTTGATCTTTTTGTGCCCCGCTCATGTCGACGAGAGGTGTCGGAGAAGAATGAAAACACAGAGTAAATTAGCGAGGTTTTTGTTATAGATAGTAATCCTCATTAATATGATGTAATTATGGGAGCAGAAGTATGTACCTAGAGCAAGTACCTATCCGCCGGATGCTACCTAGCTGACTGACCAACCGCATCCGGCGGTGCCACTCCACCACAAAGAAGCCTCAACTGTTTTGTTTCAAAGTCTGATTCAGAAGAGAGGATTTGATTGTTTGCATCGGAGACAAGGAAATGTTCGCGGTTCTTTGTTATGGTAGGATATTGATGTTGCCTATCTTTGCCAGGTGCGAGATACTGCTTTCCTTTCCTAATCCCTTGTTACTTGTGTATGATTCCAATCTTGCGTTTAAGGTGTTTATCAGAACTCTAAGCTACGATGGTCTGATCCACAGAAGCTATATTGTGTTAGTTTATTACCTACGACGCATCATGGCGAGAGTCAGGGGAAAGAATTCCAGATTAGAGGAGATGAAGGTATGATGGCTACAGAAGATGTTCTACCTACAATCTTGGATGCCTTGAGTGATTACGCTAACTACTATCCGCGAAAATAGATAAGACGCTCTCCACGTATCCAAAAGATTCTCTCACCACCGGAAAAGAAAACGCCTCATGTGGACCAAAGAGGAAGAAGAGGTCGCCCTGCTGGCCGATCCAAGCGCCGAACACAGGTATCAAAGCAGTCACCCTCGTTAGGTATCGAGGTACAAATTCCAGTCAACAATCAACCGAATGATACCAAAGAGGACGAGGAGATGAAAACTCAACGCGAGGGCGAAGACCAAGCGAATATAGAAGACAAAAGAGGAGAAACACCCAAAGAAGAGAAAGTAGCTGGACTAAAAGCATTTTCGCAACCCCAACATCCTAAATACGAAGGATGTATGTGGATTAACGGGTCGCTGATCCCGCCTTACTGCGGCGTTCGGCGGTGGAAACCTTTAGGTGACGCGGAAATCGAACCGCTGTTGGGCAGATATGAGACCCAGATCAGGGAATGGGCATCTGAGTATGCCGCTGAGCTTGGGGATGGGGTTGATAGTGAGGAAGCTCTATCTGAACAGGAAAGGAAGTTGATTATGGATCGCTTGGGGAGTTATTGTTCGTATCGGGATTGGAATAGTTTGATAGAGGGCCTTTCGCCGAAGAAAGATAGACCTGAGGTTTCGATGCCGGGTTCTCCACACACTCCGGTGATGAATGATTCTGACGGCAAGGAACAAGAGAATCCACTTCTTCAGATGAACATGACTCCTGATTCTCCGCCGGAGGTTCTTCCAGATAATTCGACAGATGATATCGCCGATGTCAAGTCGGATAGCGTTCTAGATGGTTCAAACGAGAACGCTCTTGATGAAGTGACGGCTAAGCCTCAGGAGCCCAAGGTAGAAAGCCCTACAGATGTTAAAGCTGCGAGTGCTATCAATACCTCCTCTGAGAATCACCCGGAGGGCCCGGTGTCGAACTCTTCAGATGCACCTGCAGCCAGCACATCTAATACCCCACCATCGAGCCCACCATCGAGCTCCTCTGAAGCGGTAACAAGCTCTCATGATGTCCCACCGCTCAATGTACCAAAGAGAAAGCGCCCCCACCCACCAGAGCTCTCGGTTCTGCTGGTGGAATGTCTAATCAGTAAATGTCTCTACGAGAAAATAATCCAGGACCCGTTCTATTATCTTGTCAAAGCAGAGGACACGAAGGTCAGCAGCGTGCCAACCACATTTGGCAGAGACTTTTATAACATCTGGCAGAAGCTGATGAGAGGTACGTTCCCCGAATCCCATCAAATAACATTAACACCCGAGAAAACAATGTTGTTATCATATCTAACCACAACACAGCGAGCCGAGTCAAGGCACAACGAATCCGAATGGAAATGACCCAGCTTCTCAACGGCTTCGACATCTGGGACCAATGCCACGACATCTCGATCGGAGCACAGAGTCGTACACTCCGAAAACAAGCTCTCGAACGCCTCATTACCTCTCTTCTCGGCTCATCCAGCGCCATACACCCCCTCTTACGTCCACTGGATGACCCCAAAAAAAGCGAAACCCGCTTCAAGCGCCTCCTGCAAATTTTCCGCGAGGCCGCCGAGATCGCCATCTGGATGTACACACAGGAGAGCTACTTCTTGTTCACCGACAATATTGCCACATTAGGGCCCTTTGACGGGCAGATCACGGGGCGCGAGGAATGTCTGGAGTTGGGGTATAAGGAGGCCGAGGATACGATGAGACCGCATTGGTTTACGAGACGGGATTATCCGGAGGGTATGTTGAACGGGAGAACTCCGGTGTTGATGATCAGGCCGGTGCTGAAGAGGGTTTTTGTGGATTCGTGGACGAGCTGCGCGTTGAATGATCGGCCGGGTACGGTGGTGTCGAGGGCTGTGGTGTGTCTGGGGAGGGATGAGCCGCTAGACGAGAATCGGACGAAGTGGTGATTTGCTTAGGTTTTACTGTTGGTTTTGTGGTTCTGTGGTATGGAGATGGAGGTGTTAGGGGTTCGCTCTGGTCGATTGTAACATGTACGGCCTCGTTATTCTCTTCTAGCATCAACTCATAGAAATAAACACACGAATCATATCTTCTTTCTTTCTGCTGCTGAACATAATCTCCAGGCCTATAGCTGTCAGGGTTTAGCGTTGCGAGTAGACACGCTGAGTGGTCCACCAAAAGACTCCTTATATAGAACGAATCAAAAGAAAAGCATGAACAACAGCAGAATAGGAGAGGTATATCAAGCATACATGAGGAATCCGGCTGGACAGGACTGTTTAACCAATGTTCCTTTTGTTCCACCCCAAGCATTCTCGCTTTTCTTCATCCACCATTTCCAGTCAACCAAAGCCCGGGGATTCCACACCATTTGCGAAGAGAATGAAAATCATGGGAGAGTAGAGAAACAGACAATCTGAGCAAAGAACAGGAGTCACCATGACTATAGAACAAAAACTCATAGATCGAATCATTGAAAATACGAAACTTTGTACGCGGTGTACTATTGTCTTGAATCGAAGAGAAGCTTATTAATACGTTACAACCTAGTTACCACTTAAACGAGAATTCCACCCTTCCTCGAGAAGATTCCCCCTGATAGCTTCTATATCTCCCTCATCTAACCCACAACAACTCCTGACATGCCCCTCGACGCTACCATACCTGCGCCTCATGAACTGCAATGTATCTCCTAACCTCGACCCCCTAGATCAGTCAGTCATACTCACAGACCGAGTTTCAGAAAACGGCTCCGCCCCGGTGCTCAGACGCCGAAAAAGAAAATAGAAAGGGGACATATGAGTACTTACCTAACACTGAGAATATTATCCAATTCCCAAGCCCCAAACAACCCCGGCACCTTTCTCACCAATATTCCCTTCAAAGTAGGACTCCAATCCGCCAAGCCCTGGTCCGACAAACAGTAATCCAGCTCAATCGTCGCATCGTCCACGCCTATAAGCGCAAGTATCACGGCCGCTAGGATCCCAGTCCTATCTCGTCCCAGAGTACAGTGGAATAGACAGCCGGAGGAGCCATTATCACGGAGATGTAGCAAAACCGGACGGAATGCAGAACCACCGGAGGTTAGGATGTCGCGGTATTCCTTTCGAAAGCCCTGCAGTCATTTAGCTGTTATAACTCTACTGCGGCTTTGGAATGTATAATGAGCAAGGAGAGGAGAGGATGGATGAAGCATACAAACTCCCCCATTGCATAGCTTTGCATCCTAGATCGTGAGCTACCGGATCGAGCAAACACAGGTACCGCTACCGTTCGTATTCCGTCTACCTCTTTCACACGTAACGAGGGGTCAAGAAACTCGCTCTCCCCTGTCGAGCGGAGATCAAAGACCGTCTTGATGCCTAGATTTCGTAGAATGGCTGTTCCATCGGGCGTGATGTTGCCTAACTGTGCGCTACGGAAAACCTTTCCTCGCTTCATGCGACCATAACGGGTTGGTAGACCGCCAAGGTCGCGTAGATTATGCACACCGGGGACGTTGACGAGGCGGGATGGTGAAGGGGGTGGAAGGTCGAGGAGTTTGTGAGAGAGGAGGTCTGGCTTGGAAGAGAAGGTTGGTTTCATGGTATGCTTGGACTGGGGAGAAGCTATCTTGAGTGTGGGTTGTTATCGCAGGGCTTGTGTTCATGAGCAATGAATCTCGGCTGATATATAGAGATATAATATCGTAAAACACTCATAGTATCCCGAAACACGTCACAGAGCATAACCCGAGCAAAGTCCTGTCAGGAACCGGTTTGGTACGCCACATACTCGCATGTAAGACACTTAACGGTCTATTTAGGTAGGATATGAACCCGGGATCCCGAGTCTATCGTTTAACTCATATACCAACAGGGTCGGACCCCTGCTCATAGTTACTGCCAAGAAGTAAATACATCCCCTCATCTTCTATTCCCTATACTGAATCGCACAAACATAATCCTCGAATCCCTCTGAAAAAAATTATTAAACACCATCCCTTCCCAGCACGCAGGTAAACTCAATATAGAAGAAAAAGCATCGAAACTAGAAAAAAACAGCCCCAGAAGAAAGCGACTTCGCGGAGGAGCGCTAGAGGTTCCATATTGTTGGAGGTAAATCTATATTTCTGAGAAATTGTAGTTGAATCGGCGAGAGTCGAAAATAGTCTGTGTGAGGTTCTTGGAGGAGTCGGAGAGGCGTATATCGACCGGATGGCTGTCTATGTGGAGATAGGAGGATGGTTTTGTTTTTTTCTAGATATTCTTTGTTTTATTAAAGACTCGGGGGTGCATGAAGGGAAGAAGAGCACTAGAGGTTTTCTGTCAATCATTCGGCGGGCAGAGTCAATTAAAGTACTGGGGAAGAGTCTCCCGGCATTATTTGACTTTTCGGGATTAGTAAACCCTGAACCTTGGGCGATGAGGCATTTACCAGGAGTCGGGAAAGCCTAGTTCCATGGAAAATCAGGTGTTATTACTTGTTCCTAGGTAGGTTTTTACTTAGGCGAAGAGCCTGAGCACATGCTCCGAGGAAGAGATGACGTGCATGAAGAGAGATAGGGCACTTTATATTAAACATTTACATTGCAGTAATCATAAGTGACGAAACCTTATTTAGACGACAGTTTGACAGTCGATTTGAAAGCCGTTTCCACGTCGGTCAGTCGGAAACCTGGGGCCCGGCCTAGGATGATCATGTTTTTCAGAAGCACTAGCCATATTAGCATGTATGCCCGTATACGATTCTGTAGATGTACTCACAGCGAAAGAATTCTTCCACGTTCAACGTGAAATCACTGGTGCTTGATTTCCCCGAATGTTCATCACCACGGGCATGAAATTTCTTAGGAGGAACCGCATTCTCGCTTTGTGCATCCACATCCATCACGGAAAAATCGACTACAGGCTGGGATGTTTCAGTAGCGACACCCGAACCAGACGCATAGACGCACGAAGGACCGTCCAGCGCCAACCCCTTCTCTTCTAAGTATCCCTGAACATCATGACAGTCCAGCCATATACCATGTAGTCCCAGTGCCCTCAGCAAAGCATCTCTATCATCAGTCGACGCGTCGACCTTATCATCCTTCGCTCCCGAATACGGTAATATGCTCAATATCCTCCTCGGGAGTCGCATATTCTCAGGGTAAACTGGCTCCCCGTTGAGCTTTCGGGGATAATGCGTGCCCGCGCCCCCGATGCAGTAGAACGGCGCGGCGGCAATGTCTAACGACTCGTGAGATCCCGACCGAACAAGACACTGTAGATAAGGGCGCATTTTCTCGCTATACCGAATGCAAGGGACGAGTCGGAACACCCGGTAGAACTCCTGCGGGTTGGCATTGGGGTCGATGAAGATGCGCCAGGTGTATTCGAGACAATAACGCTGTAAGCGTCTTGAGAAGTCGGTCTCGTGGAAACTGTGCGTGTGAGTGGCGCTGCCAGATAGGGGCTTTTCGATCTGTCGTAATTGGTAGGAGTAAAGGGAGTGGGTGAATCGGACGGGGCGCTGCCTGTCGTGGGATATTGTTGAGTGACGAGGTCTGTGGTCTTGTTGCTCGTCGGGGCTGATCATGTAGCCGAAGGTGAATGGGTCGATTCCGCCAGTTGTCGCGGCGGTAGGATAGAATTGGTGGTTTTTTTGGTGTTGAATGTGCTCGGTGTGGGTCCAATTGTGGTCTCCTGTCTCGGGTCCATGTTGAACCTGAGCGATCGTCTCGTTAAGCCTGTCAAAGAGGTATGGATGAGTGACGTGCAAGTCCGATTGGATTGCCATGTCGTGGAAGTCGGAGAGGGAGGCAGATATTCGATCAACGGTTTCTTGCAGCTCGGAGACCCGGTTCTTCATGTCTCGGAACATTGTCTCTTTTTTCTGTCGGTATGTTCGTTGTGCGTGTCGAACTTGCGTACGACGGTCCTTATTATTGTTAGCGTCTAATTGATTCATTGTTTCCTCTTTCAGGCGGAAAGGACGTACATACTTGAGAGGGTGCCTCTGTTCTCGGAGGTGACATCCTCGGCCTCCCACGCTTACTCACGCGATTAGTGGCAGCGACTGTAGGTGCCGATCGAGTGGAAGCAAAGGTTTCATGGCTTATACTCTCTAATCTCGAATCCTGCCCAGCTTGGGCCTCGAGAGTCGACAAAATGCGACCTGGCACATAATAACGCGCCGACAGGGTCTTTGCCAGATCATGATCGGCCATGTTAGCTAAGCTAGGATATTCGGCGATCACCTTGGTTAAGCAAAACCGAGCAACTTTGCAGAGAGACAAACAAAAATATAAGATGAGAATATCACCGGCGGGGGGAAAGAACTGATCCATGGTGGGGGCATATAAGATGTCAGGCCAGCGCCAAAAGATCCCTCGGCTCATCCGATCTGATCAGATAATCATCCTCGGCTGTGCGCAGATTGGTCAATTCTTTTGCCATAGCACGCCACGGGCCTCCTCTTATCTATTCTGCTTTATTTTTGAGGTCGTTAGACATGGGATGTTGCTGCTCTGACTTTTTAAGCAAAACATCCTGTCTTTCTGGAGAATTAGAGGGTAGTAAGTCTACAGTCTTCTAACTCGCTCGTAGGCACATAAGTAGACCATGCCATCTTAGAGACGATTATATCGCAAAGAGAAAACATCAATAGTTTTTTTCTGAAAAAAATAAATAAAAATAAATAAAACTCACTTCGCTCTGTCTTATAGCGACGTTTTAGCTCTCGGTGGAGATGTCTTTTATAGATCTCGGCGCTCGGGATAAAACATCCCTTCCACAGAGTGCGAGACCACATACAGCCACTTTTGCCAAGTGATGACGGAGACCCCTCTGCAAATATTAGATTATGGTATATCGATGTCAGTATAAAATATGGACTAAACTTTGTGGGTGTGTTGTCGCGTTGACTTAGAAGCGTTCGGTTCAACCTGATGACCGACGAACGAGACAAATCAAGCAGGTGGGTAGTATGGTGATGTAGAGCGATCATTAGGCCGACACATTCAACCTATGCTTGATTTAGTTCGAGATGAAAGAGAGTTATCTAAACGTACTCGCCCCATTCATAGTAGGGTCGTGCATGCTGCCAAGATGAACCAGATCAGCACTCCAGGACCAGTCGGCGACGGAGGTGGATTCAGTGTCTGACTACGTAGTATTGGAAGCCAATTTGGTGTGACGATTCATATGGCGATCAATAGTTTGAGCCCTCCGACCGATGATCAATTCCAGCTTATTTATCGCCGGGGGGATACCACACATCGGCATGCCGAACGGCTTGGCTGTCCTACACATGACGTAGAGGCTTACCTATAAACGTCGGAAGTATTGCTGGCAATTTTAACAGCGGTCAGATTTCCCCTTCCTTCTTTCTCGAACGAGTATTAGCTGTCGCATTAATGTTTGCTTTCCAACCCTGTAGGGTCCGATCAACTTGTTTCCAGCGGCTGCGGCAGTCGGCACAATTTCCCTCGCGAGTAAGGGGCAGCAGGTCAGGGTCAGGGCTCATGTCCTTCCTTTTAAGAATAACGCCTACCCCGTGGCTTTACCAGGGCAATGTACAGAGTACGTCGTCACAACAGCCTTCGAACATGACTCAAATGATGAACCACCCAGCGGTTCGTTCAGGCATATTCAGGACAAGCTCTCACCGACAACGCCATCTGCGTGATGGGGTACAGATAATACATAGATCGACCGCATGTGATATAAGATTATGACTTCAGCGCTCCGCCCAATATTCCCAATCTTAAAAGTGATCGGCCTGGATCTACTCTGTAGAGAGATACAGCATGAACTAGCATGCTGCAGTACCACCCCTAGACAATAATCCCACCGTCAGGCCCTTATCCCTGGCTCGGCATTGGATGCTGACTGCCCAGGTTGAAGGACTTCCGCGGACAGAGTCTCCACGATAACAGCAGACGCGATGACTCGCCCATTCCTGGAGCTAAAGGAATGTCTGTCGATCCGCGATAAGCAGGCTCCCTTGCTGATTGGCCACCCTGGGGCGCTTGGCGATCATTGTCGAGATCTTGGCGGTTAAAGTTGAGTATATCGTCGTCTATTATCTCATCACGGAGATTGGCACCTCATATAATTAATATCCTTTTCTTCCTGGCTCACCCCTGCGTTCGTCTCTTCTGTCGTCTATTGTCACTGCTAACTTACTCCAAGAACCATGAACGCCTACACTCCCGCGGAAGTGGCCGAGCTGGTCTCCCGCGCAGGAGCCACCAAAGGTAATATGCGCCTCGATAAAGTGTTTTTCAGTGCCTTCTCAGCCGGATGTCTACTGGCTTTCGCATGCGGCACAGTGTTGAGCACCAACACTGCCTCGTGGTACCAGGAGAATGCCCCGGGACTTATCCGGACCATCGGGGCACTAGTCTTCCCGTACGGGCTCGTCATAATCGTCTTGACAGGAGCGGATCTATGCACGGGATCGTTCATGGTTCGCTTCACAGCCCAATTCATGTCGTGATCATCGCTAATCGGCTACAGTATACCACCGTAGCCGCTCTACAACGCCGACTCTCCTGGCCTAAAATGCTTCTACATTGGTTCGTCACTTTCTGGGGAAACCTCGCTGGTTCGTTATTTGTCGTGGCCATCATCTTCGGCTGTATGTATCTTGCCCTCTGTATCAATCCTAACTTACTCCATCGCATACTGACACCATCCTAAACGCAGACGGAAACGTCTTCTCCGCCGAGCCCTATAAATCCCAAGTCATCACCATGGCCAACAAAAAGCAACTCACCCCAGATTTCCACATGATCTTCCTCCGCGGCATCGGCTGCAACTGGCTGGTCTGTCTAGGCTGTTTCCTCGGCCTCCAGGGACGAGAACTATCATCGAAGATTATCGGAATCTGGCTGCCCATTTTCGCCTTCGTGTCGTTGGGATTCGATCACGTTGTCGCAAACATGACATTCATCCCGATGGCAATCTGGCTGAAAGCTCCCGAGTTGAATGTGGGACTTTATATCTGGAAAGGGATAATTCCGACCTTATTAGGGAACATTATCGGTGGTGGCTTATTTGTTGGTGAGTAATCTACTTTCCGTCTCGTCTTGGATGGATGATAGATATGCTAATGCGAGAGTCAGCGACGTATTGCTGGTATATGTACCTGCTCAACGACCAGGCTATCACTCTCACTGGGCTTCGGAGGGGACAGGATAAGTCTGAAGCGAGCAGCTACGCTCCAAGAGGGAAAGAAGATCTAGAGGCCTCTGGAGCGAGTAGTAGTGGGGAGGTCCGGTAGCTGAATGTTTCTGAAGATTAGTAGATCATGCAAGCCGACTTTTGTTTATATTCCAATATTCCAAACACCTTGATAGTTGTTGGAACGATATTATCAACCAGACCAGAGAGGTGGAGTATCTTGACCTAATCCACATACCGCACCGCACCTTGCTTGACCTAGACCTGGCTTACCATTCCAAATGGCATACCAAGGGATCAGGAATGCATAGGTGTAAACAAGTGGAACTATAAATAGCTAGGCAGATTGTAGTTTAGAATGACACTTCACTTTTACCCACCGAGCATATACCTATATTCAGTTGAATCGATAGGATATCTGCTTAGGGTAATGACCAAGTCAACCGACACTGATCAGTAGACGTACAGATCAGGATATACGCAACTGCGAAGCTCGAAACTGAGTCAACAGCCCTAAGAAGCTGTTTTCCATGATCGCCTAGCTATTGCCCTATATCAGTTGAAGGAGAAGATTGTGACAATTCGAAGCTCGAACGGACATTCAACAGCCTCAAAACTATTGAACAACTATCGCCTAGAAGTGCACTATCTTGCTAATCATCATTTATAGAGCCCGAAGGTCTATAAATACGTCCAAAAAACACCAAAAACCTCAATCCTTGACAACTGTTGCTTACTTTTTCTTATTTTTCTCTTGTTTTTTTACGTTTTATCTGTTTCCCCCCTCTCTCCCCCTGTCTTCCCTATTTTTAGCACTTTCTCTTCCTTACTTACCTCTATACTGTCCCTTTTTCCTTTCTATCTATCCCTTATACCTTGTTACATTCCTGTATACTAGTATTATCATGTCTGAACCGCCGCAGTCCTCATCAAGCGGAGATGAAGATTAGAAAATCGATTTGAATACAGCCACAAAACAGGACTTCAATATCTATGCGATAAATATACAATTCACAAATACCATTCTTGATCATAACCTGTGGATGACATTCCGAGAACAATTCGAAGGCTGGAAACCTGAACATTTTAAATAATTTAGCTCTCACACAAGAGTAAACCTCTAAAATAACTTGTTTTAGCGAAAAGTATTCGTCCGCCGCTATAACACAAGAAATTCCCTTTATGATATACTCTCCGAAATTGTTCAGCAAGATAAGTTCCATAAATAGACTGATAAAGAGCTTAAAGTTACTCTAGAAGAACTTGACTCACTAATGATTACTGCTATGCTCCGAAAACGTTTGAATCCAACACGCGATAGCTTAAGAGAACATACACAAGCTGTAAAAGGTTATTCAAACTCTTCAGCTCCTCTCAAAAGCAATCTTCAAGTGAAAAAGGACCATTCAGACCCTTCAGTCTCTTCAGAAGACTGTTTCGCTACTCCCAAAGCCAATCTCTCTACCCCGGGAATCGACTACGTTCCTGAAACTGATTATCTGGCTTTCGAAACCAATCACCTTGCCCAAGAGAACAATTACCTACTCGCTATGAGGCCCAAGAACGATCTCTCCAAGGAAATTGCCTCAGTCACAAAGATCTACACGGAAGACCAGAAATATAGCGGTACGGATAACAGCAGCCTTAACTTTAAACTCAATATCTTTTATGACATTTGCTCTAGAGCTGGCCTACCACTACATAGCTACAAAGCTGCATTGCCAACAATGCTCAAGGGAGTTGCTGAAGACTACTATTACAGCAGTAAATTATCATTAAAAACATTTCAAGAAGTATGCCATCACTTACGCCAGTTCTTTGAAGGACCTGAATTCTACCGGCAGAACTTGACCAAGTGAAACGCTATCTTACTGCAGAAGGTCATGAATGATAACTCTGAAAGATCAATTTTAATTTACTAAAGCTTTCAGCTTTTACTTAGTAACCTCCTAAAATAACGCTACGGCCTCCATTCTGAACTCCGAAGCAACATGAATCTGATTAACAAGCTTATTACAGCTTGCTAGAGAGTACCAGCCTGCCGCATAACCGTTGCTAATCTATCTAAAGATCTAGCAGTATTAATCAACAAACTGCAATCCTCAATCAGCACTTGAGAGAAGGAGAACTCATAAAGATACAGAATTTCTCATACAGATACCCGAGAAGAAGTCTTCTATACTGATAGAAAGTACTATAACTAGAACAAGAACTATAACTAAGGCAAAAGAGACCCAGCGGGCAAGTGTTATGTCTGCCAAAAATTAACCTGCCGCTCCTGGAGACACACTGAGGAAGAACAAAGGCAATCCAAAGAGAAATATCGACAGCGTTTTAACAATGACAAAGGAATGAATGGCGACTTCAGCAGGCGATACAGGCAGTATATGATATATTGTGAAGGAAATACCAATGAAGAGGAAGCAGAGGCTTTTAAAGCATTCGTAACTGATACTCGAACTTTTGATCCCGGAACCGAAACAGACCTTAATGAAGAAGAATACGACCTTATTGATACATTTATTACTTCATTCGGCTCAATTACTACTGAATAAGCAATGATTACAACTTCTGAACTTGCCAATCGATCCTTTACCCATTGTATTAACGATCAAAAGTTCTCGAATCCGATAGTTAATACCGACCCATTCAGCTATAACGCCACTACCATTTCCGCGAGCGATACCCGGTACAACTCTAAGATCTTTATGGGAATAATGATTGATACTGGTGCCTCCAGCAAATCTACAGCTGGATATGGTCAATTTCAGGTACTTCAAAACACAGAAAACATCACATTAGATACCTCTACGGCTGGCCAGGTAAATGTCCAATTTGGCATTAGAATAACCTTATCAATTGGTTCCGCAAAAGTTTCAACTCCAATTGATAACATCTAATTCTATATTGTTAACGCTGATACCTCATTTCTGCTATACCTAGCAGATATGGACAATCTCGGAATATACTATAACAACCTCAAGAATGTTATCGTGATCCCGAAGCCTGTAACGCCCTTCAACTCCGCTACTAAATCATTTGTTGAGATCTCTGTTATTCGCCGACTCGGCCACTCATTTTTGCTATAGAATTCTGTTCTGTTTTTATACCTTACCTCTTCATTTGATATAAATCCTTGTTTCCTGACAGACGTTAAATTACGGAAATTATATCGCCGTTTCGGACATCTATCTGTTGATAGACTTCAGACGCTTTTAAGAAGTGCTAGTTATGAGCCAAATACAGCCGCATTAGAATATCTTACTAAGTACTGTCACTACTGTCAGAAGTTTGGCAAATCCCCTGGTCAATTCCGATTTAACCTCAAGGACGAGACACATTTTAATTTCAACATTATTGTTGATATTATGTATATTGACAATATGCCTCTCTTTTATGTTGTTAACGAAGTAACCCGTTTCTAATCCAGCCGATAGTTAAAAGACATCAGTGCCAAATACACCTGGGATATACTGCAAATGTACTGAATTGATATCTATTTAGGCTTTCCAGACTTAATTACACACGACGCCGGAAAGAACTTTGTAAGCAAGGAATTCAAGACCTATACAAAAACTATAAATATCAGCACAAGAAGCATCCCTATTGAAGTATACAATTCGATAAATATAATTGAAAGATATTATGGCCTACTGCGCCGAGCCTACCAGATTATCACTACTGAAATCTCTAATATCGACAAAGAGATCGCCTTTCAAATGGCTTTTAAAGCTATAAACGATTCAGCGGGGCCTGGAGGTTTAGTCCCTACCCTACTGGTATTTGGCGCATATCCTCGTATGGTTGATTCAGATGCATTTTCGTTATCAACTTCCCAGCGGACTGCAGCTATCAGAAAAGCTATAACAAAAATCAAGAAGCTTAAAGTAGAGCGCTAACTGGCTGATACATTAAATATAAAAAATGACTTACGCATTACTGCTATATACGATCTGCTACCAAGCTCTCCTGTCCTTGTCTGGCGAGAAGGGAACGGAGGAAAAACAGGCAGCTAAACTGATCTATTTACCCTTTTAACAACCGAAGGGGAGACCTGTACAGTCAAGTTATCTAATGGTCCAACAGCATTTCAATTAACAGTAATTAAGCTATACTATACTGAAGATCCAGAACTGCACTTGAAAGCTCCAGAACCGGACCAGATCAACCAAACTGAACCTGAAATTGACAAAGAACAACTCTCGAAAGCCTCAGAACCTACCTTTAGACGCTCCGGACGAACCCGATTGCCCAATTCAGGTTATAAGCCTGCCTTGATGCCCCTGCAACCTGTACAATTATAAAAACGAGGCTTAGGCCGTTTACGAAAGCACCCTTTGCCTATAAATGTCTTCTTGCAAACTGAAAGAAATCCCGGTATCTAACAATATTACGATTCAAGGCAAAAGGAAGTCAATGGTTTACTCGAACAAAGAATATTTGAGTTCCTTAAAATTGAAGATATCTTACCAGGGGTCAGACTCTTCAGTTCACGATTTGTTGATAAAATTAAGAATAAAGGAATAGAAAGAGCATTCGAAAAATCACGACTGGTTATACAAGCCTATAATGACCAGGGAAAGGATCTAATCCTTACACAATCTCCTACAATCCAGCGAGTCAGCTAACGCCTTATTCTCTGCATTGCTGCAAGTATAACAGATTCCCAGCTATATCTTCGCGATATTTCGCAAGCGTACGTACAATCAACAACCAAACTTAACCGAGAACTTTACGCGCGCCCACCGAAGGAACTTATTGATCAACTTGGGCTCACCAGCAATACTGTCATGAAGGTTATCAAACCTCTCTATAAGATCTTTGAAGCAGAGAATCATTGGTTCAGAATCTATTACTCCCATTACCTGGAATACCTCCGGATGAGCCAATCAACATTCGACCCATGCCTACTCTATACCATGGATAGCCCTAATTCAAGAGAATCTACTGGTTTCGGCATCGTTGGACTTCAGACTGATGATACCCTCATTCTTGCAGATGCCACGTTCGCTGAATCTGAAGAGATTGAGTTACAGAAGGCTCAATTTCTGGCTAAAGACCGCGAGAAGTTAACCATTGAAAAGCTCTTGAAGTTCAATGGCAGCATGGTCAAGCTAGAACCTGATGGGATTACTCTTACCTAGGAGACCTAATGCATCAAACTGTCACTTATTGGCAAGACAACCACTCAGGCACCAAGTACCCTGAAAGATCGATATATTGCAGAACACGCACGAGGTACCTATATTGTTTCTGTCTGCCAGCCAGAAGTTTCATTCGACTTATCATTTGCTGCCCAAGTAATTAACCCAAGCAAGGAAAATACCGAATCCCTTAATAAGCGACTTTATTGGCAGCTAGAGAATGCCGCAAGAGGCCTGAAATATGTCAAACTGGATTTGGAATCTTTTTAACTGCTAGTTTTTACAGATGCGTCATTTGCCAATAACAAGAACCTTTCTTCTCAAATTAGTTATGTTATCGTACTAGCCGACAAGAGAAATGCCAGCAACACTATTGCTGCAAATGCCAACATCGTTTATTGGAGTTCTATTAAATGCAAGCGTGTTACCCGCAGTGTTCTAGCATTAGAGCTTTACGCCATGGCTTACGGTTCAGATATTGCATTCGCAATTAAATTAACTTTAGATTAAATACTGCAAGCTAATATCCCAATCGTACTCTGCACTGACTCGAAGTCATTATACGATTGCCTCGTACGGCTCGGATTTACGCAAGAGAAACGATTGATGATTGACATTTTGTGCCTTTGACAAGCCTATGAATGCCGCCAAATCACAGATATTAAGTAGATCGATGGAAATTCTAATCCTGCCGATGTAATAACAAAAAGCAAGCTCTGCAACGCCTTAAAACAACTTATAGATACGAACTGTATCGACTTACAAGCTATCGGTTGGGTTGAACGCTCGAATTGAGCAAATACCTGAGTATCGGAGAATGGGATAAAAATCCTGGATTCTGGAACTACACGTTTTGTTTTCGATATCTTGACCTTCATGTTCTCACCACTTCTAAAGTAGGTCCAGTGTTGGAACGATATTATCAACCAGACCAGAGAGGTAAAGTATCTTGATCTAATCCACATACCGCACCGCACCTTGCTTGATCTAGACCTGGCTTACCATTCCAAATGGCATACCAAGGGATCAGGAATGCATAGGTGTAAACAAGTGGAACTATAAATAGCTAGGCAGATTGTAGTTTAGAATGACACTTTACTTTTACCCACCGAGCATATACCTACATTCAGTTGAATCGATAGGATATCTGCTTAGGGCAATGACCAAGTCAACCGACAGGCAGATTCAAGAGCAAACCCAGAGATTAGAAGTGAGATGGCAGAAAAAGTCTAGACAATGAAGGTAGAGAGGAACCGCAAAAATATGGTACTTGAATTATTCTTCACAAACGGACTTTTTCGTGAGGCGAACAAAGTAGCGAAAAGTACCATTTTGCAATTCCAGCAACTGCATGGCGAGTCTTTTGCTCTAAAGCTAGTCGCCACTAATGCCTTTTGCTTGCTAGGCCTTCGGGGTATCACGTTCATATGGCTTAAAGCAAAGGAGGAAAGCGCGATGAACTCACGTCGAACTTTGTCAAGCTCTGGATGATCTTCGTTGGTCTATTCATCCCTTTGACTTCATATATGTCCTTGTCTTTACGGCTGAAATACATACTTCCATGCCTAATGAGATATTCTAATATAGATATCGTAGCTGGTAATTTCTTACATTAAGGCAGCAAGTTTCTCCGTGTGTCTGATTGCAATACTTTGAATCAAGGCATTGAGGGTCACTGAGCCAGTGAACAGAGGTTTGTGGAGTGTGGATAGCATATATCGTGTGACTAGCATTGGCTGGGAGTGCTGCTTACAATAAGAGTAGAAGGCCCCAAGAGTATTGTTATATGAAGAGGTACCATGCTCGGAAATGAGTTGATATATTAACGATATGACAGCCTTCACGTCTACCTCGAATGTTCCTCGGGCGGGTGTGACTGGACTTCCAAAAGAAAAGATTTTTCAAGCGAGTTTGATAAGATCTATAAATAAATATCAATCCTCGTAAGCACTGACTATGAAGAAGGAACTGATAAAGTCAAACAATAGTCACCACCTGTGCGTTGGAAAGATATGAAGGTTATTACTACTGCCATTGAAGACCTCTTCATTGCAAAAGTCCCCTTTGGAATATAAATAGATTATGTCTGAATGGTTAAGAGAACCGTGAAAGACCGCTTTTGGAAAGTTTGTTTCACATTGCAGATAGGCGCTGATGGGATATTTGATATCATTCTAGAAAGGATAGGGGAAGCTCTTTGCGGAAAGTTCCCTGTAAATAGAAATTCTCTGAAAAATGTGATGCTTGCTGGAAACATAATCAAATGAGTATTCGGGTTGTGAGCTGCTCGCGGGGATATGAAATTGCACCTCCGCGGTTATTATTTGGCCATTTGGTTGTGAAAAATGTAATCGGTGATCTGGGGGTGTTCTGACAAATGCACTTGCCACAACCTGGTGGTTTCATGATAGGATAAACATGTTGGTGCCCTAGCAATTGTAAGTGAAAGAAAAAAGTACAAAGTAGCGGCAGAAGAATAGAACGAGAAAAGAGTGAAGAGAGAACCAGTTAAAAAACAGGTTAGCCCATATGTTTGGCATTTTGCGCCATCGTGGTAGATTAGAACGGCCGGAGTGCATCCGTCAATCGGGAGGGCTGCTGTGCTGTGATTCCTGTTATCGGAAATCGGAGACATAGTTGCGTCGTGTCGGTCAAAAGGATATCTTCATCACGCCCTGTAATTCAAATTTGAACAGCCATATGACATGGTATCTGATCCCTCGAAAAAAATCTCTCACATCGTTCGTAGCGATAATCTGCTTCGAGCTCGGATGTCCGACTGCGGGCCGAGCCAGGAATTACTGCGGTTAGAGATAATGATTAGACGTTAAGAGACGCCCTTTAGACTGTTGCAATTGTTCAACGGCCAGACCTAGACCACATCTGACAACCCGAGCGCCAACGAGCCATGTATATCGAGTCCTCCATCGGAGCTTGCCGGGCTCAACTCGGGCCATTTTCCTAAAAGAATCAATGGTAGACATTAAAGAAGACAATTCGGTTTGTTGAGAGAGGTGTGATAACAGATGGGCGGTTGGCGACAACTTCTAGTGATGGATTATAGGCGAGATTCGCCGGTCATCGAAGGCCGGGATGAACATGCAGGGGAAGCCTAGGATCCTCGGGGTGGGGCCGAGCGGATCGGTACGCTAGTCCGGGCTGGGCGTGCCATGCAGGCTGCACACTTGACGTTTGTTGATCGACAACCGAATCTATTCATGCTCCGGAGGTGGGTCGCGATGATGAGTGACATGGTAGGAATACCAAACAATATAGCGTCCGGAGCACTGAGGTCCCTCTAGGTATTAAAAATCTTATCGTAGAGTTTATGGCACCATCTGAGCGATCCTGACACCTGCAGACAGAATTCGAGTATGCAGTAAGGAAAAGGCACTTCGAACTAGGACACGTCAGCTATCCAGAAGGATTAGAATGCCAGTGAGACGAGCTCAGCGGCATTCGGGAGTTGTGAGCCGATGGATAAGAGTGCTAGACCAATGAGCTAATCTATGTATAGCACGGACAAAGGCGTCCGCACGTAGATGCGACACCAAATTCCCGAAATGGCATCATGTTCTGACTTGACGGAGGGATTCAAATGTCCGAGACGGCACAATCATATGTGATAACGGCATGAGTTTTCTGTTGAGTCCAGCGCCACCGAAGATGGGGCCAACTTCACGTTTTGGTGATGCACTAAGTTTCGCCGATCGACAATTCAGTGGCAAGATGACAGAATTGGTTGTCATATGGAGGGATTTGTTGTATATATAATTCTTGACGATGTCCGGTAAGTCGGGATCCAGCAGAATTCATATTCCTCATGACATCGAGCATTTAAAAGAGAAATCATCAAGTTTACCATGCCTTTCTTGGATCCTTCCTCGTCGAGCTCTGAGCGGGATAAGAGCACCTCGGGCACAGAATACAGCACTCGGGTGAGTTTCCTGATGACCCACCATCTTGCCACCTCTTCTGTATTGACTGGCTTCAGGATGAATCGAGAGGCGTTGCCGTGGTGGGCATGGCCTGCCGCGCCCCGGGTGGAATCAATGATCCCGACCAGCTTTGGAAGTCCCTGTTAGACAAGCTAGACGCCAGCGGGGAGATTCCTGCCTCTCGATGGGAGTCATACCGCAAAAGAAACCCTCGCTTCGAGAGTGCTCTCGACGGAACTACAAACAGAGGTTACTTCGTCGAGAACATTGAGGACTTTGACTGCCAATTCTTCGGAATCTCCCCCAAGGAGGCAGAGCAAATGGATCCCCAACAGCGGATCTCTCTCGAAGTGGCATGGCAGGCGATCGAAAATGCCGGCATTTCCGCGCAAAAGCTCAATGGCACTGACGCAGGAGTCTTCTGGGGCATCAATACCGATGATTATTCGCGACTCATCCTGGAGGATCTCGCTGATGTTGAGGCGTGGATGGGGCTTGGGACTGGATTCACTGGTGTTCCAAATCGCATTTCATACCACTTGAACATAAACGGGCCAAGTGTCTCGGTTGACGCCGCATGCGCCTCTTCTCTTGTAGCCGTACATAACGGTGTTCAAGCTATCCTCGAGGGGGAGTCGACAGTTGTGATCGCCGGCGGTGTACATGCCATGTGTGGCCCTGCTCTCACTCGGGTGATGGACAAGGCAGGAGTTTTGGCACCCGATGGACGTTGTCGCTCCTTCGACGACAGCGCTTGTGGATACGGGCGTGGAGAGGGCGCAGGGGCGGTTGTCCTGAAGTCTCTCCCCGAGGCCATCAAAGATGGTGACCACATCCTTGCAGTGATCAAGGGAAGCGCCGTCGCACACAATGGTCGATCAAATGGAATTATGGCCCCCGATTCCAAATCTCAGCAACGAGTGGCTTTGAAGGCCCTGCAGGCCGCCGGTGTTGATCCGATGACCATTCAATTCGTCGAAGCCCATGCCACATCGACATCTCTCGGAGACCCAACAGAGATTTCTGCCATCGCGGAGGTGTATGGAAAGCTAAGACCGACCGGTGATCCATGCTACGTGGGCTCGATCAAGCCAAATATTGGTCATTTGGAGGCAGGTGCAGGTGTTATGGGATTCATCAAAGCAGTTTTGGCCCTTCAGCACGGGGTTATACCTCCGCAAACGAACCTACAAACTTTGAACAGTAAGATCGACTGGAAGAATGCCGGCCTGCGTGTCGTGAAAGAGAAGACGAAATGGCCGGCAACTGAGGGAAGGCGACGGGCGGCAGTTTGTTCTTATGGTTACGGGGGAGCTGTCACTCATGCCATTCTGGAGGAAGCTCCCGCATTACCGGAATTGGCCGAACCAGAGATTCCTGTTGTCAGTGAAACTGGTCCACGAGTGTTGCTGGTATCTGCCCTCCAAGAGCAGCGGTTGGCGGCAGCTGCGGGGTCATTGCGAGACTGGCTCGCCCAGCACCCCCAGCCTCCTAGCTTGGACTCTATCTCCAAGACCCTAGCTGCGAGACGTACCCATCATGACATTCGAGCGGCGGCGATAGTTGAAGACACTGCCAACGCCGTGGATGCTTTGGATAACCTGGCCAAGAAGTCAAATGCGGTTTGGACCGTTCAAGGTCGTGTGCTTAAGTCTGCTCCAACAAGAGACATTGTCTGGGTCTTCTCCGGACACGGAGCGCAGTGGCAAAGCATGGGAAAGGAGGTCCTGAAAAACGAGGTTTTCCTGAACGCAATTAAGCCTCTGGATGCCATTGTACGTAATGAGATTGGTTCATCTCCAATTGAATGGCTCCAGTTGGGCGATTTTGCGGCCTCCGATCGTGTTCAGATCTTGACCTACCTCATGCAGATTGGCATTAGTGCAATCTTGCAGAGCCAAGGGATTCTCCCAAATGCTGTGATCGGTCACTCTGTGGGAGAAATAGCAGCTTCCGTTGTCGCAGGTGCACTCTCTCCAGAAGAAGGTACACTTCTCGTCACGCGCAGATCAGTTTTATATCGACAGGTCATCGGCCAAGGCGCGATGGCCCTCGTACGCCGGCCATACGAGGAGGTCTCTCGAGAACTCGAAGGTAACGACAAGGTCACAGTCGCTATTGACTCGTCGCCTTCCTCATGCGTCATTGCGGGCACGAAAGAGGCTGTCAAAGATATCCAGGAGTCTTACAATAAGAAGGAAATCGAGAACTTCAGCGTCAAGACCGACATTGCGTTTCATTCACCAATGCTGGACAAGCTTGCAAACCCCTTATCGGTCGCTCTTCGCGACGTTATCTGGCCCAAACAGCCGTCCATCAAGCTCTATTCCACAACGTTGTCGGATCCACGAAGTCAAAATCCGCGAGGCATCAAGTATTGGATTGACAATATGATTAGTCCGGTTCGATTGACGTCTGCCGTCCAGGCCGCTAAAGAGGATGGCTTTAGAATCTTCCTGGAAGTCTCAAGCCATCCACTTGTCGCGCATTCTATCGAAGAAACGCTCGTGGACAGTGACGCCGGGGAGCATGTGGTGATACCCACCCTTCGCCGCGACCAGCCCGCTGAGAAAAGCATTCTTCGTGCTATAGGCCGTCTACACTGTAGCGGCGTTGAAATCGACTGGGAGGATCAAATGCCCGGTCCCTGGGTGCATGGAGTGCCGACAGCACCTTGGGCGCATCGTCCTTTCTGGCGCAAACCTTCTAGTGCAGCTCTCGCCCTGCACAATGTCCGTGGTCACAACCTACTAGGGCAAAAGGTTGCCGTGGCAGGCAGCGAGACCGTTCTTTACACAACAACACTGAGCAAGGAGGCAAAGCCTTTCCCGGGGAGTCATCCCGTCATGGGAACCGAGATCATACCCGCGGCGGTTCTTCTGAACAGCTTCCTTCAAGCCACCAGCGGCTTTGCATTGCATAACGTCAACCTGATTGCACCTCTAGAGACTGAGTCTCAACGGCTTGTGCAGGTGGTGATTCAAGGCGACGACGTGAAAATCTTGTCGCAGATCGTACAGAAAGAGCAACTGCTTGATAACCCCTGGACGACCCATTCAACCGCGAAGATTGTTCCCCGATCAGAGGTCACGGAAACGGCCGTTGAGGAGTCGATTAAAACACACCGCCCAGGAAAAGAGCTGAGCAAGTCATTCACCATGGACTACTTGACAGGAACCGGAGTCGATGGCATGGGATTTCCCTGGGCCGTGCTGGAACACTGGGGCGACACTCAAGAAATGCTGGTGCGTGTTGAAGTCGACCCAGACAACGAGCGTCTTCAATGGGAAACTTCTTCATGGGCGCCGTTCTTGGATGCAGCAACTTCTATTGCCGCCACCATTTTCCACGATCGGGCCAAACTACGCATGACGGCTGGCCTGGGTGGAATTGAGATATTGAAGGAGCAAGACCCGCCAAGGGTTGGCTGGATTCGCGTTCAGAGAAACGACGGCAGCGACTGTACTTGTAACGTCGATATCTTCAGTGAAGAGGGCGAACACTTCGTACGAATCACCACCATGCGTTTTGCGGAGCTCGAGAGCGGCTCCGATCAGAACGACGGGGTCTCGAAGCTTGTGCACCGAGTGGCCTGGCCGCCGGCAAGACTTACCGAGGAACCTCTCGACATTCAAGAAATTGTGCTAGTCACAAGCGACGAGGATGCTAAAATGATTTACACTAAGGAAGTCCCTCGCCACGTGGGTCTAACTCACGTTTCAACTCCAGATGAGCTGGTCCGGCGTGGAACGGAGGTTCCATACCGCAAAGAGCTAGTTGTTGTCTACGTCCCTGGTCAAGTGTCGTCATCTCAGGAGATCCCCGACTCAGTCGAACGTTTCTTGGCGGAGCTTCTCGCCGTCGCAAAACATTTGATCCAGTCAGGCGTACCGAGCAAGCTCTTCGTTCACACGACGAACGCATTCCAGGGTAAGACGCCAACGGCGCTGGCTCACGGACCGCTCCTCGGACAAAGTCGACTTATTTTCAGCGAGCATCCCGACATTTGGGGCGCTCACATTGATGACGAGTATAGAGCGGTGCCTCTCTCCACTATGAAGTACATCCAAGGTAACGATGTCATTCGGATTCTCGACGGAGTCGCCCGAACGGCAAAGCTCCGGGATCTTCCACTCGACCGCCGCACCCAATCTGTGTCTCGGATGCTGCCTCGTCCCGAGGGAACGTACTTGATCACCGGAGGACTTGGAGATCTTGGACTTGCAACCGCCGAGTTCTTCGCAGATCACGGAGCGCGGCGATTAGTGCTGCTATCCCGGCGTCAACTACCACCTCGCAGACTGTGGGGCAGCCTAACCGGCGCCGATCAAGCGGTCGCTGCGCGGATAAACGAATTGGAGAAACGCGGCCTTTGCGTCTTCGTGCTTTCCATTGACATCGGCTCTAGCAACGCGGCCGAGACACTCATCCAATCACTTGACCAGCTAGGCCTTCCACCGGTTCAGGGCGTTGTCCACGCAGCCGGAGTGCTGGAAGACCAGCTTATCCTTAACACCACCGAGGAAGCATTCCATCGCGTTCTCTCGCCCAAAGTCACCGGGACATTGGCTCTCCACCAAGCATTCCCTCCTGGTACTCTTGACTTTTTCGTCCTCTTCGGTTCTTGTGGTCATCTGGTTGGCTTTCCGGGACAGGGAGCGTATGCGCCCGCTAACGCTTTCCTTGACTCTATTGCTACTCATCGTCGCAACCTTGGAGATAACGCAGTGTCATTCCTGTGGAGTTCTTGGACAGATATGGGTCTAGGTAATGGCAACGATTTGTTGGTTTCTGAAATCGAGAACAAGGGTATCACGGAAATCAGCCGTCAGGAAGCCTTTGAGGCCTGGCTCCATCTTGCCAGATATGACATTGATCACGGCGTGGTGGTACGAGCCCTGCCGATAGAGGAAGGGCAAGGCATTGTCAACCCTCTTCTGACCGACATTGCCGTTTATCGTCGTTCGACAAGTTCTGCCCCCAAGTCTGGAGAGCCTGCTGCTGCGGCCCCTACATCGAGTATACCGTCGTCTGGGCCCGAATTGAAGGCCTACCTAGATGAAAACATTCGCGCGACTGTCGGGGATGTTCTGCACCTTCCTCCATCTGATGTTGACACCACGGTCGCACTTGCAGATATGGGTATGGATTCGGTGATGACTACCGTTTTACGACGACAGCTCCAGAAGGTGTTCAATATCAACGTGCCGCCAACATTGATATGGAATCACCCAACAGTTGGTCACATGGTCGAGTGGTTCGCGCAGAAATTGGCTACCTAGGTTATATTCAACTAGACAAACGACCTGAAGTCGGTGGTTTTCGTTTTGTGATGTTATATAGAAGCTCGAGCAAACAAGTCAGGGTGGTGGAGATGGAGAGTTGAAACGCGACGGGAAAACGACGGTCGCTTGGCACATTCCACGGTCACGTGCTTAGTGCCTTACGCACCGTGTGGTTGCTTCCATTTCACCTTGTTGATAGATGTCCTTCTTGTATGCGGCCTTTGGTTTTCAATTATACGTTAGATACTGCGTTTGAAAAAATGTTTCGTTTTCAATTCTTTTGATTGTGGCATTGACTTTGCTAGTTCTTTGGAATGTCTAAGAGTGACTTGCCAACTCGGCTATATATACTGTAAAACACTAACAACCCCCCCTCGCCATGCTTCATTCTTACACAGCTGCAGCACCTGTTGATGAGAATGAAAACAAATCTAGACGTATCTCTCAAGTGAATTGTAAGTAAGATGCCTCCAACAAGCGCGCTGATATGAACGAGCCAAACTCTACTAATAGGCAATGGCGAGTTTCAAGGGGTCTGCATAGGCGAATCAACAGGAAGCCCGCGCAAACTAGGAGAGATAGTAGATAGCTATCGAAACTAACAAATACACCATTAATCGTACGTAACACAAAATAGAGGTATTAACTATCATGATAGAGTGATTGGCCCCCAACAAGTGAGTGTTATTACCTCCACACTGGGAGCCAAAATGACCTCAATAGCCGACGCTAGGTAACTGTAGTTGTTGAGGTTCGATAAGGGGGTTGATATCGCAGTACTATTCTGCAGCTATCTTGCATGAAGTGTAAAAAGCCTAGTGCGTGACACACTTTTGAATCCGGGGTTATCTAGTACTCCGTACGGAGGAGCAACCCGGGAGGAGCTCCTCCTGCAGATCAGACCCCGGTGGTTTACCAGAGTGAGACGCCATGTGCTCCTATCATCTGAGCACGATTAGACTATGATAGTGATATTAAACGGGAGCTCTCAATATGGACAGGAGCTCTGAATATTGACGGGGCTCTCGATATCGGCAATAGTAGTGTTATCGTGTTCGGGTGACCAGCAAAGCCCGACACTCCGCGGCGGAGCTCACTCTATATTATACCACATTAAGGAGTATAATCGTTAACTAGTAGGTACCAAGGCGAGATTTTCTACCGAAATGTCTTTATTAATTTCGACCTTCGGTAAAAATGACATACAACGAGATCCGAGGTCGTCTAGCCCTAGTCACGGGCGCATCAGGAGGGTAACGCCAGCCCCAGATTCGGAGTCTTGGTTGAGGGCCAATTTGCAAGGATTGAGATTTCAGCTGACACAGGTTTGCTCTTAGGATTGGAGTGGCATGCTGTCGCCAGCTAGCTCAGCGTGGGGTAAATCTCGCACTGAGCTATGCGACAAATCTGGGGTCGATCCATGAGCTTGTGGCAGAACTTCAGTCAACACACGCCGAGAACCAGCTACGCATATCGATTCATAAGGTGGATGTTGGGTCTGCCGATCAAATCACGGCCATGTTTCAGGAGATCGATAAGGAACACGGCCAAAGACCAGACATTCTGATCTCAAATGCAGGATATGGTAAACGGATAACTAACGTGTGGGACATTAAGCTCGAGGATTTCGATTACATGCTTAATGTCAATCTGCGTGCTTCATTTATCCTGGTTAAGGGCGTGGTAGAGCACATGAAAGCTCAGCAATGGGGTCGTATTGTGTTCATGTCGTCTATCGCTGCGTCGGGAGGTGGAATCAATGGATGTCGTTAGTTAATCCCCTGCCTATTCAACCGATGTAAGGCTTTGACTGACGATATTTTCGGCAGACTACGCGGCTTCCAAGGGCGGACTGAGTGGTATGATGAAGAATCTATCGAGCCGTTTGGCCCAATATAACATCAGCGTCAATGACGTTGCTCCTGCCATGATCGGCGATACAGGGATGGTTCCAAATACAGCGGCAATCGCAGACACGGTGGCAACTATCCCTTTAGGCAGATTAGGAACGCCAGAGGAGACGGCAAACGTGGTCACTATGCTAGTGACTACCGGATATATGACAGGCCAGAGCTTGTTGCTAGCCGGTGGTCTCAAATAGAAATAGATTTATCATGTAATTGACGCCCAGAAAGTTATGAATGGAATTTATAGGTAACTAAAAGACTCAAATATGTATCTATGTCCTGCTGGCCGTTCAATTAAAAGTAAGCGTCTGATGTTTTCACATGGACATCTTAAGGCAATAGCTGACAGTTAAGCTATCACCATCTTCAATTCCATGCAATACCTATCCAGCATTCCAAACAAGCACAAGCCTGTGTGCCGATTTCATCACGATCGCTGAGAGCTAGCGCCATCAGTAAATAGTCTCAGTATATGCCATAATGAAATCTCTTTCTAGAGGACTTGAAGTCAAGGTTCAAAAATTTTCCTTAAGATGTATAAACCATGGTACCCTGTAGAAGACAGGTTACGATGGGCTTGGGGTTCGGTCTGTCATAGCCCTAGAGGCTCGGTATGGACAATAAACTTGATTAAATATTAATAATAATGGGCTTGGGGTCCTAAATATTTAATGATAGAACATGGTCACAGAAATTGATAGTCTTAAATTGAAAATATCAAGATTCAAACAACTCGTAAACTAACAAATTTATCTCTATCACACATGCGCCTCAAACTGGTAGAACAACCTTGACCCCCATATACTCCCGTTGATGCATGATCTTGCCATCGATGAGCACTTGATGAGCACCAACTCTGTTATTGACAGTATCAGTTGGGTCAGTACAAGTACTGATCTGGATCTCGCGCCATTGTCGATTGGTAGGGACAGCATTGCCCTGGGATGTGAGTTTCTTGAATTCCTTGTAGACTCCTTGCTCCTCAATACAACCCTCTCGTCGGATCAATTTTGAATCTGGACAGCCGTTAGCACATATTACTCATGTCGATATTTTGACGTGGGTTCTTCCGCTTACCCTGTGCAGGTGTCATGCGTAAATCTCCGATGGAGCTGTTAAACAGAACCAGCGAAAGACGCTCTTCGTTCAATTGGTCGACAGGTGGCTTGAATACACGATGACGAGTGGCCTTGAAGTGGCCGCCTGAGACAATCTCCAAGGTATCACCGATATTGATGACGAGTGCACCGGGCTTGTAGGGAACATAGTACCATTGTTCATCGCGGCCCCAGATCTGGAGGCATGAGATGGGGACGGAGAATAGCAACGTAGTCAGGCCGAAGTCAGTGTGACCGTGCATGCGAAGGCCTTTGGATGCCTCCTGTGTTTGTTTCTGGACCGGTCGGAACAAGGCATGGCGGAAGTATCCCTCTCCAGTTGGGCTGCCATGGGATTGTACGTTATCCCACAGGTATTCATCCGGTAACTCGAGGACACGCGAGAGGACGGTCAAAAGCCGGTAGTTGACAGACTTGGTCAGGTAGTTGCTGAATGCTTCAATCTCGTCCATGAAGGGATGCAGGCACTTCGGCACACGATCGAGAGATTCCCAGTCGTCCTTGTACCAGTTGAATTGCTCGATGCCATCGGCGGGACCACGGTGGCGCTGAACGGCAGTCAGTATACGATTGAATCTCGAAAAAAGATTGTATGTCCTACCTTGAATCCATACGGATGCTTGTAGCCTGACCACTTGCCACTGTTGGGATTGAAAAGCAGGCGCTCCTTGTCCTCCTCGCTTATGTTGTGATATAGATATTGAGCAAGAGCGAACTGGCGGTGCAACTGTTGGAATTGTGTAAATCAGCCATCTACACTTTTCCTTCCTATGATCCTCTATCTTACCTGCTCAAGGGAAACTCCATAGTTCTCGAGGAACAAGAAGCCGTCGTCGCGGATAGCAATCTTGACCTGTTGGACAAGATTGTCAACGACTGCTGGATCATTGGAATCCAAGAGTGACAGATCAATGGACTTGAGCTCGGCAAAGTTGTGCTTTTCTTGGGTGACTGGAGGCGGAACCCATTCGGGGACGAAAGGCTTGCCGGGGAGATCGGCTGAAGGGGGGTTGAATGGAGCTGCGGGTGCCATGACTAGATGTATATGTAGTGAGAACCTGTTGCTGGTGCTTGATGCTCAGTATAGCCTCGAAGGAAGGGTCTATGATGAAGCTCTTATATCTCTCCGGTGTTGTATTGAAGCATACCAATGTGCACCGCGAGCTCCCGGTCGGCCCATCAAGCGAGAAGGATCGCATCTCCCGTCCTCTGAACCAGTATGGCTGACCTAGATTAACCTCTCAATCTACTTCTGTCCATATGCAAGAGCTCCTCTCATGGTATCTGTGACTAAGCCGAATCGAGCTTGCTGGGTGGCAGGCCTGGTGGAGCGGGAGGAGCTCCTCCCAGTTAGGGCCGGAGGAGGTTATCTACACTTATTTATACGCATCAATTGCAATTCATCCTGTAGGTATCCTAAAATCAAAGCTCGATTAATACTGAACACGCTATCTATCCTCCTCCGTCTTACTCTTAGTTAAGATGTCTCGCCAACTCATTTCCAGTGAAAAGTTCCCAACCAAGCCTCACAACTGTAAGTGGTTTCGCAATCTTGGAAACTATCGCAGTGAACTAATAAAGCTAACAACGTGCCTCATAGGTCCTGCTACCAAGGTCCCTGGTCTTGTCTTCTGCGCAGGTCAAACAGCCACCGGAGAGATCAAGCAAGCGACGGTAAGTCCTCTGCAACCGCTCAGTACTGTTTGAATGCAACAATTGGCTCATTTTTCTCCTCCAGAGAACCGTCCTTCAAAACCTTAAAGAAGTCCTCGAGCTATCAGGATCGTCGTTGGATCAGGTAGTCAAGTACAATGTGTATCTTGCGGATATGAAGGATTTTGCTGCCATGAACGAGGTCTACATCGATTTCCTGCCCCAGCCGATGCCATCGCGCTCTTGTCTGCAGGCAGTTCCTCCGGGCAATGGAACCGTCATTGAGATTGAATGTATTGCGCAGGTTTAAGAAAAGAACATTTAGATCAACTTACAATGACATGCTTTTCACAAAATGCGACCGTAATTTGTTGTCCAAGCTTATCATTATCCGCGCTATTGAAAGCACTCAACCAAAAAAAAAAAAAAAAAAAAAAAAAAAAGAAAAAAAAAGATTAGAGTAAAATAAAATCAAGTCCGATGAAAGAAATAAGATATTATTATTCTGAAGTGAGCATGGAAAGAAAATAACTTTTGCGTGCAATTGGTCTGTAAAATGTGTAGAAACTAGGTAGAGCGCCTGAGGAATCCACACTTTATCTCTACAACCATCTGGATAACCATCCTAGTGGGTTAACCATTCACTACGTCAGTGTGCTCACAGAATCAAAGCAGATCTACCAGTGATGGACAGGGTCGAAAGACGAAACAATCGAAAGAAGTCTATTTGGCATTAAAATATCTAAAGTCTCACGACCGGGCAATCTCAAACTCCGCCATGTACCAGTTCTGAATAGCCTTGGTATCGCCCGTGATGGCGACCATATCATAGCGCTCTCTCGCCTCCTTCGCCATCGTACCATTGTTCACCATTCTCCCAGCCCATTTCCCATGCTTGCGCGCGGCCGCAATGATCTTATCCACCGCCGCCACAAACTCCGGCTCATCGCCACGCGCAGGCACATACCCAAGCAGCGATTGCGCCAGGTCATTAGGTCCAATGAAGACAAGATCAACCCCCGGTACCGAGCAAATGGCATCCACATTCTCGACTCCTTCGCGGGTCTCGATCTGGATCATCGTGATGATCGTCTCATTGGCAGAGAGCATGTACTCGGGTGTTGTTAGGCCGTGCGCGATGGCTGGGAAGGCAGACCCTTGACCGCGCACTCCCTGTGGTGGGAATTTTGCCGACGCGACGATTTGTCGCGCCTCTTCGGCGTTGTTGATCTGCGGGACCATGATCCCATGGGCCCCGGTGTCGAGAGCTCGCTTGATGATGTCGTGGGCTGGGCCACGGATGCGAATAACGGGCGATACCCCGAGTGCTGAAATGGCAGATACGGAGTTGTGCATCGAGTCGTCGCCGATGTGGCCGTGCTCGCAGTCGATGATGATGCCGTCGACTCCTGTCAAGGCGACGATCTGAGCAATTCGCACGGAGGGAAGCGCCATAAAGGTCAAAAGTGGGTATTCTCCGGCTTTGATCTTGTTCAACAACCTCAGACGGGAGTTGGAGATCTCCGTCGTCTGAGGAGTGAGGTAAGAGGTCGTGGGAGCAGGCATATTGTGCGTATTGGAGGGAAGAGAGGAGAATGGTTGATGGGAATATTTTTCAAAATTTCAAGTTTTCTCACTTAAGTATGCAGGATGATAGTCTAGTATAGCCTCGGGATTCATCCACACCGGAGGAGCTCCTCCCACGCCCTGTCACTCCTCCAAGTCCTCCCAAATCCCAAGACACCAAGACCCACTCGCTGTACCCCAGGTTTGAACCAGTCTAGTTGTCTAGGCAGCATTGCCAATTGGTCTGCTATCTATGGAGCCGTTCCCCTCTTTTCTTTATCTCAAGACCCACTATCAATAGCCGGGTTGGTCCTCTCTAGATAACGCGCTGTTTATTATGGCTGGAGAGGAGCCCTCGTCCTGCTCCTCGGCCAGTCGAGAGCTCAGTCATTTTCTGCTTGATTTTTGATACCTCGATGTCTACCAATATGGATCCTGACATGGACACCAAGAAGCGTCCGCTCTCGGGACATAGCGACAAGGTCTCCGCTGCTGAAGGGCAAGTCGACTTCGCATCTCGTCGTATGCCTGACAGTCTTCGGGACCTTAGCGATGAGGAGATCAAGAAGCTCAACAAGAGAGTCGTGCGAAAGGTGGATTTGCTAGTCCTCCCTACCATCGGCATCCTCTACATCCTGAACTATGTCGACCGCCAGAACCTGGCTGCAGCCAAGCTCCAGGGCATCATGGAAGATCTCAACATGGACACTCAGCAGTTTGCTACGGCCGTTTCCATCCTGTTCGTCGGCTACCTCCCGTTCCAGATTCCGAGTAACCTCATCATGACCAAGATATCCCGGCCGGGCATGTACATCTGCGTTGCTGTCGTCATCTGGGGCGCCATATCTGCCTCAACGGCCGCCGTCAAAACATACGGTCAGCTGCTCGCCGTCCGAGCTGTTCTGGGAGTTGCCGAAGCGGTTTTCTTTCCTGGTGCCATCTATTATCTGTCCGCCTGGTACACAAAGACGGAGTTGGGAAAGCGTATTGCCGGGCTATACATCGCTCAGCAGGTGGGTAACGCCTTCGGAGGTCTCTTCGCCGCCGCTATCCTCCAGCTAGATGGAGCGCACGGCATCGCTGGCTGGGAATGGCTGTTCATCATTGAGGGTAGCGCAACTGTCGGCATCGGTGCCGTCTGCGCCTGCGTTATGCCCGAATTCCCACACAACAGCCGTATCCTGTCGCAGATCGAACGAGACCTAGCTGTCTGGCGTATCGAGTCTGAGTCCGGTGCCGCAGAAGGCACTGAGAAAGAGAGTGTGCTGCGAGGTTTTGCCAAAGCTCTCGCAGACCCGAAGCTCTTGCTCCTCATCTTCGCCAACATGTTGTCCCAAACCCAGGGCTCTATCGCCAATTACTTCCCTACCCTCGTGGCCTCGCTCAACTTCACCGAAACAATCAGCTTGCTCCTCACCGCGCCGCCGTATATCCTCGCCGGTACGGTCTACTATGTCCTCATGTTCTACTCTGACCGCAAGAACACCGTCTACCCGATCATTTTGCTCTGCGTGGCCATCTCCATCGTCATGTACATCATCCCCATGACCACTCTCAACGTGGGAGCACGCTACTTCTCAATGGTCATTTTGCCCTTTGCCTCTGTCGGTCCTCAACTTCTTCTTTACAAGACTATTAACCTGCATCTGGCTCGACCAGTGGCGAAGCGGGCTGCCGCCTCGGCCTTGGTTAATGCCATCGGAGGAACGTCTAATATCTGGGCGTCATATCTTTACTACGCCCCGCCGCAGTTCTTTGCCGCGTTTGGAACGTTGATGGGAAGTGCCGTGTTGTTGGCTATCACGATGACCGTGTACCGGGGTTTGGTGAGACGAGAAAACAAACGTCTCGACTCGGGAGATCCAGAGCAGATCGCAAAGGTTATGAAAGGGGGCGTGACGGAGGAGATGGTGCAGTTGAATTGGCGGTATGAGATGTACTGATTAATACCGGTGGGAATCGTCATGTCGATTTGTTCAGTTGTTATCGACTGTTGATGGAAAGTAAATTATACATAGTGCATATATGGTGTAGCATGAATCAAGACTCGAGCTGCTGCAGACTGGAGAGAATCAACTTCCCGATCTGCCATCGCTCTCGTCGCCGAAATACATTCCGCGCCCATTCCAAAGCCCCCTGCTCATCACCATTGTGCACCCCAGCCACCTCCATCGCACCCGGAATGCAACCCCGGACAAGCTGCCAGGCGATCAAAAATGCCTTGTACGCGTATACCGCCGCCCATGGCGCCTCGTGGGCGGGATCTACTGTCGTGTCGAGATAACGTAGAAACCAGTCGACGTGCGGCTGGATGGCCTTGGCCGTGTCGACGTCCCATAAGAATTCATAAGATGGAGCCAGGGCGGTGGACTGGCTTAGCACTGCGTCTAAACTGGCTGCCACAACTCCACCCGTATGTGCTGGGGACCAGAGATGCAGCTCAATCATGGCAGTCTCCCAGGTTGCGGCTGCGTGCATGGCCTTCCCGGTCTCGGACTGTGGCCGGATGAACGGGCCTAGGGCAATTAGGGACGATCGCAGAGCGTCGAGACGGTCCATGCTGAGCATACCGGTCATTGTGGACCAGCCAGATGCTTCTCGGGCGCTTGAAATTAAGAATTGCGCGACGTTGATGGCGCCGTAGGGGTCGAATGTCGGGATGGAGCCCGTCTCGGATGATAGAAATCGTCGAACAGCTTCAGGGTAGGGAACTGAGGGACCGGGATATATGGCAACAAGCTGGCGATGGGCCCAGTCTGCGGCGGAAGATGCTGTCCACTGGTCTTCTGGACAAGGGAGGTCATGCTTGACTTCCAGATGAGAGATGCAGCGCGGAATCGAGAGGAACTGGTACCATAGCGCATCGATCTGGTGAACAGCAAAGGATGTGCGCTTGTGCGACTCGGTCTTGATGAAATTGCACCAGAGACCTTCGAGATCCTCGGCTGCAGATGACTCGGGTGGTGTGGGTTGCATCAATCCTCCTGCCCGAGCCAGCGAAATCATGTCGGAATGCATTTTCAGCCCCGTCGCCGAGTCGTCTCCGCAGAGATACATCATGGCACAGATTTGTAAAAGTAGATATGACTGGATTAAAGGCATATTCGGCCCTGACATATCAAGTCTCCCTTCATCGGATGTCGTAAGAGTATTTGCTCGACGAAAGCACCGCGTTGATAGACTCGCCCCTGATCCCGGTTGATCGTCGCATTCGGGGTCTTCGCCGTGTTGGTATCCCAGGCAAATGATAGCGAGGACCAAATGAACAGGTAGCTGTGCGGCATCGAATGTTGGTTTGTGTAGAAACGGGACATAGTGCGCAACATGTGAGAAAAATAAGTCGCACCCCCGTGCGATCTGTAAGGGTGAGCAGTCGCTTTCAGGAATGAGTTGGTTGAAGGCGCAGGGTACAGGGCTTCCTAGTTCGTGAGTTGGTTTGAAAAAAGCTGTTCCTAGGGCATCTTGCACCATCCGATCAATTGTGTCTGACTGAATTATGGAAATTCCGCGTGTTTCTTCGTGATCATGAAGCAGCATCTGTGGGCTCCCGCCCAGCACCATTTCATCCCCCGAATGGTGAAGTTGAAGTCCATCATGACTATCGGGTGACGACCCGGAATATTCGTCGCGTGCTCGGCGCCGTGGTCTCTGAATAGCTCGTCCCGGTTCATGCTCCGGGTGTTTTCGCTTCATGTGTCGATTTCGAAGATCGGGACGTGAGAAGGTTGCCTGGCAAAAGCCACAGCGAAGGGAGGCTTGGTGTGAGGCAGAGTGGAGTTTCGCATGACGTTTGAGGTTCTCATGGCGGGTGAAGCGACTCTGACAGACGAGGCACTGATAAGGCTGGTACGTTGACATCCTCGAGATCAATGTAGGACAACATGTTGTGAAAAGAAATCCGGGGCTCTCAGATGGGGATCTCCCACTCGGCGCTTCCCCGCACAGCCAAGAATCGGCTAATGACTGCTTATCTGCGCGTGGAACAGACGATAGGAGCCCTAGAGATATGCCGATGGAACACCTGGCGTTACTGCTTCGAGTCTAGCCATATTTAGTGCCTTCCTTCTTATCAACTGCCCCGATTAGCGCCGGAGAAGATCCGCGGAAAACGTGTCATTCACTACGGAGTACTGTCGGGATTGGACAATAGTCTGTTATCTTGTGGGCACTTTCAAGCAGCCACACTTGGGCGCTCATGTTGTCTCCTTTAGAGGCGGAAGATCTTTTATATTCCGTGGGGTTAACCGATGTTTACTGACTATGGTACCATCACAAAGATCACAGTTGGCATTGGTTCTTTCTCTAGAAGGCGTGAGCCCGATTTATAAGCCCTATCTAATCCGATATGAACTATCCAGAAGGGACATCGAAGATGGTCAGCGTGGCGCATTAGATCATTCCTGCAGTGGGAAACCATATCCGACCAACAGGGCAGGTTCGTCAATGCTGTGGTGTTGGTAGCTAAATGATACGTTAGTTTGATGGCTTATTACAGATCAAGGATCTCCTACCTCAAGACACCCACGGCGCCAGGCTCAAGCATCAAGGAAAGATTGAATTCCATAGGATATCCGAGCCAGCGCTTGGTGAAAGCACGAAGCAAATGACCATGGGCAACAAGCAAGACGTCCGAAGGGTTCTCTCCGTGCATGTTGTCCTTTTGCATCGCACGGATCTCCTCAATCAGACTATCGATGCGGGCTGTGACTTCTTGCGGGGATCTGGTTTTTCCAGTCAACTATGCTCGGGATATGCCTGGTGAGAATAGCTTACTCTCCGTCTTCGCAGCCGTCGCGCCAAATGTCCCACGCCCTGTCGGTATCCAGACCATGATCCTTTCTCAAGGCTCGGATCTCCTTGGTCAGGAGCCCCTCGTACTGGCCGTAGTTCCATTCCGATAATCTATCGGTCTCGGAAACCTTGTGCGCATCATTCATCGCCTGTCTGTCGGCTTCTTCGAATGCAATCTCAAAGGTTTGCATCGCTCTCCGGCGAGGACTGATATACACGTGGGCAAGGTTGGCCGGGTCAATGAGTTTCCCCGAGCCCACAATCATCTTGCCGGACGCCAGAACCTGCTGCTCGCCATCGGTGGTGAGATCCAGCTCGCTGACGCCAGTGTAGCGTCCGCTCTTGGACCACTCAGTCTGGCCTGGATGGAACCGGTCAGACTCTCACGGTAGGAACCGAATTACTGGGACATACCGTGTCGGTAGAGAAAGACACGGGGCGTGCCGGCGTCTTTGTCGGGCATTGTGGATTTCTAATTTCTATGTGTGGGTGAGGTGAAGTCTGGAATCGTAACAAATTGTCTTATTTCAACGGAATGCGGGTTTGTGGGGTGGAAAATTTGGGAGAAAAAAAAGGTTTCCGCGGCCCGCAGAAAGTCGGGCTTCACCGGGTGGGCGATGAGGTTTAGCTTAATTGCGTCAACTGTGATTCATCTTATCGCGGGTGTCAGATCCATGAACCTTGAAGGTCAATAATGGCTATTCTAAGGATTATTACGGAATTTTCTATGGCTTGTTCGCTATTGTTGGTAGATTGAACTTCTACTCAGACTGCTGTATATATTTATGTGGGTCCGGCATCATATTGGTCTGTTAAAAACCCACGTGCGAAATAGTCTATTGCTAAATAGAATTATACAGTAGAGAAGAAAGAGTCTCATTACTAAAAAGTCAAGCAACTATTCTCAGTATAATAGCGCACATTGAATTGCATGTTTTTGCCCCATCGCCTGATTTCTTTGCACTCGTATGACAGCAAGAGGGCCCCATAAAAGTAAAATATATAATCAGTATGAGCCTGTCTTCACTTGGCCAGCAGTGTGTTAGTTAGGTATTTTCATGTATAGATTTGAGATTGGCAATGAATGACTCCAATGACTTAATGAGCACGTTTTGTTGGAGAAAGTCCTAGATATGGTTCTCCATTAGTTTCAACTGGAAGGGACAAGTGAAAAAGGGCTACAGTGTCATTGGGTGCATAGCTAGTGAGAGTAAATTGAAATTACCGACTGTCGGATATGCTAGTTCTCTTCAAAACCTCCCCAATAGCTTGCGCAACGTAGTCGATATTTCCCTCATTCAGCCCACACACGCTCATCCGACCTGACGGCAACAGATAAATATGAAATTCCTCCTGGAGTTGAGATACCTGCTCCTTCGTTAACCCTGTGTAGCTAAACATCCCAATCTGCTTCTCAACATGAGACCAATCACGACCGGTTTCCCCCTCCAGTCTCCGTCGTAGCAGAGACCTCATCTTGTGGATGCGCGAACTCATCGTATCCAAGTCGACCTTCCACTGAGTTCGAAGGTCCTTGTCACCAAGCACCGTCTCGACGATACTCGCTCCGAACCGCGGTGGATTGGAGTACTCGGCCCGCGCGATTCCCATTAACTCAGAACGCGCGCCCTGCGCTGAAAAGCACCGCGCGACAACCAAGTGCAACGCGCCGACACGTTCTCCGTAGAGTCCGAAATTTTTGGAGAACGATTGCGCCACGAGCAAACCCGGATGCGCAGAGTCCGCTAGCACATTCTCCACGAAATGGCGGACCGCCCACGCGTCACCGTCGACGTCGCCTGTGGCGAAGCCTTGGTATGCACTGTCGAATACTACGAATAGCTTCTTTCGTTGCACAAGGCCGGTGACCTGCATCCATTCGGACTTTGTCAGATCCACGCCGGTCGGGTTGTGTGCGCAAGCTTGTAGGATGACCACGTCGTTGGGCTCGGCGTGGTCCAGAGTGCTCAGCATCCCCGGAAGATCTACTCCTTTCGTGGCAGAAGAGTAGTATGGGTATTCTGCGACCGGTACAGCGGCCATTTCCCAAATCGACTTATGGTTGATCCACGTAGGAGAGGGGATGAAGACGCGGTTAGGGCGCAGATGGCGAGCGAGAAAGGTGGCAGCGATGTGGTTCGCGCCTGTGCCCGAGACAGTTTGAATTGATGCTGTGTTTGCTTGAAGGCTCGATGTGAGGGGGCCAAATATGAGGTCCTTTGACAGGTTGATAAAATTGGGCGAGCCCGCTATTCCCAGGTATTCATGTGTAGCTTTGCTGAGACGTTTCTTTGCCTATACTTATCATTAATTGCTGAACTGAGCCACAATATGTCGTAAAGGGACTGTACTTCTTTGACACTGGGTAAGACCCAAGGTTTTCCATTCTCATCGCGATATGCTCCAGCGATCAGCGAGACCTTTTTCGGATGAGGGTTGGCATCGAAGTCGGCCATCAGACCGAACGCGATGTCGGCGGGAGCGACCTCGAGATCAAGGTATTGATTAGCCATTGGGAAGTTGCTGTTTGATGTGTACTATCCAAAGCAAATGCCTTCTTTTGAAGATTTTTTGATATTGAGGCGAGTTGGTAGTTTAGTATACCGTGGCGCGCACGGGAGAATCACCGGTTGCCGAGTGCAGGGGTCTAGATGAAATCTCCACCGACACCAGAAGCCATCTATCGCGAGGATCGGCAAGTGCCCATTTTATCAACTCGTTATGCATCGTGACAGGTATGTTCCCACTCCCTTGGAATTTCCGAGGCGAGAAACATGTGGCGTCATAATCGGCGTGTTAGCATCCTGCCGTAACTCGCCACTGAAGAGTGAGAAACTCCCTCGGCCAGTGTCGGCGTGATGATCAGGTCACCGAGTTGACGGAATATTGGCTGAAGAGTCCAATGCAATCGGTATAGAACCGAATGCCCGATTTCTTAAGTTACTGGGTGACCCGCGAAGTTAGTCCTACATATAGCAGTGACGTAGTCGCTATTTCCTTCACTTTCAAAACATCTACCTTCTTCGTTGATCAACTCTTATCAAAACTCAACACAATGAGTCAACACAGCATTTTGGACCGGCTCTCAGCCCTCGACACCAACACAGTCTCCGATGCTTTGGACTTTCTCGGCCTCAAAGGAGCCACATATGGCCTACAACCCCTCTGGGACTGTGCCAAGATTGTCGGACGCGCCAGTACGGTGAAACTAGGCCCCAAGACGGATACTGCTCCAACGACCCATCTACTCACTCCGGTCATCGATGCCGTCACGACAGACGATCGCATTCTCGTCATCTCCGGTGGTATTGAGGGTATCTCATGCTGGGGCGATATCATTGCCAACGCCTCGAAAGTCAAGCAGATTCGCGGAACCGTCATCGATGGCATGAGTCGTGATATCGACGGTAGCCGCGATGTAGGATATCCTGTGTACGGTCGGGGTGTGACTATGATTAGTGCACGTAACCGTACAGTGCAGCTTGACTCGGGTGTACCGATTCCGATGCAAGGCGTCACGGTCAACCAGGATGACTACGTGATTGCCGACCGATGCGGAACCGTGTTTGTCCCTGCGCAGCGCATCGAGGAGGTCGTGGACTTGGGCGAGCGCATCGATCGCCGTCAAGCCCTTATGGTCCGCGACGTGAGAGCCGGAAGGCCCGTGTCGGAGGTCATGCATGACACGCAATTTGCAGCCATTCATCAGAGCAAACCCTCCCCTGACTCGTTGACATCCTCCAATCGCAATCCCAAGAAAGCTAGTGCCGAGGATCAAGAGCTGGTGGCCCTGTTCGCTGATTCCGACACCCCCGGCGTGTCTGACGCGCTGGATAAACTCGGGATCCCTGGACAGGCGTTCAACATCATGCCCTTGACGGATTACAAAAAGGTCACTGTTGGTCCGGCCTACACTGTGCGTTACGAGCCTGCCAGCAATCCGCCGGGAAGCGTTGGGGACTTCATCGATGACGTTCACGTCGGCGATATCGTAGTCATTGATAACAGCGGGCGCACTGACTGCACTGTTTGGGGCGATATTATGACCCAGTACGCTGGCCTGCGAGGCATTGCTGGATCTGTTATCGACGGTGTGTGTCGTGATGTGAATCGGGCTCTCAGTGATGACTATCCGCTCTTCACAGCTGGACGGTGGATGCGAACTGGCAAGGATCGGGTTCAAGTGGCGGGAGTCAGCGAGACGGTCAGCGTGGGCAAGGTCCGTGTCGAATCTCGCGACATTGTCATTGCGGATGCAAATGGTGTCGTTTTTGTTCCGCGACATCGAGCTCGTGAGGTGGCTGAATTCGCTCAAAGAATCGAAAGGACCGAGGCAGGCATTCGAGAAATGATCGCTAGCGGAGCCACAATCGCCGAGGCGAGGCAGAAACTTGGGTATCACACATTGCAGCGGAAGGAGTAGGATAATTCAGAGATATGGTTCTATTTAGTATAACTCTAGGTGATAAGTTTATGAAAACAGACAGGGTTATTTTCATGCGGTTCCTCAATCAAAGTAGTGTTGGACCGATGGTTCTTTAATCTAGATGTATTGTACTCCATAATTACACTTGATTTATTCAAGAACAGGCAATTGGAAGCGGGTTTCCCTTTACCTCTGCAAATCCAGAACAGTCCGGCCAAAACCGAGCACAACAGATTTTGTATGATGGTACATACTTCTAAGGTGGACAATTGTTATAATTCATTGATGGTTTCTACGTTCGCATCGCTATCTATCTTCCCAACTTTGAATATTATAGATTTTATCAGGAGAACACTGAAGATAGACAATGGAGCCCGTACTACAATATACCTAATACTAAAACCTCGCCGCTTGCAGCTCATTTCTATACCAGTTCTGCATCGCCCGAATATCATAGCTCATCGCTACTGTGTCAAATACCTTCAAATGCTCCTTGGATGAAGCCCCGTCATTTGATAATCGACCAACCCACTTGCCATGTCTGCGGGCCGCTGCCACGATCTTCTCGATCGCGTCGACAAAGGCAGGCTCGTCACCTCTCGCGGGCACATAGCCCAGGATCGACAGTGCCAGGTCATTTGGGCCGATGAAAAGCATATCTAGAATGAGATTAGCCAAGCGGCTTTCCGGCTGTTTTGAAATATGATATTTACCAACGCCAGGGACCGCACAAATGGCGTCTACGTTGTCCACACCTGCTTTGGACTCAATTTGAAGACAGGTGATAAGCGTCTCATTTGCTGTTTTCAAGTACGTCGGAAGGTCAATGCCATGTGTGATGGCCGGAAATGCCGAACCTTGCCCACGAAGACCGTTAGGGGGAAATTTGGCGTACGAGACCACGGCTTTGGCTTCTTCGGCTGTGTTGATTTGAGGAACAACGATGCCACTGGCGAGTAATTCAGTACTGGATGCTAGGATTGGGGGCTGTGTCACTCACTGTGCACCTGCATCCAATGCTCTTTTGATCAAATCCGAGTGGGTCATTCGGAGACGGACAAGTGGTGATACCCCTAAGGCAGCGATGGCAGCTGTTGAGCTGTGCATAGAGTCGTCGCTGATATGCCCATGTTCACAGTCGATGATAATGCCCTGGATGATTATTATTAGGATGATAGATTATAGTAAGGTGGGCAGTGCTTACATCGACACCAGTTTGAGCTACAATTTGGGCTGTCCGAAAAGACGGAAGACCCAAGAAGGTCATAATAGGCTTAGCATTTGCTCGGAGAGCGTTGAGTAGACGTAGTTGTGGGTTGTTGACGGAGGCCATGGCTTATGTGTATCGGCTTAAACAAAGTAAATTCAGGGCAATCGTTCTTTTGCTCAGTGTGTAGAAATTATAAGTCGCAATAAACACAGCAAAGTAGTCAAGGAAAGCGTAAGAGTATGTGTTTCGACTGCTGTCACGCAGAAAACTGAAGTTCCGTCTAGAAAAAGTTGCCATAGACAAGGGAAGAGTAGGTATAGTATCGGCAAAGCGTACTTTTCCCGAGGGGACCTTAACACATGCCGATTTAGCACGAGAGTAGCCACGCCGCTACTAGAGCATCTGGATCAAACATCAGGTCATTGCCACTATAATTAAACCCTGTGTTCGAAGTTGTATTTTCGTCTGCCATTCTTTTTGTTCCCCCGGGCCATTTTAATGTCAACGTGCGTGCTGAATAACATCGTCCAATATCTTTAGCTCTTGCTATAGAATGAATGGCATCCTATTAGACAAAAATTATTTCTTCGAACACTCTAAGAGTGCCGACGTGACTATGCCCATGACAATCCATGATACTCAATTGAAAACAGTACAATATACTCGGTTGGATCGACGGATCGGCCCCATGGAAGATCAGACCGACACTAGCAGCACTATGTATACGTATGAATATCTATTCTATCTAAACTGTTATATACATCATTATAAGTCACTCTAAGCAATTCGATCCAAGAAACCTGCCAGTCGACGATACATCTCCGGCGGGTTCGAATACATAGGGAAATGTCCGCTGTGGGGAATTTGCGCCAACTCCACACCCTCCTTCTCCAACCGCCCCAGGTACGATAACCCGCGGTTCTCTTCTCCGAACATGAACATCTTCGGACACGGCAGACCGAGAAACATTCCCAGGAGGTCTTCATCATCTGATAGCCGCACCATGGATTCGAAAATCGCACGAACAGCGCCCGCACGGACCCGCGCGCGTAAGGTACTTGCGTAGAGAGGGCTGGCGAAGGATTTTGCCTGGCGGGTGCGACTGATGAAGGCGTCTAGGAATGCTTCCGGGTCGTCGGATGGGAAACTGAAGATTTGTCGGCTGAGGAAGCAGTCTTCCGGTGCGAGGTTCCCTTTGATATCCATGAAGCTTAGGATCTGGGATGGATGACGGTGGGCCAGAAGAAGCGCGGTCAGTCCGCCCATGGAGTGGCCGATGAGATGGAATTTGGTGATTTGGAAGTGAGAGAGAACTGCTTCCGCGGTGGCGACGAGGAAAGGAATGTCTGTGGCAGAGAGATTGTCGCTAGATGACTGCCCGCACCCAGGGGCATCAAAGGCAAGAAACCCATAGTTGCGTAGGGATGGATGCGCAATCAGAATGTCGGCCAGATCTTCTTTGCAGGAGCCGAATCCATGGAGAAAGAGGATTGGAGGGTTGGAGTTCAGGTTGTGAACAGTAGAGAGGCTCAGGTTGACTCCCTGAACTTGAAGGGGAACTTCCGTATATGCGGGTGTCATGACGAATGGTGTGAGTGAGGTCGAATGGACAGGGATTTTGCAGTAATTTGTATCTCAATTATTCTATACGGAGTAGAGATCGGGCGACGGGCTCGGGGAAAAGTCTTTTGGCCGTTTTCTGGGGCAATAAGAACGGTTCGCCCCACGTTGACCCAGGAATCATTAATAAAATATTTTATTTGATCCATTCCGATTTACGGATCAATGAGACCTAACACGATACTGACAAAATCCGAAACCCCAAAATCCAGCGAGGTCCTGGGATCAATTTCCCTATCCACAATCCCTGGAGATAATATCCCCGACGCAGAACCCCCGTGCGATCAGTCTTATGCGACTCCGAGACACATGCAACATTTCCACCATTCAACGTAGGAATCCGAATTGTCGAGCGACAAACCCCAGTACACCAAAAGAAGCGGTGGCTCCAGTGAAAATGATCAGACCGCCGAAACTTGTCCCATATCCCATGCCTCCAGGGGTACCGGTCCAAGGCCACTTGGAGCTGATCAAGGCTTCGCTGATAGGACCGCACGCTATAGAGCCAACTCCTCGGCCAGCCGTTAGGAGACCTAATATCAGTCCTACCGGTGCAGTACTATCGGCGTTCCTAACTGCCTTGACGATCCCTGGCCAAGTAGCACTGGAGCTCCCGGCAAAGATGCCATATAGCAGAGAAAAAACACATAGCGGCGGCAAAGAAACCGATAAGCCCCAAATCGCAAACACTCCAATGATCGTGGAAACAGTACAAACGAGGATGACATTTGCAGCATGCCAGTGGTCAATAAAATAGCCAATTAGTATAAACCCGATCACCGTGCCAGCGTTCAGGGATGTCACGGGCGCAGTGACACCAAAGCCACTTTCACGGGCCACTGTCCGGGCATAGGTCGGAAGATAAAGGGAGGGAGCAAAATAACCGATACTTTGAAGAAGGCTCCCTAGCTGGAAGATGATAAATGGCCGCGATCGAAGGAACCTGAAGCTCAGTTCTTGTGGCCTCGGCACTTGAACGACGCCAACCCGTATCCGCGGCTTCACGAACGGCAAAAACGGACACACAAGGAGAGTGAAGCCCACGGACCAAGCCCACATTGTGACCTTGAATGAAAATCGTGAGAGTGCCCATCGGATGAGGAACGGGAATACGGTGCCTGATACGCCACTCCCAGCCTTGAGTATCCCTGTGCGTTAGGACAAGCGTTCTTTCGGGCTATTGGAAGAGCGGACGAGCTTACCCAGCACACTCCGAAAGCAAGTCCTTTCCTCCGGACAAACCATTCATCGATAAACAACAGAACCGGATAGTATAGCATGCATGCGCCGAGTGGGTATATGATACCTTGGGTGATAATGAGCTGCCAGATCTTTGTGGCGAATGAGGATGCGATTAGGCCGATGACCGCAACTGCTAGACCAAACAGACTGCTCATCCGGCAATACTGTGGCCAGCGCTGAAGAAGGAAGAGACTGATGGGCGAGGCCAGGTACAAAACACCCTTATGATGCGTAAGTAGTTGATATATCACATAAAGGTAAAATGCTTCCACGGACCATACAACACGACCCTATGACAGACGCGCTAGCAGTGTTACGAGAGAATGGCTCGGTTGAGGTATAATAATCCTGTAACACTCCAGATGAGAAGGCAAATCCTGGGGAGAGTCAGTCTGGCCCATCGCCTTTGGTCGAGAACATACCCCAGACCACCATTTCTAGGACGAAGGCTCCCATTAGACAGAGCCATGCGTCTTTTCCTTCATCTACAGGGGGCAGGGAAAACCCCCGAGAACCGGGAACCCCATCATCCGATGCTTCATTGCTCTGGCCATCTCTGGCCGGAACACTATGCAGTTCTATACCAGAGGACGTGGCCAGGTAGGCATCTGAGTTTGTTGACCGCGGATAAGGCACTGGAGTACCGACTGGATCGACGAGACCGTTGTGCATTGTGGTGTTATCTATTGCAACTTCGAAGACGGAGGAGTCGAGTCATGCCTGACGACTGGGAAGGACGGCGGGGTTTTTAAGGAAGAATGCCTCGTTTATCAAGCCCATCGGGTCTAAAGCCGAAGCTCAACACCTCGGGAATCCAAGAGGATGGCTAGAGCGCTTACGAAGAAACATGAATTGGGCCTATTGAGTAAAGGTGCATTAAAGCAGTGAGGTACGCGTCGTCGATATAGCTAGATGCTTCAATAACATACTCATTCTCTATCTTGTTAAGCAGCTCTCAGTGGCCCTCCGTAAGAACTCATGGTTGTTAGACTGGGGCCTCTTTCGGGAGGATTTTCTACTTGGGAGAGGCCCGAGGGATGACAGTGCCTTGGTGGTCCCTAGCTTAATTCTGGTTTGATTGAGTTGGCGTCTGATCCTTGTTTAAATCCGACGTGTTCAAAGGAGCTTGCCCTTCTGGGGCAAGATAAATGAGTACACACCGGGTAGTGCCCCACTGCCCCTCAAGGGACCCCAATATTATTAATCTCAAGCCCAGTTGCGATGAGCGGTCCAAATTAAATCCAGCTGGAATCGAGGTATTCCGACAATTTGCCAAAAACAGCATCCGACCTTTGCGGATGCGAGTGGCATGGATACGAGGCATAGCCGAGTCGCCCATTCACCTATTAAAAGAGCGTGTCCAAACTGGTATCCCTGCAGAGTACTACTGAGCTCGGCAATCGGACGGTAGCTTCTTTCTCCTCTCCTATAATCTATTCCAACAATTACCGCGCTTCCGCTTGGGAAGCTATACCCTCCGGAAGAACACGAGGCAACCATCACCTGACGAATTTGTTACAGGGATCGAAGTTTGGCATTCCACTGCTGTGTTCTAGTTAATATCATTTGTGAGAAAGCCTTCAGGGAATATCAAGTAGTCGCTATTCTGCTGCGAGACCATTTGTCGAGCATTGAACACAGCACGACACCTAGCGGATCAGATCTTTTCTCGATAGAAATTTCTACAGGGTGAAAAACTAATGAATATCACTGAAGAATATGCACACAGAGAACGTATCTTAAATCGGCGTTTGTTGGTAGAGAGTGCCCTGCTCGAATCATCATTTTGTTGAAATGAATATAATTAAGTCTAAAATGCGATAGCCTAGGAGCCCTTTGAATTAAGACGGCCCTTGTAGCCGCATAAACGAAGTCGTATATTCTGAGAGGCATAAGATGCCATGAGCTTCAGTAAAACTTCGTATTCGGTAGAAGGCCCTCGGCCTGGTCTTCTCTCTGTATCCGTCAGTAGGTACGCCAATGCTTCCGACGAGGGCAATGATGGAGTCCCTACCAGTGCGTCTCCAAATCCCTTCACAAGAGCGATTTCGTAATCACAGATGCTACGCTGTTCGTGTCCAAATCCAGCGAATGTTGTTGCGACATCAAAGTCAATCCAAACCAGCCGATCGCTATCCCCGTGAACAAGAAGATTCTTTGGATATATGTCTTGGTGATGAACGCCTGCCCTGTGGATCTCCTTCATGCCCTCGATCGCCTAGGGAAAGAGTGCATCGGAGTAGTTCACGCAGTTTAAACTCTCCGAACTCGGTAGGTATTCTAACAGTATTGCTCTTAGACTCGATTTGTCTTGGGCGAATTGCTGGAAAGTGGGATGAAAGACGGCCGGATCCACTCGATCGATATAACCGTAGAATTTCGGCACAAAGCCGCTTTCACATACGCCGGCCTCGAGGAGATTCTTGTATGCATTGGATTCGCAGCGAAACCGGTTCAGATCACGACCTTTTTCAGTATATCCAGGGTCGCCGTTATCGTGGAATAGCTTTAGTACATACTTTTGCCCATCGAGAGCCACTTCGAACAATGAGGACGCATCAGAGCGCTTGATTTCCCTGATCACGTTAATCCTAGAGGGATCAATCTCCATTAAGGATGGAGAGTTTGTTGATTGCATCTGGTTATACGGTTGAGAGTTATGTCTGTACCAAGGGGGTGAGAACAGGTCAGTCCGGATGTCTTCGGGCATTTCTTGGTCCCCTTGACAACCACGCCGAGGGGTTTTCTAAACTCGCCAGCTCCGAGGTCTATAGGTCCTGTTTGAAGTTAGACTATGACTATAATAAAAATTATTTCTCCATGAAACTCAGACATACATATTCCCGGGTAGGGAGTATTAATTCAAGTATGGTGCATCCCGCCTAGGGACTTCACTGATAGCGATCATTGCCCAGTCAAATCGACTGCCTCCCTAACATGTATAGGCAGATAGTAGCTTTGATTGAGACCTTTCCAATGCGGACTATCCAACCTTACAAGAGCCAGCTTCATCCATTCATTTCCCTGACTCTGCCTTCGGATAGTTTGTCGCCACATATGCAGTAATTTATGAGCACGCGTCGCGTAGTCTGCAGAGGGCGCTTGGACAAGCAAAAGCAACATAAAGTTTGATGTTGTAGCGAAGCCAATACGGCACCCTGTTTGAGGTCCGGTTAGCTTTCATCGTTCGAGTCCATTATAGACAGGTTTGGGGAAAGGAGAACAGCATACAAGAGTACCAGAACTCAAAGCCCCCTTCACTAAGCGGCATACGCACAACAAAGCGAATCATGCGGGCAGCACAATTCTCTGCAGCTGTGAGTGTTACATTCACACTGCTATCTCCACTGCACATGTCAATTGCCGGCGTTGGCTCAACTTCATCACAATCTACAATTTGTGCGATGTAATCATCTACCGGATTGGTAAAGACATCTTGGATGTCGGTCTCTTCGAATAAGCGCGGTGGGGCGGCGGATCGAACCATGGGGCGGAGAAGCGATCTGAAAATGAAGACTTCGAGAAGGATGTAGGCAAAGTGGAGGGGGTTGGTGTGTTGGTGCAGATGATGGTCTGTTGAATCGGTGGCGGGAAACGCCCGGTTTTGGAGTTTGAGGGTCGGTGGAAGGTTTGAGTACCATTCTTTGAGACGTCGCAGAAGCACTTGAGCTGTCTTAAGTGTTTCTCCGAAGTTTGTTGAAAGACGCTGGGCAGCGCGCAGCGAGCTGCAAGCTTCGGGTTAGCGGGGAACAGGTGATATTAGTCCGCATGAAAATTCGACGTACAATAAGGAGTGTTGCAGGTCATCGGCGATTTTGGCGAGATTGACAAAGTTCCTGAACACCTGTGCACGTAGGGCATTCCGTTGATGTTCGTTTTCCGTTGACGCAGAAAGTAACAACTCCACCGGCATCCCATCCAGTCTGAAATCGTCATCGTCGAGATCCTCTACATCCCACTCATCGTTCCGGATGTACGGTGGTCGCCCCATTAAAAGACTGCGCCATTTGTCTTCTGCATAGAGTGCCCACCAAAGCCGACGTCGAAGGCGCTTTTCCCAGGCTGGAAGGCCCATCAGGCGACACTCCAGTTGCAGGCCGAGGCATGTGGCCATACCCACCAGGAGACCTAAAAATGACCAAATAAAGGGACTGTCTGCAATGGCATTCTCAGGACCTTGTAGGCCTCTGTGGAGGTAGAGAAGACCTGCTTGTAGAGTCGAGAGGTGCGATGTGTGAATGTCACACATGATGAGTTCGACCACCATACGCCAAAGATCTAGGGTTGGCGGCGTAGTGTATGCGTTTAAGACACTTAGATAGTCATCGAATTTGATGAATTGATACGCGGTCGCATATATAGCCGCTAGAAGATGGGTAGGAATGGACTTGAGAATTTCTTGGTCTGGTACTGTTCGAGAAGAGGAGAGACCGAGTAGAGATCTTGATAGTATAGGCAAGGTTGGAAAGACAAATTTGATGAACCTGGAGGTTGCTATCAGTAATACGTTGACAATATACACTAACAAAAGGACAAAATATAAAGAGACGAGCCTCTGGCCACATTCGAGTGGCACCAAACTATTTAGCTCCTCCCGCCTGTCTTCCTTCCCGTACCTGGTCGTCTCTTTCGTAGATTCGTATACTGCATTGGCACTGATTAAGAAATGTGCTGGGATCTTTTCTTCCACCGGCACCCCGCCTGCATTGCGAAAATGCACTTGATGAAACAACATATACCCACGATCATCGAATTTTCCATGCCGCAGCAACCATGGATCAGATTCCCCAGATGCTCCAATCAGTTGAGAAGAGAAGCCATTCAGAAGGTCCAGTGACTGAATTGCCTGGGCCGGTGATCTTTCGGGGAGCCGATATATAAGAGGCGGTAGATGGTCTTCGACCGACGCCTCCATGAATGGTGCAGTTAGCCATGGTTCAGCTGTAACATTTGGCTCTGTGTGGTGAGCCAAATCAGTTTCGGTATTCACTGTGATGCCGCCTTGCTCTTGAGTAGGCATCGGACTAATCCCACTCGATGAGCGATTAGACAACTGTCCTATTCCCCCAGATCTACCAATTCGCTGGAAGGAGCAAGGACTAGAAGCAGTCCGGCACCGCTCACACCCTTCATCTCCGGGTCCCTGACAGCGCAACTTTTTACGACGACATTGATCACATGGTGGGTGTCGCTTGGATCGGTAAGGACGGCTATTCCTGCTTGTTCGGGGGCTCTGTCCTGTCGAGGACATTATTGTCAAGCAACTTGCTTAGTCTCTTCGTTCGCCGATGCCTGGCGGCAGATTCTCAGAGAATGAATTCACACTGCACAGGCTAGTTATATCTCGGACGCCTCCGTCGGCGAAGTAACGGCCTGATTCGCTATCGATGACGGTTCGCCGATGTTAGCAGAAGGCGCCCTCGGTAAGACCCACATTTTAATCAGCTGTGAAGACTCGAAGTTTGGTTGGATTTCTAATCGAGGAAAAGTTATTCTAAGATCAGAATGATCGACAGGGGGAGAGACAGTCCAAAAATACATCCACCGGACCAGGGCAAATCCTGGGCGGCTGCCGTTGTCTGAGATTATGGCTTCTGCGTTAGGAAATGTTCGGCATCCTGGGCAAGTTAATTAAAGGCCGAATGATTTAGTAGAGATTCATCTCGGTTGCAGAAAATCTGGGCTACGATCTTGTGTTCCTGGGCACGAAAGCCTGGCCGCTGTCCCGATATGTCGATATGTCGCGACGACTCCTTTCTGCAATTCGGAGTATTGAGTCAGGATGTAGTGAACCAATTGACACCATTCCCTCACGACTGACGATGCAAAGTTCTTAGGCAATCCAATAGGCTAAATGAGCATCAGACATCCGATATGGCCTGTTGTCTGTTCGCCGAACTTCATACACTGTCGCAAGTGGGTCAACATTGTTCACCTAATGACGGCTTGAGATGGCCGAATGATATCTTCAGGCCTTTAGCTATACCTTCAGGAACAAAGTTAGTTGTTAAAACTTTTTCATTTGATCGCCGAGTTGTTCCTAACCTGTACCATGTTCAAGAGCATGTGTTTCGACTTATTTCACCGATTATTCTCTCTTCCACCTAACCTATTTTCAATTCATTTGAACTACCTCCTCCATCACCTGGCAGGACTACTCAACCATTGTCGATCACCTGGGAGATGGAATCAAAAGAAAGTGTCCTTCACAGTCCTCAGGAAGAACGATCAGGAGAAAGCGACTATCCCGAAGGGGGACTACGAGCATGGCTGGTCGTTTTAGGGTCATGGTGCGCCATGATTCCATCTATGGGGCTTCTTAATTCCCTCGGAATCCTACATGCCTGGACCAACTCTCATCAACTCAAGGATTATTCCGAGTCTAGTATTGGATGGATCTACGGCGCTTATGGATTCTTTCTGTATTTTGCCGGTGCTCAAACTGGTAAGTCATTCCGCCCTCAGCACCGATCATGTTTCTAGGCTTATAGGTCCATTATAGGCCCGATATTCGATGCATACGGGTCAGCTTACGTGGTCGTCCCGGGGTCTATCGGAATGGTTGCTTCCTTGATCTGTTTGAGTTTTAGTCAAGGTATGTCCTTAATTGATTACCGTACCCAAAAAGTATCGAATGCTCACAAAATGCAGAATATTACCAGATCTTCCTTTCCTTCAGTGTTCTAGGCGGCCTCTCAGCCTGCACGCTTTTTACGCCCGCTGTTTCATGCGTTGGGCATTGGTTCAACGTCCGTCGAGGTCTTGCAACAGGGATAGCCTGTACAGCAGGTGGCCTAGGAGGCATTATTTTCCCATTGATTATATTATTCGCGGCGCCTAACATAGGGTTTCCGTGGGCAATTCGCATCATTGCCGTCCTCTCCGCTGTCCTTCTCGTGCTAGCCTGTCTGCTCTTGCAAACAAGACTTCCGCCCAACAAGAAGGCCGAGGCTTCTATCGACTTCAAAGCGCTCAAAGATATTAAATTCGCGTCCACCGTGGTCGCCATTTTCCTGGTTGAGTTTGCGGTATTCATTCCGATTACATATATTGCCTCCTATGCCGTCCATGTCGGTGTCGACGATACTCTCGCATATTCTCAAATCATATTCCTCAATATCGGCGCCATCCCCGGTCGATTTCTTCCGGGTTTGATTGCTGATAAATTCGGCCGGTTCAATATTATGATTCTCACGTCGTTGATTTGTTCTATCCTAACATTGGCATTATGGCTAACTGCAGGAAAAAGCTTAGCAGCAATTATTTGCTACGCAGTGTTCTTCGGTTTCTGGAGTGGAGCAGCCATTAGCCTTACTCCTGTCTGTATCTCTCAGGTCTGCGCTACTGAAGACTACGGGAAGAGTACCGGGATGACATTTACGATTGTTAGTATTGGGACTCTCACTGGGATTCCGATTGCAGGCGCTATCCAGGAGGCCGATAATGGCGGATATCAAGGTCTAATTATTTTCGGCGGTGTTTTGTACTTTGCGGCCACTGTTGCATTTGTGATCGCAAGAATTATTTGCGCGGGATGGAGTCTGAAGGCCAAGTTCTAGGAGGCCATAGTATCGAGAGTATAGAATAGAATCTTAACAAGATACAGACTAGAGTTTGACCGCCGCCAAAAACTACTGTCATTTGGTGAATTTGGATAACCTGACGTCCTATTACATCGTGCTGCGATCCATTTTCTGAACCTAATCATTACTCTCTTACCATCATACATATAATAAAATAAAAAATCAAGGCTAAACAACCAGCTACACGTGCCCATTACTATGGCAATGTTATACGGAAATTCCAAATAAGTGCTCTCGTCAAGCGGACAAAATCTCTCATCCATGAAGCACCGCGTATGTCTCTGGGAGATTTTCGGCGATCAGCCAGTAACCTGATCACACACCGACCTGCAGGCCCGTCTCGCTGGCACGTAATAATTCGCTTACCAACCTCAGATCAGCAAGGGCCGTTCGGCGAACATTCCAACTGTCTACCCATTCCAACGGCGTTGGCCAATGAAATCGGTACTTTGCCGGGATGTTCACTGTTGGTATGTCAACTGGCGCTAGGGCTCGACTTGTGACATAACTCCCATGATATCATCCGTTGGCCTTATATACACGTTGCGGTATATGTACTTCCAGGATCCTGAAAGCCATACTCAGCATTCACCACCTTCCACATTTTCTGGTCATCATGACAGGCAAGGATTTGAAGAATAATGTTCGCTCAAAACTCCATTCCCTTTTTCGTAAAGGCGATCAGAAACACGACAGGCTATCAGACACTGATTCTGAGGTAACATTGTTTCCGATGTCCGAGTAAGTTTATCACGACTGTATCAATGAATTATACCATAATGACATGATAAAGAACACAATCGAAACCTCAGCAGACGAAATGTGTTTCCTGTAGTCGTCTTGAGCGACCATACAATGGTAAGCAAATGAATGCTAGTATTGAAGAGCTGCTTGGCTAATAACTACTACTGTACAACAAAGGCGACCAATGCTTCGGGTCCTGCTGTCGAGGATAAGGGTACCCTGGTTGAATCACTGAGGCATTTCGTGACAGGATTCATAAGTTAGCTCAATGTCGAATTTGACGCTTAGCACCATATTGGAGCAAATAATGTTGATATATCAAGCACTACAAGGACTGAACCATCAGTCGGCTGGTGGTCTAGTTAGAAGTCCGAGCGACTTTCAACATTATACCCATACCTAGATTTTCTACAAATGATAAATTGATGGTCCAGCTGAAGTTTTAGCGGAGTGCTTCTACAACCCTGACGAAGCGGACTATATATTGAGTCAAGATATCACAGCCTGGGAGTAACATTCCAGAATTCCCTGCCGAGTAACTGTAAAAAGTATCAAATCACCTCTTGTGATTGAGAAAGAAAAACATTACACACCCTTATCGATCCAATTTTCGCAGGGTGAACTGAATTATTGTCGAAGAGGAGCGGGCATTTATGCATGCATAGCTGAGTCATCATACATAGTTAATTGTTCAACAACTTTCGGATGCGACCGGCTTAGTCAGGCCATCAAGGGGAGAAATGCGGCGCTGCTCGGCGGAATTTCTACACTTCTTCAACGCTCGCCATCATGCGATAATGTCTCTTCTGAGACCGTTGTAGCATCATGTTCGAATGTCCAGATTGTGGAAAGTCCTATCAGAGGAGGTCGCATCTCTTGCGTCACCAAGAAACACGTAAAGTCCGAGAAGATCCCCCATGTTGACGAAAGCTGACAAGGTGCTTCCAGACGCGCGTCAGCTCTCTTTCAGTTGTCCAATTTGCAGCAAAGCCTTTTCAAAGTCGTAAGTAAATCAGGCGCTAGGTACGGGGTCTGTTGTAACATTTCACTGTATAGGGAGGTTGCGCGACGGCACAGCAAAGCATGTGCAAAGAAATACAACCAGCCCTTACCGGCGGCGAGTAAGCCCGGTAGGAAACGGCTGTCTTGCGATGCCTGTTCGGCCGCCAAGACAGCTTGTGATAAGAAATATCCCTGTTCTCGCTGTCAATCGTTGAAACGAGGATGTACCTACGCAGGCCAGGAGGTAGCGTCTCCCGCAGGAGAGGACTGCTCGACCGATATCTCATCGCCATCATCTTCTCTGAGAACGGCAACTGTGTCGCCCGCGCCATCATCGTTATCGTTATCGACCTCGATTTCTTACTCCTCAAGGCGAGATGACCCGTTCTCGTTCCTCCGGTATTTCACGGATCCGTCTGCAGGTGTGGATAGACTTGCAATTGGAAAGACCGCAGAGTACTCGGTCCGGAGGAACCTGGAAGGGCTTTATTCCCACCTCGAACACGAGCTGGTGCCCGTTCATCATTCTCCGACCTTTCTTGGGGACATTCCTTTCCCTAGTGACTTCCTACCCGTGGGTTTACTATCTGATGACTCCTTTTCGCCGAAACTGCTGAAGCAGCTGAACAATATTCTGAGAGAGCTGGTTGAAATTTCCAAGTCAATGGGTCCTGTCAACGGAGAACAGCAACGGCCACTGGACATGTTGGAACTAACCTCTCTTTTCACGGCGACAAATCTGTTTGCTTTCATTTCAGCTTTCTTTCATTCGCTGCATTGGCATCTGCCCGTGGTTCATTTCCCGACCTTTGATCCAGGGAATGTTTCTAGCTTCTTGCTACTCTCGATCTGTCTGACTGGCGCAACATACACTTTCCCAATGGACGGGACAACCTTACCACCTCGGCTTTTGGATGTTGCCGAAGAACTCATTTTCCGACAGATCACAAATCTTTCGACACTGCCACCCGTGTCGTTGAAGAATCCGACGAGACTGCTGCCCACGGTTCAATTGATTCAAAGCGCTTTGATCATGGAGATGCTTCAATTCGGGCAAGACCAATTAGACACGAGACGACGTATCCGTATTATCCGACATCCCTGCCTAGTCTCGGTTCTGCGATCACTGGGGTTTTTCCAGCTAAGGCGAAGCATGACACCGAGTGTTTGTGATGACACTACGTGGAGAGAGATGGTAGCAGAGGAGGCTTGTATACGGTATGTTAACGCCCACCTGCGCTGCGCGTATGAATTAACCATTTAAAAATTGCGAAGGGTCGCATCTTGGGTCTTCCTTGCGGATGGATTCCTTACCGTCTGTTTCAAGAACCATCCCTCCCTGTCGAGCTTCGAGCTGAACTGCGACTTTCCCTGGCCTACTGAGTTATGGGAGGCAGACGGTGCAGCTGCCTTCAGTACCAGTGTCGCCTCGCATGCCGACGCGCCGCCAATACCACCGCTACGCGAGGCGTTAGGACAATTGCTCAGTAACTCTAACCCCGGTGATTCGATAGCTTGGCGTCGGTCGCCGTCGGTCGAGCACCTCTTGATATTAATATACGGTATGTTCCCCTGTATTTGGGCACCTAACTCTCTAGGCTTTCATCAAAACCTACTAATCATAAAAACAGCGATGAACACACTTGCATTCCAAGCCAGAGCGGGGTTTCTCGGTTACCTCCCAGCCAAAAGCATCGAGAACGCAGCTCGAAACTGGAAAGGTATTTGGGATTCTACTCTCGCTCGACTCGGCAAAGAACGGTACCTGCTGCTCGGTTATCCTCAACATGCGGAGGAGCTCTGGTGTCTATTGACCGCTACTCTGAATGCCTCGAACAAACAGCAAGCGTCCATTCGATACCTGGATAGTGCGGCAACCGATGACCTGGAAGACTTGCATGAATTTATTGAGCGGTGTGGCCCTGCTGGTGGGTGATTCTCAGGATTATCTGCTGTTCCTTGGGGTCTCGACTTGGATAGACCACGATTGACAGGCCTTGGAGGGTTGACTTGCTATTACGCGTGTCTTCTGCTGCCCCAGGGAGGGTAAACAAGAGGACAAGACAGGCTCCCTCTCAAAGTCGCATTTCAAGACTGCTGATATATGCTACATACGATTGACATACACGAAGACTGACTAGCCAGAGCTACCTCTGCGCTGGAACGAGCAAAACAGTATACGGTCGTAATCCGTCTGGTTTGGGATAAAAAGCATCCGTCTGCCGCTTAGATGTGCATAAGAGGTTTGATAAACGGAACTCCATTACTAGCTGGATTGGTTCAAGAACGATCATCAATCTAAAGCTCATATTTCCGCCAAATCTTGTCGCAGATGGCGCATTTGCCCGAACAACCGTGATATGATTATGCGCGTTCGCATCAAACGAGGTACATACACAAGTCTAACTTCGAACCATGTCATCACATGCCAAACCGATACTCGTGCTTCGAAAATACGAACGGTCGCCGCAATAATGATATAATTATACATTAATTAATACATACTATATACACCCTTTCATCATACATTAACACCATCAGTTGCTCTTGCCAAGAGCATTCTTAGCACAATATTGCTTCTCGCCGAAACCATCGCGCTTCGGCTCGCGGTACGTGCCGGTAAACCGATCCCAGAACGTCGTGTACTGACCATAGTTATAGTTGAAGTACAAATGGTGCATGGTATGGCAGGCCGCCCCGTTCACGACCTTCGAGTTTGACAGATATTCGGCATCATCTGCGCATCATTAGCACGGATCTCACAACCCAGTTCACCGGAGACGAGACAATAAAGCCCAAAGGAAACTCACGAATCAATAACGTCCACATTGTCACGAAGACAAACAGCCCGATATAAGCACACTTCTGCAGCGGGAAGATGAACGGGAAGATATGATACGGGAGACTCTGGCCCCATCCGTCGAGCGGGTGGAATGCGTAGCTGGCAAACGGCGTCGGCATGATCCATTTATGGTGCGGTTTGTGCAGCCAGCTGTATACCGACGGGTGGTGTTCTCCGCGATGGATCCAGTAAATGCCGCAGTCGGTGAAGCAGATGAAGAGCGGATACTGCAGCCACTGGTATAGAGGGAACGGGGCGCCGTCGCTGAAGTCGTATAGCTTCGAGTATCCGCGGATCTCGAGGAGGAAGAACGGTACGGTGAGAATGGCCATGGTCGGCATGGTTGTTAGGGCTTGACGGATCTCTTGTCGGATTTGGTTGGGGAGGCAGCGCGGGTGTTGCAGCATGTTCTTGTCGAAGAGAGTGTGGTAGATGATGGTGCTGCCGATGAGGTACATCGCTATGCCGAAGAACCTGGGGAGTTGGTTAGTTCTGCCATGGTGGCATGAGTAGTGAATGAGTGACAATGCTCACCATGTGATGAGAAACAGCGAAACGGCCTGTCGCGCCATATCATCTCGTTTCCAGGAGCTTGCCTCCACCCATTGCGACGGTTCCAAGGGGTAGTAGATGTTGACATGCTGATTGTAGAGCGCACCCGTGGGCAGCGTTCCATTGTCTATATTGGTCGCGGGGAGGATCGACGCATAGAACTTGTCGAAGACGAAGGTATCTAGAACGTCTAGAAAGACATCCATGGTGTCGAGTAGTAGAATCACAGATTATAAAATAACAAAAGCGAAGTTTCCCGGGTTCTTTGTTTCTCTCCAGTCCCGATAGGGGTGGAGTGCAGCTGCCTTTTATGCATGGCAAATACCCACATGGGAAATCCCTACATGGCGATTCCCTACCGATACAAGCACTGTGAAACGCTGTGGTGAGCACGGGAAATCCCTACATGGCTCCATGTCGGCCAACAACCCACACGGAATCGCCTCTTCCCGGACACAGCGCCACAGGGGCTGCACCGGGTGTGGATTTTGCACGGTCTTTCCCTACACGGCGTTCACCTACCGCGATTTACCCACTTCTCCCTCAACCTCGTACATACTCCGGTACAAGTACGACATACTTGTCTACGATTAAATTTACTCTTGACAGTGACCTTCGAAGATGACCAAAGATAACCACAAATTAAATTAACTTTCTATACCAATTTTTTGGTCATCCAGAGTGTGACCCCCTTTTTCGACAGTAATCTTTCTTAACCAGAAGAGTAGGTAAAGATAAGGAGACTAAGAGTACAATAACAATAGAGCTTCCAGAGCCAGTGATACCTAACAAGACAAGCAGATGAAGGAGTGTACAGTACTTTGACAATCACATAGTGAGAGTAAGAATGCAATGCCACAAACCAAGACATCTGGACACAACCAGAACATGATCAGACAAACACCCACCCATCGATGTCACTCTGATCGCTGCAATCGTCGTCGTATTCAGACTCTTTCACTGACTCCAAACTAGCGTCGAGGCCCTGGGGAAAGAAATACGCACAGTCTTTCGCTCCCTCAGGAACAACCTTCACCCTGAGCACCACGATGTCCTGTCCCCGACACCTGCCCCATTTCTCGAAGGCGTTGTTCACGGGTCTCAGAGTCCGTCTCGATCCCAAGTGCCACATCACCGCCGTGGCGATGACCTGATCATCTTCTGGCTCAGGCTTCTGGTTGAGCGACACGGTCGCGATGTTGAATGTGACCTTGACGCGGTAGTACTCTTTGTTGCGCCGGGGGAGAGAGGTCTTCGGACTCGGACTGTTCTCCATACAGGCGATGAAGAACTGACGGGACAGTTCGTTGCAGAGCTTCTCGATGCCAGAACAGATCACTGATTCGTGGACGTAGCCATACATGTTGATGGTGAAGGGGCATCCTCCTTCGAATTCATAGTCCTTGGCCTCGAGCTTCTTCTGACGGTCTAGGTCATTGAGGGTCGGCTTGAATGACAGGTGCATGGGGTAGATAGAATCAGACATCATGGTGTAGGGTATGAGCTTCGAGTCTCGGTGGGATTTTAGGTATATTAGGGCAAGAAGGATGGAGTTGGTGATGTCGTGGAGGATGAAATTCATATTAATTATATAGATGTCTCTTGATTCCTTGAGCTGGACTAGGAACCTTCCGGCTGGGTGTACATTACGACAGATGCCGTTGGTTGATTGGAATAGCGTGGTACTCGCGACAGTTCTTTAGATGGGAAGTACCGGTTGGTGAATCTCATACACCAGAGTCTCCTTTCTAGACGGTTCTAGGCTTAGATTTCTATGCAGTGCGCATTTATTCGACTAGATTGAATTTTTCCTTTTCTTTTGAAACATAGGATGTGGGGGCTTTGCATGTTGGCTAATGCCTACCCAGGCTTCATATCTAAAGTACAGCGCATATCAACAGGACTATGCATATATAGAGTAGGATAGGATCAGTGACATCGATGTATGATCACTATCAGTACCAGAACATGCGGGTTGTTCCAGGACCGAGTTCAGCACTCTTCTTCCCGGGGCAGATTTATAGAATCATACCAAACTGGTATTCCCATGCCTAGTGTATATTCTGACGCGATCCATCAAGATAGACCCCCTTCCCAGTCCACGGATCCCACTTGTAAATCCTCACAGCGTCGAGCCTTTGGGGTTCCGGCGACCAAGGAAGAAGCTCTTTCGTGAGCGTCTCATATGTGGTTCTTGATCGGAGAATGAATGCGATTCTTTCCAGAGCCGTGACGGCTGTCTGGACCTCTCTGAAGGATACTTGGTCAAGGTCCGCCAGAGAGTACGTGAGGACTATCCGCACTGATCGGTCGTCTGGATTCGTTGACGGGTTTGCTAGATTGCCGCGACGAACGGCGCGATGGAGCCGGTTCAGCAGGTACGTGTTCATGTCGTAGTAGCCGCTGTAGATGATGTATCGGGGGACGTCGAATTTCAGGATGATGGTGTAGGGCGATCGACGGTCTAGAAACTCGAGACCATCATGCTCAAATTGATTGCGACGGTCGACGTCTGCGGCAACTATCGGGTATTGTGCAGAAAAGCCGAAAGGCGGCACACCGGGTACCGGTACCCTTGCTGCCCTTACTGTCATAGCGAAGAGGATTTTGAATGTCACCTTCGGAGGGCTGTTCTTGTGAAGGATTGTTAGGTAGGCCAAGCAACTGCCTCTCAGGTGGTCGTCCGTGGCTTTTATATACCCAAAAGGGTGGCATAGCAAATGGATATTGCCGATTGTAGTCACGTGGATGAAGCCGTGAACTTCCATTATTCTTCCTAATTAGAGCGAAGTCTAGCTTCTTCAATCTGTCCAAGAGGGAGTTTAGTAGATTGAATGAACAAAGGACGCATTACTTACACAATCCGCACTAAATGAGTAAATTTTGACCTGTCTATGTAACCAAACCTGCCCAAACTCCAGTTGTAGCCTAATCCCCACATGCAGATATATGGTACACAGCAACCAGACATATACACACAGCGAAGGTATCCAAGTGCCCATCCAACCGAACTATCCTATTGTATTTCATCCTTCGACCCCGTCATCACCAAACTCTAAATCCAAAATTCAGAAACCATCGTAGCCCATCATACACTGCATTCAATCCTCAATATCACACCAGTCAGGACCTGTCTACGTCGCGGGGACTCCCGACGCAACTCCTGCGGCAGCTTGCGACGGCTTGCCTGCATACAGCACAAACAGGACCACGGCAACGACGACGCCCAGAACGAGTCCCTTGACCTTGGCCGGGTTGTCGCGACGGTACTCGCCCACCTGGAGACGCACGTCCGTGGTGAGCGATCGCATCTTCTCCGCGCCGAGCTTGTAGTAGACCAGGCCGGCCAGGGCGATCGAGTATCCGAAGAATTGCTGCAGGGTGACGGGGTCCAGGAAGATGACCATCGATGCGACGACCAGGAGGATGTCCTTGAGGATACCGGCCATGGTGAGGACGACGGCGGAGGTTTTGCCGATCTAGAAGGTAGGGTTAGCTGATATTCTTTCTTGAGGGCGAGGGAACGCGGGAGGGGCTTACCAGAAGAACGACAGAGACGTTGAGCAGGAATGCGACCAGGGCGTTCGCGACAAGGGTCGCAACTCCGAGGTTGTTGATATCGCCCATCGTCAGACGGGGCAGTTCATAGAAGTAGGTCACGACACCGTTGGTCACGGCGCATGCGGGCGCGAAGTAGTAGAGGGAAACCAGAGGGTCCATTTTGAATTCGGAGGAGCTGAGAAGGCGCTGGACCATGACCAGACGGAGCGCCTCGAAGATGATACCGCCGATTTGGACTGTATCGCGTTAGTCATGTTCAGTTTGATTTTTGTAAGGGCGCAGACGTACTCAGGAATCCGAACATGTCGAACTTGACCTCGCCGAAGGACGCGATCACAACACCCACGACGATCAGCATGACATTGCCGAGAGTGCGCATGTTGGCCGGCGCAATGCCGAAAGCCCAGGTCGCGAGCAGAGTAGCGACCGCATTAGTAGCCTAGTAGAGTTAGATATCCATGGTCAATTCTTGCTCGGGTTGAGAAAAACGCACCTTGAGCATCTGGATAAACGACACGCTCAGGTAGAGGTACGCCAGGTTACCGCAGATCAGACTCAAACTGAACATGATACCAATGGGCACAATCGCCTTGCTATTTCACCGCGCAAGTCAGCCTCCGGCCAATTCCAAGCCACCCTTTTCTATCACTCACGTATATGTAACCGGCGTCATGGGGACCTTGTGTCGCGAGTCCAGCTTGTCGGTGAAATGGGCCAGGATCTGGGTCATCACGGTCGCGAACGTCATGTGCCATGATGTAAGAAACAGCGCTGAAAAGGTATTAATTAATGGATCGCGCGCAGGGAATAATTAGGAGACTCACGGAAATCTAAGTGAAAAAGCGAGAGTTAGCGATCGGGGTCAAAACAGAACGCGATAACGCGAGGATCAATTGGCACTCACCGAATTTGGCAGAAAACAGCACCCATTTGTTGAACAGAATGACACTCGAACTCAATCCGATCCACAGCCTAACAATTTGAGATCAGTATACCAATACCTCAATGCCTCAATCCAGACCAGACGATACGCACACAATGTAGAACGCGGGGTGCAGCCCGGTGCCAGGCGGAGCAGCGGCCGTTCCGCTCTCGAGTTTCCGATCATCCTTGGAGGACATGATGGGCGCGATTCGGGGGATGGACAAGGCGGAGGATGAACAGCGGTTGGGGGTGAGAGAAAAAAAAAACCGAATGGAGAATCCAAAGCGCGCGGGCGCCTGTTATAATAATAAAAAAAAAGAGAGAGAGAGACGATCGAGGAAGAGGAACCACGGGCCCGGCGATCGACAAGCAGTACACGTCAACCCGGGAGGTTTGGTTTATTGGGAGGCTTGTTTCATCTCCGAAACTCGCACCATTCGCGACTCTTGGGTACGTCACCGCCTCCCCTATTCTTCTCCGGGCTTAGTCGACGTCCCTGACAGTGGGTCCCTTGCCCCCTTTTTTTTTTTTTTTTTCTGCTCTCTTTCGTCACGTCGTTGAGGGATCAGATTGAGAATTTAGAGTTAAGCGGTTGCCACGAGAGGCCTTGGCTGGTTCAGGGTTCGACGTCGGCCGTGGTCGGTGTCTGTGGGTCAGAGTGCAGACTGCAGCGTCTCACGGTTCTCGTGATTACAGGACACTTGCTGGTTGACGGTTTGGGATTAATTGGTCATGATTCAGGACTCTCCAAAAGGCTCGACGGATGGAAGTCCGGAGTAGGGTTGCCCTGGTCAGCTGCTTCAATTGCTGCCTTTGGCTGCCTTATCCCGAACTCCTCAGACTCCTCAGAAGTGATGGGTCCACTTGAATCCAGTTCTCTCAGTCCCCAGATCCATTTATTCATGCTTCCCATGGAATCTCCACTGCTGCCGAAACCCTGGAAGCATCGCAGGGCTAACAGAGATGGGAAGTTCGTTTTAAGGCAAGATCGATGCCGGTGTAAATAACCACACACGCCAGGCCAAATTGATCGGAGGAACTGGCGGTAAACAGAGGTACCTATCTACGCCGTAGTGCCATCTTCGTTTAGAAATTGTCATGTTGCTCATTCGGTACGACGTGATCGTCAGATTGATCATGCTTACCGAATCACAGAGGCCTTACAGCAAGAGTCTACTGGCTAAATAAAGGTCCACCAATACGGGGCTCACAAAAGTCATCTTGCTCCCAAGAAGAATCGTGCGTCTTTCGCTCATTCAGCTAGAATAATATGAGGTCTCGGAAGGGCTGCAAGTACCTCATTAGAGTTGCAAGGTGTTGCAGCTCGAAGCCTAAACAGGGCCTCCTTCGCGGAATATACTCCGTATACGCCAGGTGGCCCAGCTGAGAACAAATACTAAGACCCCGTGACATTCATTGGATGAGCATAAGCATATGCGAGGTCTTGAAGTACTCCTTATTTCTAGAATAGTAACATCCAGGATCCCAGAGGCTTTAAATTAGTCCACACCCAAATCGGTGGTAATGAAGATCAGCGCCCTGTTCATCAACCCGACGCAAATCCGGCCCGTCCGGTGTCACTCTACTCCGGGAGCCTATCAAGGCAAAGTTTTGTGAAGACCACTGCAAAACTTGGTTGTTCTAATGCAAAGCACATTCATACTATTACTCATATCTGCCAAATTCACGGAGCTCTATCGTTGGTATCATATCATCTGTATGTACAACAACCGTCATTAATCCCGTAGATAAACCGAGGAATATCCAAGATCCCAAACGCCAGAAAAATCCCTATTACAAAATCCTATGTTAATGGTCTAAAAGATTCGCGTAGTGCTCGGTTTCATCCACAACGGCTTCTCGCACTGATGGCTCGCCCGCCAGTTCTTGATCTTCTGCACGTCCCAGCCAGCTGACAATTTGACTTCCGGCGTGTGAGGCTTCCTGGAGCCAAGGCGTATCGTTCGGACGAAAACGCAGTGTCCTGCGAAGTCGTAGGTGTAGGAGAGACATTCGGCGTGCTCGTGGCATGCTTCGCGACAGTCGCCAAATGATCGATGGGCGGGTGACTCGGGCGGTTCTTGGAAGCCGCCCCAGTCGCCGTTGTCCCATTCGGACTTTTGTTCGAGGAAGCCGAGTTTGAGATGCGAGAAGAGGTCGGTGTAGAGGAGCGGTGTCTAGTTTATTGTGGTTAGTATTGCGTGATAATTGGGTGAGATGAGAACATACCGATCGATCCCGTCGATTCTCCCATTTGACCAGGTCTTCCATGTCGGTCAAGAATGTCTTGTGCATGCTGATTACGGGTTGACACCAGTAGGCATTGTCGAACGGGATCCCATGCAATGGATGAGGATTAAACATGGGCCACATCCCGGAGAGTTTCACGCCGTGGTCGTACAGTGCCCATCCGAGTACCGAATCCCCGCAACAGTCGCCCTTGATCACGTCCTCGTATCGCAGACTCAACGACGGTTCGATGTATTCTCCTCGCGACCCAGTTCCGCGCGAGACTAATCGCTCCACTGCCCCTGCGGAGAGCACGAAGCCCGCCCCTCCGTATGCGAAAAAGGTCCTCTGGTCCCCTGCCCATCGTCCTGGCGATGGAGATCCGAAATAGAGCGGGACCGACGGGTTGAATTGGTCCAAGAGACGGAACAGGTTGTCCCATACATAGTAGGTGTCGGATTCGAGGAAAACGAACCACTGGGCCGTCGGGTTTATCTCGTATGCGCTCTCCACCATGGGGAGGAATTTGAAGCGATCGAGTCGCCAGCCTTGCGCCGAGTCGACCGTCTTTCCTTGCTGGATGGCATCGTAGGCGTCGAAGTCGGGGGTGTTGTTGCGAAACGAGGCTGGTAGGGTTCCGAGAATGTCGTATACGTGGCGACCGTTCAACTCAGACTCTCGGTCTGAGACGATGTGAAGATTAGGGATGCAGCGGGTCACGGTGGCGAGCTGCGTCTCGAGGCGGTCTTTGGGTTCGGAGGAACCGATTTTCAAGACAACCTGGACGCGCGATAGGAGGTGGGTAGGGAACGAGTCGCAGATGGCATCGTCGCTGATGGTAAATCTGGAGCGGGTATCGGGCTGTTTGAAGCGTGTGGTTGTTTCCCAGGTCCAGTAGTCCGGTTCGAACTCATGCTTCTCGGGGCGCCGGTGGTATAGAGCGGTTGAGTCGAGCGACTCGCTGCCTAGTTGGAGGTCGAGAACGGAGGCGGCGATGACGAGGAGGAAGACGACAAAGAGGATATTTGTTAGTTTGCGCGATAGCATGGTCCCCATTTTTCCAGAGGAATTCGAAGGGGAGAAGTTGTGAAGTTTGAGCAACTGGCGGAATAGTTGCTGGAGTGGTGAAATCAAAATCACGACATCGCCACTCGCTAGTGCAGTTTATACAGCCCGAGCTAGACGCTGACAGAACTCATGTTCTCATGAGGAGCAAAATGAGGGTCAAGAAGGAGGAAGAATCCACGAAGACAGGAACCGGGGAGGAGACCAGGATTTGTGCAAAAGCTGACGACGTCGTGTGAGGATTGGCAGAGGGGAAAATAAGGATGCTGCCATCCACGCCATCGACAACCAAACAGGGTGACTAGCGCCTTGGGTCTGGGTCCTGGGCCACATGAACCCTGGCACCGATCATGGACACTCCGTAGAATTGCAGAATTCATCCCGTTTCCTTCGATCTTCTCCGGGTTCCACACCGGGATGGGAAGGAGTCTGACGGTATCCTCCGGTACTGTTGACCACCATATCATCCCGATTGCTCTTGGTGACAGCCACCCGACCGGTCTTCTTGTGGGTTGAAGGCCTCATGTCGGGATGAGAAAGGAGCAGGAGGGATCGCCATGCATACTCCGATGTACTTCCCTCCCTCCTGCCGGCTCCACCCGCGGGCGGCAAGCCAATTGCCGTCCCTTCCTGAGGCGCCGACGCCTGGTCTATTTCGTCATTCCCTGCACCAAGAGACCAACGAACGCAAATCAGACTAAGCGAGCTGTTTGCTATGGTCTTGGCCTGTCCAATATCTCCAGCCATGTCGTACAGTGTGTCAAATTCTCCTATCAAACTGTGTACCCGGCGGTTTCGTGCGGATTGCCTGAGGCCGCCCGGGCGCCGATCCCAATTGACGGCATCCGCGGTTGGGCCGCTGCCGTTGCTCGGCATGGCGCTGGAAGGTCCAGACCCTGTCTGTTTTGCCCCTATTCTGTTCATTCCAAATGTTCGGTTGGATCGAGAATCTTGCCTTTTTGGGTTCATATCTACTGTAGGATTCTTATTCCTACCTCCTGTCGGTGTATCCTAAGGAGTTGAATGTCAAGTCATGGCTCCAATTCAGTGAGGTATTTACCTAGTAGACAGGCGGTCTGTCCTCACCGAATCTCAAGGGAAGATCCGACGCCGTCTGATCTAGTCCGGGGTCAGCAATGGAGCTGCCGAGTGGAGATGCGCATGGCGTCATATCTTGGCCCGGAACCGGTTTCCTCTCGGTTGTTGTACACCGTGTGAGTATGCGCATATGCCCCAGGTGATCTTTATTCTTGCTGCAATTGCGTTGATTGCATGGACAGTGTGAACAGTAAGTACTACTCAGTGTAGACCGCATCGTTGGTGTCTGTGAGCGGCACCGAAAGGGTGAAATGTCAGTGGAATCATTTGAAAAATCGCTGATGGCTCATATCGTAATCGGACCTCTGTGGACACAATATTATTGTTACCTCTGATTTTCTAGGAAGCACCAACTGCCTTTCATGCACTTGGTGTCAGATCGCTGGCGGGGCATCAGCCCCCACTGGCCTAGCAGTCGGGTAGGGTGCTGATGTCTCAACCTAAATCAAAACAAACTCTTGCCCTATGCTTTCTCTTACATGTTGGCCACTCGGTTGATATACGAGGACTGTACATTACGGATTGTTAAAAGGAAAGCTTGACGATGTTCTGAGCAGGAGATTCCATTATATGCTAACAGCCAAACGACGCCCATCAATGCTAAATCTAGGTGCTCTATCATGTAGTGCCCTCACAAAAATTCACAAATCTATCTATTCCGGTTTGGATCCCCCCAATTTAGTCAACAGCTCACTATTGGGCTGTTCATCTTGCCACCGCTTCCGCGGTAGCTCAAACGTCGACGAGACGCGCCCATACGACATGCCCCCTAGCTGACCCAGCGGACGGAGTTTCTCCAGGTCGATATGGCTCCCATCCGCATTGACGGCGTCTTCCTGGACCCAGAACCTGGTCGCCTTGATCAAAACCAACGAGGCGACGCTCATGCCCGGCTGCACGTGGTCCTCAAACTCCTTGATATCAACCACCTTGCCCTCGACTGAGAACACAGATTCCTGGACCCGCGACGCCTTGACGGTCGTCGTGGGCGCCTCGTGAAGTCCTGATACGTCCCACTCGGACACGCCGTAGGGCGCATCGATCGACGACGCATTCACGGCCTCGATCATGTTTTCTGATACCGTGTTGATCACGCACTCCCCGGTCTCTTTCAGATTGCGGTACGTGTCCTTGACGGCTGTCGGTCGCGATGAGAATCCCACGATGAACATGGGTGGATCATGGTCTATCACTTGGAAGTAGCTGAATGGGGAGAGATTCTTGCTCTTACCGTCCCCCGACACGGTGCTTAGGAACCCGATCGGTCGTGGCGCTACCCCGGAGATGAGCAGGCGGTAGTTGTTCACCGTCGCCCGGTTCGTGTCGTAGGGGTCAATTTCACGGTGAGTTTTACTGAGACTCGCACCATCGTCGTTCACACCGTTGCCGTACTCCCAGTTGGGATCGGGCGATTTGGTCACCTCGATAGGCGCGTTGGAGTGGTCGAAGTCGGGTCGGCTGGCTTGGATCTTTTCGAAGTTCTTAACTTTCTCGACAATCTTGTAATTGGATTGGGCCTGAGTTGGTGTTTTTGTTGCTGTTGCTGCAGCAGTAGAACTCATTCTTAGATTTGGTGGTCCTCTGCGTACTGTAAGAAGGGATGATGATGAGATTGGCCTGTGCGTTCACGTTAGCAAATGCTCGTGGAAAACGTTTAGGAGACTTACTGCCGGGATAGGCGATGGGCTAGTTGAAGAGCGGAATTAAATGAACGTGGCATTGCAATTGACTTGTGGTTTTATCGATGGATAGTTGATAATTGGGGTCCGTCAACGCCGCCTTTTTATGTGGAAGGAAATTTTCATGGCTTCGGAATCGCCATCCGAGGCTCGGTGCCGCAACCCGAGGCGGATGGGACTGAGAGTATACATTTCATTAATTAGGGTCGGTCGCATGTAAACAGTTTCCCATTTCCCATCTTTCCAGCCCAAAATGTTTCAACGTGGTGTTCGCGCTCTCGCTACTAGTCGGCCACTTCTTCAATCCGTACGTCGGTGTCCATCGTCCTTCCCAGCTGCCGTTAATGTGTCTTCGCCCTCCGCGAGAAACAAGACGAGTGTGACTTCGGTGCACACCGATAAGGCCTACAAACGTTGGTGAAATGATTTCTGCTCTTATCGCTCGAAGTGACTATACTGACCAAGATGAATTCTCAAACCAGCTTTTGCCCATTACGCAAGTTCTTTTGGCCCACCCCCCTCTCTATACCTAGCTAACATTCTATCTCAAGTCGCAAGCCATAAAATCGCCCGGTCATGTCTGGCTCTCCGGTCAAATCCCAGCTGATGCAAAGGGAAACCTCATAAAAGGATCGATGACCGAACAAGCTCAAGCTATCATTAGGAATACCGAAGCTATTTTACTTGCAGCAGGATCGTCCCTGGAGAGCGTGGTCAAGGTTGTGGTCAGTACAGCCCCATTTGGCTTGGGTCTGAATAGTACACTGATGGCCCAATGAAGGTCTATGTTAAAGACGCAAAAGCCATGCCTGAGTTCGCCGCAGTCTATGATCCTGTATTCCCGCATAAACCGGCGCGATCGATGGTCGAGGTATCCAATTTACCAGCCGGGGTTGATATCCAGATTGACTTCATCGCGGTGACCACATCGCCTAATCTCTAAGCGGTTTTGATTTGTCATTTTTTCGAGAAATTTAAGACTGGCAGTATGAAGAGTGACAATGAATTGACTCAAGATCCTCGGATGGATAACACAAACAACTAGATATAGAAGAATGATTTGAATAGACATGTCTCACTGTATTCGCTGATTTTCATGATAATATACGGCAACCGTCGTTAAGGTAAGATGTAGAGCTGTAAACTATGCCTCAGAAACAATCCCCGGCCTTTCTTGCATTGAGTCTCGTCCATATATTACGGCAGCATTCCCTAGGTGCGAGTGACTCATCGCAGGCTCGGGTTTGACCTCCTCATTTCAAGAAAATCAGGGCATTGGTTCACGCACAGCGGAGATATACTGTTCTAAGTTAGCATACGCGATAAAGATGAGGAGTGTATTAAGTAGCATACCGGAATAATCTGTGCTTTTTCGACATCCCAGACGCCACTTGAGGTGTAGATGTCACTTTTGATAATATCCTTGACCTCCTCAACATTGGTAGCGGCGTAAACAAGCATGCTGCCCTTGAATGACGGCGTTTCACCCTCCACTGGATGAGACTCAACCATTGCTCCTAAGTATGGTCAGATACATATTGCCGAGTTCTATTGAATATAAAAGAAAGCATACCGCCAACCAGCAGTTTGCCCGATGATACAAGACCCTTGACATCCTCGTAATGTTTGCTATGGAGTGTTATTCGGGGTGCCGGACTCAAATCCTACTATCGAAACTACTTACGGTCGAACCTGCAATCGACGTTCCAAAGTATTTGGCTTGTCAGGAATTATGCAGAGCCATTCCTTCTTGGCCTTGGAGGCGATATTACGGCGAGTTGTAGCCAGGGTTAAGGGTAGCGATTGAGATAGGGGCTTCGCGCAGAAGGAGACGGGATAAAAAAGAGAGCGCGAAAACATTTTGACGGACATTGTTAGAGACAGAGAATCGATGAGAATCCTACTCGATTGTATCAACTGTCTACGCAGTGCAAAGTACAGATGTTGATCGGGCGAGGAAGTTCGGGCGGGGAATCCGAAGGGGACACGGCGGGTATTTGTTGCCTCAGGCGATGGCACTGACTCAGCACCGGTCTTGGCATGCCATCTTCAGTGAATCTTCCTGGTCGATTCATCCATGACTCTGTCGTGCGTTTGAAACAAAGATCGGACGGGCGAAACATGAGTCGCTTCTGCGAGACTCCCCTGTTGGAGATCGTCATGGAAGCAATGAATTCGCCCGACAGCCGACTCCATCGCTCCAGAAATAGCATGCCGATCCGGCGATAAACCAACCATCATTGGCCGCCAAAAGCTTCGTTCTCATTAAGAGGGTCCAACATGTCACAGGACGATTGCTTTGGCCGCGCCTTAAACATCCTCCGGCCTAGGGCTTACGCATTCATGTGTTGCATTATGACTTATTCAGATCCACAGGATAACGAGGCTGAGAAAATCCAAACGCCCCTGATTCCTTAAAGTTGGTATCCTCGACCGACAACTTGCGCATACTGTGGCCACCGCGCTGCGTTGTTTGTACAGCAAAAACACGATGATTGCCGGCTCATCACCTTGAAAGAAGCTAGACATAATTTGGAAGTTCTCCCCGGGCGCAGACGATGACATCTTCCGAATCAGCCTCAAGCACGAGATGGCATTCCTTCTTGATCTCAGGACTCTCCATCTTCATCTGTATATCCGTTTTCCGATTGCTCACGCCCGATACACTCAATGGACGCCCTTCGGGCTCTGAGTATTTCGGAACCTCGGGGCATCATCATTACCACCCAATTGATCGTTTAGTGTTCGCCGCCCAGAACCGACTGCATTATTTTCACTTTCGACAAAGCCACAATGTCACCAGTGCGGCTGATCGCTATCGCCTCCGTCGCGGCCGTCATCCACCGCCTGGTTTTGACCAGTGGTTTGAATTTGCGCAAGCTAGGAATTCTGTCGTTGTGGAGGACTTCTTTGACCAAATCTACAGCGATCTGAGTCCATACTGGGGAGTCGAACCGGCTGACTTGCGTCGCCAGGCGAGTGGCTTTGCGCCGTGTATCACCGTGCGGGACCATGTTTCCAGAGCTATCGTCGACCTTGAAAATAGCGACCGACTAGCTGCATGGCATAACCTGATCTCCTCCATTCAGGAATACCTCCCGGACATGGACATCCCATTGAATACTATGGATCAGCCTCGGATTGTCATGCCCTGGGAAGCAAAGTCACATTACGTGCGCAAAGACTATTCCAGCCAACGAATATGGAACCCAGGTGATGTGATTTCGGAGTATACGTCGTTACCCAACCCAGGCATCGTGCAGCCGGAACCGTACCAGCCTGCGGTCATTGACATAGCCCCTTCGAGCTTCTGGGACGTGGTGCGGGATGGCTGCTCGCCCGATACTTCACCCCGGAGCACCTCTCTTCCCCAGATCGACTTCTCCAGCCCTCCCTCCGAACTCGACAATTACCTTCACATGCTCCAAGATGGCTACGTCAGTAACTGGCCTCAGTCCAAGGACCCATGCGCCCGGCCAGAGCTACAGGTTTTGCATGGTACATTTATCGAGCCGAACGCCGTCTCTGTTACCCACGAGCTGTTCCCTCTGTTCGGCGACTCAAAATTATCTGTGAATAATGAAATTTTACTTCCTTCGGCCAATGACTGGGCGAGTGAAGATGGGCCCCCTTCTGAGCAAACAACTGAGGAGGATTGGAATCTCAAGAAGGCAATGGTATTCTGGCGCGGTCCGGCGACCGGAGGCCACAATCGCGAAGAGAATTGGACTGGTTTTCACCGACATCGTTTCGTCTCTATGATGAACGCAACGACAGTCGAACAGGCGGATCTTGGTCGATCCTATTTGAACTTCCGGCTTCCAAGCTACCAACATTACCAACTCGCCGCTGGCATCGAAGGCGAGCTTCCCCAGTACCTAGCAAACTACACCGATGTCGGCTTTACACATCTCGACTGCGACGGCTTCGAACCCTCTGACCCGCATTGTCCATACACGGAGGACTATTTCGGACCCGTAGCAGACTTTTCATCAACTAGACATTACAACTACAAATATGCGCCCGATCTAGACGGTGACTCGAGCAGTGACCGGTTCCGCCAACTCCTTCTCTCAACATCCCTTCCCCTTAAGTCGACCGTGTACAACGAATGGCACGATTCGCGTCTTCTTCCCTGGGGGCATTTCATCCCCATGGATTCCACTTTCATGGACGTTTATGGTATTATGGAGTATTTCCTTGGGTTTGGCGAGGACGAAGGTCATGATTCGACGGCAGAGAAAATTACACTGGACGGTAAACGCTGGGCCGAGAAAGTCCTTCGAAAAGAGGACATGCAGATCTACGTGTATCGCCTGCTATTGGAGTATGCACGTCTTTGTGATGATCGGCGCGAGTTCCTCGGATTCGTGGCCGATCTCCGACAGGCGTCAAAATAGCTTCATGTCCGCTAAATTCTCCTGTCGGATGTTACGAAACTGTCATATATCTCGGCTATTTAATATCCATCATATTAATACATATGAAGACATAATTTCGCTTAATGGAAATTTCCATTCACATTCCAAATCACCGAGCGGCTGCAACCCACGTGCGCCGGGTTACCAGATCCAGTGGCGGCGATCTATCGCTAGTTTCTCTGCCTTGTTCTTCAAGACCCCCTTTCTTCCTTTCTTAAAACCAGACAGGCTCGCTATGGCCTCAATCTACCAAGGCCTTGTAGACATGTTCTCTCTTGTCCTCGCCATCCTGTCCACCGGGACTCCGGCTCTCGGTCGCGATTCCTTTTATCCGCCCCTCAACCACACGACGTACATCACCGACGCATCCCTGGGCCCGTACGGGGCCATCTACGCCGCGCCTGCTGGCCAACCCAGTCCTCCCTCGCGCGACGATGTCTACAATTACTGTTCGATGCCTCATCCCCGCGCAGAGACGTATGCACTTCCACCTCCGATCGCCAATAACTCCGTCTCGGGGCGGTTAGTCTACTTGGAGTACATGCAGCGTCATCAACGCCGCACGCCGTACAACATTCTTCCCGGCGGAGAAGTGCGTCCTCTATCCCATCGCTGGTCGCTTATCAAGTGGACCCTAACTTTTGCAGAATAAACCCTTCAACTGCGACAACATTCACCCTCATCTGTACGCCGCACCAGTGCAAGGCGAGTCGCCCGCGTTGGTCTACAGCCAGGCCTACTCGGACCCGGCCAATCCCTTCCTGGCCTCATATGTCAACGGTTCATGCCAGTACCCTCAGCTCACCTTTGGCGGTCTTCTCGACGGCTATCAGCACGGTCGGGACCTCCACGCTGTCTATGGTGACCAGCTCGACTTGATCCCGTCCTCTCCAGACCGCAAAAAGGTCTGGCTGCGCTCTACTTCCTCCGCGCTCACGCAGAGTTCGGCCGGCGGAGTCCTCCGCGGCATCTGGCCCGACCACAAGGGACCTATCGCTCTCCGCCAGCAGGCCTCGGGCATCGACACGCTCGACCGCGGCTTCCCCTGCTCGGCGCGCGATTCCCTTCTCTCGTCCATCCAGTCGACGTCCGCCTGGAACGAGCATTTAAGCGTGACTGCCTCCCTCCGCGACCGTCTCGCCACGGCCTTTGACGCCAACGAGTCCAGCTGGATGTCCACGTTCGACCACTTCGCGGATAACTTCCAGGCGCGGTTATGCAACGGCTACGAGCTCCCCTGTCAGAAAAACGGATCGAATTGCGTGACGACTGACGAAGCGCACGAGGTGTTTCGCGCGGGCGACTGGGAGTGGAATTACTGGTGGCGGTACAATGACGACGCGACACGGTATATCCAGCTCGTGCAAGGCCTTTTCATCGGCGAGGTCGTGAAAAAGCTCGAGGCCGTGCAGAACGGTCGGTCGGACGTGGTGTACAGTCATACCTTCCTTCACGACGGCGACATTGGTCCGGTGCTGGGCGCGTTGGGCATCAAGGCGCTCAGGTGGCCTGGGATGGCGTCTAATATAGCTATCGAGGTTTGGTATGTTGTTCTTGTTTTACTCTAGCTTGTCTTTCGTTCATTATTCTAATCATCAGTAGGGAAACATCGACATCCGATCTCTATGTCCGGGTCCTGTATAGCGGACACGCCGTGAAAACCATCCACGGCACCTTAGATTGGATCCCGCTTTCCAAGCTGCTGGATATTCTGCGACCGCTTGTGCCGGAGGATATTATCTCCATGTGTAATGCATAGCAATCCGTACAGTATTCTATGTACACTTCACCCAATGTACACTTCATCCACACAAATCAAAACGAAAATCAATCCGCGCAACAGTAGCAATACACCCCGTCAGAACAACACTGCGGATAGTCTCCGTGGCAGCAGACGGCTCGCGAACAGGGCGACGAGCACGTATAGCATCCTAGGCAGCGTGGTTAAGTAGATGCCTTCTGTGGGACTGTCGGAGTGAAAAGGGAAGGACATACGGTTATCGTCGGCTCCGAGAACACTCTGGTCCATATTTAGTGCATGCACGGCGGGGTCTTTTCGAGCCGATGTCGCTCTCGCTGCGTTTGTTAGTCACCTCTCCTTTTTCTTTTGTCGTTATTGAATTCAGAATATGGGATCCATACAGGTAGTTTTGCGATGATCTTGCATGAAGCCCGATATGAACGGGAGGGACAGGACTATCAAGTAAACCGGTTTCATGATGGATGTGGTAATCTGTATGTTTCTTGGATAGCTAGCTCAGTCCCAAAATCTGGGTTGAGAGACCTATCTACCTAGTTATATGGCCCTCGGTGTTTGGGTAGGGCTATCCAGTCATCTGCGGTTGTCATCCGCGTTACGAGGTCAGATGGTGCGGCGCACAGCAGATGATCGGGATCGTCGTCCAGGTTTGCATATCCCGGAGGGTTTGGGTGGAGGGGATCCTAGTCCTGAAGATTATTATAAGGTGAACATTTAACGAGGGATAATGGTTTAGGGCGACCGGGGACCGTGGTATATTCTCTTAACGGGTTCTGGGAGCTTGGGATACGGGTCAGGGTGTTGGTATATCTACCTAACAAACCACCAGCGATGTGTACTATCTTCGGACATGATTGACATGCCTCTACGACGTTAAGACCTGAGTGCCTCTATTGAAACAAAAACAGATAAATAATACACAGCACATTTTATTTTTCTTCGGATTCCAGAGAAGTGGTCTACCTCCTCGGACAACGTTTATGAAACTGACATAAATCCCTCGGTACCTACCTGATGTATAGCTGTCTGTTACTATGATCGACAACACTTATAGTGATTACTCCCCTCTCACTACACTTTATCAGCTTACAATATCTAGCCTAGTTACGACAAGGATAAAGCAAATACGGAAACCTATTTCATGTAAAATCGCTAGGTTGATTAGCTGGGAGGGTCTCGAACATAAGTATATACCGGAAAGTAGTGCAAAAGAACCGGGGGTTATTAATCCCATGGTCCTTTGGCTTATCACTTTCTTCATCTTATATATCGTTTATGCTGAGCAGCTAAAGCGCCTTTACCCATGGTGTCTCGAGTACTTCGTAGATCTTCGCAGCACCTAGATATATGTAACTGAATTATTTTCACGTCGAGCTTTCAAGCTGACTTATTATTCTGATCAACTGTTTATCATATTCTGTGTTTTAATTTTTGCGTCAAAGAATGAAGCCCCAAAGTCGATGCAAACCCGCTAAACAGAGAAACACGTGGGGGAGCTCTCGCCCCGACGCGTGTTGCTTCTCTCAATCCTCACCTTCTCGCGTTGGTAAGATGTTTCGAAAACTGTGGCCCCTCTCCAGCAATTCCTCTGAATCAACGGCTTTTCAGGTTATTTCAGACTTGCATCTTGAGATCAACCAACAGTATTCCTCCCTCGAGATCCCCGCGCGCGCCAAATACCTCATCCTCGCCGGTGACGTCGGGCGTTTGACGGACTACCATGCGTACCGAGACTTCATCCGAGAGCTGACCATCCGGTTTGAGTTGGTCTTTCTGATTCTCGGTAATCATGAATTCTACAACAGCACTTTTGCAGCGGGGTTGGAAAAATCCAAGCAACTCGAACGCGACTCCGGGATGAACGGTCGGCTTGTGCTCCTTCATCGGAAACGATACGATATCTCGGGAACTCGTCTCTCGATTCTAGGATATACATTATGGTCCGCAGTACCAGATCACACAAAGGATATCGTGCAGGCAAAGTTCAAGGACTTTCAGATGATTGAAGGATGAACGGTGGAAGACCATAATGCACAGCACAAATCCGATCACGCTTGGCTAATAGAAGAGGTGGAGGCTAAACAACGGCAGAATGAAAGGGCAGCGTCAAACGAGAGACGAACCGTCCTGGTCGTAACCCACCACGCTCCGTTGACGCGAGGAACGTCGAATCCCCAGCATGAAGGCAGTGCGTAGAGTTGTGCCTTTGGGACGGATATTCTCCCCGCACTGTCGGCTGGGGCCGATACGTGGGTGTTTGGGCATACACATTATTCCACGGAATTCCAACACGACAGGACCAGGGTCGTCAGCAATCAGCGGGGTTATGTGCTGCCTGGGATCCGTGATCCTTCCAAGGCATCCTTCGACGTGCAGCGAGTGATGCAGCTGTGACTGTCTGCAGCGACGGAACGCATTCCGCCGCCGGATCCTTCCGACCTTCCGAGTGCTTCTCGTCGCCTGGACTCTCCTAATCGGGAAAAAGTATCGCCCACGTCCGCCTACATAAAGTTGGTCCTGCTCTCGCTCTCCCTTGCGGCGGAGAAAACCCCCATTCCACCTACCCTCAACCATGGCTCCCCATCCGCTCGCTATTCTCTCAGAGGAGGAGACCAACATCGCCCGCGATGTGGTCGTTGCCTCTCACCCCGATAGTGTCATCGATTTCCGTGAGATCTACCTCTTAGAGCCCCCCAAGGCTCAGCTGCGCGACTTCCTGGCGTTGGAACATGCCGGACGGTTGAGTCCGACCACGCCTCATCCCCCTCGTATGGCCCTGTGTCAGTACGATGTCATCGGCTCCGATCGAATTCCTTTGTACCAGGAGTCCGCCGTGGATGTAGGATCGCGTAAGCGGGTCAAGCATCAGGTTATTGGAAAACAGCATCATGCAGCTCTGACAGTGTATGTTAACTGGACCCTTTCGAGCCTAGTATGGCTTGCTAATATCGTCACAGGAGCGAATTTGATGTGCTTGTCGACCGTTGCTTTGCCTCCCCTCTGTTCAAGCAAGCTCTTGCTGAATTCGATCTCCCCGAAGGCTTCGAAGTAGTGATCGAACCGTGGCCATACGGTGGACTGGACCAAGTCGAGGAAAACCGCCGATACTTCCAGGGTCTCTGCTTTGCGCGCGACAAAACCAAGAACAATGCCGATGCCAACTTCTACTCCTACCCACTACCTCTCATTCCCGTCATGGATGCTCACACCCAACAAATTATTCGAGTTGATCGTCCTGCCACTGGAGGTAAAGGAGAGGGCCTACGTGACCAAACCTTTAAGCGCGACATTATCGGCCATTGCAAGGGCTCAGACTACGTCCCGGAGTTGCTGCCTGAGGGCACGCGCAAGGATCTGAAACCATTGAACCTGGTGCAGCCGGAGGGGCCGTCCTTCCGCATTACCAACGAGTCTCTGGTCGAATGGCAGAAGTGGCGTTTCCGCGTTGCATTTAACCCTCGCGAGGGAGCTACTATTCATGATGTTTGGTACGATGGACGCAGCATCATGTATCGACTGGCGATTAGCGAAATGGTGAGAGTGTCCCGCGCGCTTCGTTGCATCGCTCACTAACAGCCTCAGACTGTTCCCTATGCCGACCCTCGTCCTCCATTCCACCGCAAGCAGGCATTCGATTTCGGTGACGGCGGTGGCGGAAACATGGCCAACAACCTGTCCATTGGCTGCGATTGCCTGGGCGTGATTAAATACTTCGACGCAGTACTTACCGAGCCAAATGGCTCCGCTAAGAAGCTGCCCAATGCCATCTGCCTGCACGAACAGGACGGTGGCATTGGCTGGAAACACTCCAACTGGCGCACTGGACGAGCGGTGGTGACCCGCAACCGGGAGCTGGTGGTGCAGTTCATCATCACCTTGGCAAACTACGAATACATCTTTGCCTACAAGTTTGATCAGGCGGGTGGCATTACTGTTGAGTCCCGCGCTACGGGCATCCTCAACGTGGTCAACATCGACGCCGGCAAGACCAGTGATTACGGCAACGTCGTCAGCGGAGGTGTCCTGGCTCAAAACCACCAGCATATCTTCTGCGTTCGCATGGACCCTGCCGTCGACGGGTCGGACAACTCGGTTGTCGTTGAAGAATCGCACCCGGTGCCCATGAACGAGGTTACCAACCCTAACGGCAACTTCTACCAGGTGACGAATCAGACCATCGAGCGGGCTGGCTGGCTAGACGCTGCCCCGGATCTGAACCGAACGGTCAAAATCATCAACCCTCACCGCACGAACCCGATCAGCGGGAAGCCTGTTGCATACAAATTCATCCCCTTGGCGACCCAGAAGTTGCTGGCTGACCCCAACTCGGTCCAAGCGAAGCGCGCACAATTCGCACAGCACCATGTCTGGGTGACGAAATACCGCGATGGTGAGCTTTATGCTGGCGGGCGGTATACTTTGCAGAGTCAACAGGAGGTCGACGGGGTTGCTGACGCGGTGCGACGTGGGGACACTGTCGCCGACACGGACGTTGTGGTATGGAGCTGCTTTGGAATTACGCATAATCCTCGAGTTGAGGACTGGCCGGTGATGTAAGACTTCTTCCAGTGGATCTTCAATCCCCGTATACTGACATCTTTTAGGCCCGTCGAAACATTCCAGCTGATGATCCGACCATCCGACTTCTTCACGGCCAACCCAGCGCTGGACGTTCCCTCGGATAAGAACGGTAGCTCGGTTGTCGTGGGCGGAGATTGCTGCCGGCCGGCACATATCTAGGAGTGGCCTGGAATCAGGATATGGCCTCCCGGCTATGAATTACGATCATATGTACATTGTTTTGATTTTGGGCATGATGTAAATGCATAGAGGTAGACTCGATGATTATCTGTCGAGATAAGATAGCAAATGATAAGATACCTAAGGGATGATAAGATAAGCGTCGGTCGAATTCCGCATTCCGCCTCGGAGGCTCGGAACGCAGGATTTGCTTCCTCAACTCTCTCATTTTCACGCTCTGCCTGCTCAGATTGCTCGGAACGCAGACCAGCCAGAACCTAATCAACTCCCCTGACTATTCCTCCCCTTTCCGAAGAGGTTGCGCAATAGCCTGTCCGGCATGGACACACTGTCTCCCAAACGAAGTGGCGATGGTACCCCGGAACCGCCTCGGAGTAAGAAACGGGCTAAATACACCCAAGTAGCATGGTGGGTTCTTTTGCTCGTTTGATCATGGGGCTGTGCCATACTAATCCGAGTGTAGTAATGAATGCAAGCGCCGGAAACTCAAGTGTAGCGGCGACGCGGTTTGTACGCGCTGTGCGCGCGATGACGTGGAGTGCATTTATACGGGCAATGCTCACGCGGCGAACCATGTTGCCTATCCGGTAGAGGAGAAAAATGACGGGTATGTCGTCTCGTCGAGTCTAATTTATCTACTTGGTAGCTTATGCTTGTGTATCAGTTTGAGTACTCTGTTCCGCTCTGTCGATTCTCAAATCCAGTCTCTGCACCGGGAAATGCGCGCCATGGCGGCGCGAGTGCGGCACATTGAATCGTCCTCTGCCGCTGGGAGTACTGCCCCCAGCGCCATTCCGACATCCGGGTCAACTGTTTCCTCGTCCTCAAATAATGCGGGTTTACAGCGCATTATGAATCGGCCTCAATCGCCTTCTTACGTGGGGCCGACAAGCGCGGAGTTTGGACTCACAGCCCGTCAGAAATCCGTGGACGATAGTGATGGCGATGAGCTGGCATCTACGGCTGCGGCGAGCCCTGCTCCGCCGTCTGATACGGAGGCCATGTCGGCTGATTCGTTGGGGTGTTTGGGCCTGACGGAGGCCTTGCGCCTGGTCACGGTGTATGAGAATACGGTTGGCTTGATGTATCCGTGCGTCGATCTTGATAGCGTGCGCGTTTATGTCGCCGAGTACTATCGAACCGAGGGACGCCCCGGGCCGACCTCTCCGGTGACGATGGATCAGGACTGGTTCTTTGCGCGCGATGTCGAGGTGCTGAAAGTCATTCTGGCGACGGCGTTGTTGGCAGAGTCGCATGGACGCAGCGAGAGAGCGGCGTTCCTGGCTGACAGTGTGGAGGATCGGTTTGCGACTCGAGTGAAGATTGCAGAGGTCGATATGAAGGAATTATTGATTTTGACGTTACTGGTTGGTGGATTGCAACGGATAAAGCTCAACGAGTATAGCCGTGCTGACACTTGATCTAGTCTATCTTTCACTCGTATCGCGATGACGAGGTCATCTCCTGGCGTCTCATTGGCATGGCTGTTCGGGGCTCTATGCAACTTGGTCTACATTGTCAAGAGACTTGGTTGCAAACCGGGGGTGTATTCCCCGGCGAGCTGCAATGGACGTGGGCGAGTCGGCTATTCTGGTGTATCTACGTGCTGGACCGCAAATGGTCGTTCGGCACCGGTTTACCGTTTGCCATTCAGGACTCGGACATGGATACTAACCTGCCGGAACCAGGGACTTCGACTCCCTATCTCACTTGCATGATCACCTACGCTCGACTGAGCACTAAGATCTGGGGTTTGGTGGTTGGCTGGCGCAGTCGTCCTCGCTCTGCGACCTCGGATTACTGCTCCTATCTCGACTTCCAAGTCCAGCAATGGATTCAGTCCATCCCCCGAGAGTTGCGTTTCGATCCATCGCAGCGCATATCAGATACCGATCCGCAGGCGGATAATATGATGATGCTTCAAGTCTTGCTGGCGCTGCAGGCCAATCAGCTGCGTATCCTCGTCTACCGACAAAATCTTCTCACGAACGAGAGTATCGAAACGAACGTCTCTGGTGCTACCACTGCTGTTGAGACAGCCAAAAGTTCAATTCATATGCTCGATTTATTTTCTCGCGTCTCGGACATCTACTTCCAGCGCCCGGAGCCGTTTAACTATTTCCTGATCTCTGCGTTGGCCGCGCTTTTCCTAGCCGTTTTGCATTCTCCCTCGAGATTCAGCCAGGTCTGTCGGCCCGAATTCTACGCCGCGGTCGATATGGTGAGGAAGTCGTCGACGAGAGCACGCACCTCACGACGCCTGCAGAAAATTATTCGCAGCCTAAAAGTGATCCGGTTGAATCTGCCGGGACAGTCGGCGCGAAGAACCCAGAATCATGCCAATCGACGAGAGTCTCACATAAGTCAGAGGAATGTTGACTCTACGCCCCTGACGATGGTGTCGCCGTTTGACACTCCTACTTCCCAGCCCCAACACCGCCAACCTCCAGCGTCTAGGACATCCACTCCGCAGTTCCCTTCTATGTGGTCTTTTTCGCTTCAGCCGACAGCCCCGGATCACTCGACTCGACAGGATACTACCTGCGAGGACTTGACTAGCTTCTTCGAAATGGCAGGTGGACTATACTTCGATCCTAGAGCTGGAGGACACGAGGATCTGGTCGCCGAGACAGGCGGCGAAGGACTCGACGCGTTTCATGCGGAGGATGAAGCCTTGACGAGGGTCATGGCTGGATTACTTTGAACGAACATATCATTAAAATATCAGCCTATACCAAACTATACCTCTTTGTCCATACTGAATTGACGGAATATCTGCATGAATTGAAGCCTAACTAATACCTTTCAAAATTATTTACTAGAATCAGAACGAAACAAGGTTAAAGAAATTACACAACAGGCCATCCGCTGGAGAAGTCGATCTTGTTCCAGCCGAACAACTTCTGCCCATCTCCGTAGCCAATGGTGGTGTCCACGTAGTGGTAGTAGAGAACAGGGCCGTTCTTGGAGTCGGTGAAGACGCCCCTAGATGAACATGTTAGACAAAGCTCTTGGAAGAATTGGAGTAAGGAAGGCAAACGTACTGTCCGCCAGGTCCGTACACATTTCCGTGGCTTTCCAGAACCACGGTTCCGCCGCCGTTGGTGCATGCTTTACCGGTTTTATCGACCTGTTATACCAATTAGATGTGTTTCATGTAGAGCAGCACACCAAGTGAGGCATGCGCTGAGCGAAGAAGAGGGGAAAACTCACAAAGTTGCCCGTTGCACTGCTCGAGCGACACACCTTGATCTTATACTCCGCACCCGCGGCCGGCCGGCTGGTGTCATATCCACAGCACTTTCCAGTGGAGAAGAACAGGTAGTAGTAGTTGCCGTTCTTGTACAGATATGCCGCCTCGACTTCGTGGCTGCCGGCCGGGTCGTACGCGATGTTGTACGACGAGGAGGACACCTTCGTTGCGGCAGAGTTGAACGGTGCCTGGTATAGGTCGCCCCAGAAGGAGCCGAAGTTCATGTAGTAGGTGCCACCGTCGTTGAAGAGGTTGGCGTCGATGGCGTTGTAGTTCTTGGACGAGTCTGAGCGGACTCCGGTGGAGCCGTGGTCGGTCCAGGTTCCTGCGTCCATGGACGAGGAGGTTGCGAGACCGATGGCGGAGTTCTGGGACCCGAAGGTCGAGACGGAGTAGTAGAGGTTGTAGGAGCTGCCGACCTTTTGGATGTCGGGGGCCTGTTGACGAGAGAGAAGTCAGGGTTGGGTTGGGTCTAGTGGCTGGGATAGGGGGAAGTGTAGGAGACATACCCAGAGGTCATTCTTTCCATCAAGGTCAATGGAAGAACCATCAGGGAGCACAGAGCCCAGCGCCGTCCAGGGTCCCTCAATCGACGAGGCAGAGGCATACGAGATCTTGTTTCCGGTAGAAAAACGGAAGTATTTCCCGTCTGACTCTCGTTGGATCAAGCCCGGGTCATGGATATTGCAGGCCCCGGAACAGGCCCCGGGGTTGGCATAGCCATGGACCAGAGCAGAGAGCAGAAAAACGGAGAGAAATGACAAAGAAGAGAACATGGTAAGAAAGGAAGATGAGACAGATCTGGTTTCAACCGGGAAATCTTTTTTTTCTGTCAATCGTCCCCTCGGTCTACTTATACATGTCATTCGGTCCGCACCTCGGAGGGACGTGCCTCAGCCTTGAAAATGCCATTTGTGGAATAAGCTACCCCTGTCCGGCAGTTTATGGTGGCTGACGAATGGAGATTTGGCATTCCTGGGTTTTGGACCTGGCGTTTCCGGTGGAGATACTTTCTCTTGTGGAACTAGCATATGATTTATGCGAGGTTACATAGCCTTGATAGGTTGGGACTAACCGCGCGCTCGGCGGTTTGAATAGTGGAGGGGATTATAGCGCTGTGAAAATAAGACTGGAGTCTAAACGAGTTACGAGAGGGGATAATATGTCTCATCAGGTGGAGGAAGGGCCACTCTGGTGCAATTGAGAGCAGGTCTGAGGGGTGCTGCTGTCAGATTTCATGGTGCCTGCTATCACATCTGTCTACACTTTACACTGCACCGAAGAGGGCTCTTTGGCTATGATGGGTCTTTTCTCCCTTTTGGTGTGCCGTGAAGCAGCTCCTGTGACAGGTTATTGTGGGTATGTTTCTCTCTTTGACAGGAGTTGCCGCTGTTTCAAGTGTTCCGACAAGCCACTTGGCCATGACTCGTTTCTACTGGCCTCAAAAGACAAAGAATGTTTTCGACAAGGGAAAAGAGAATTCCTATACGAAGCCATAGTCATATGAGGGGAAATTGCAGAAACGGAGCACCGTCCGAGCCCCGAAGATAAAAATGCAGGTGCTCTTCTGATCAGCGCCATAATGTGGCCTAAGTCGCCGGGACTCCACTTGGGATCAGCGATGATTCGCGAGAACACCGTTGATCACATCTTATCCCATGACGACATTTCTACGGAGTACACGGGATGAGTTCTCTCTCGAAAGTATCCCCCTACAAATACTCCAAGGCATGGGTATTAAATGAGGCTGGGACAAGGGTGATATTAGCTTGGTGTGGCTGACACAGGTCCCTGTCAGCCAGATCCGACACGGAGAAAAAAAAAAGGAGATGGGGTGAGATAATTCCAGAGTCTTAGCGGTGCGCTGGGCGCGCCAGAAGGTCTGCCTGGCTGGTGGATCGTTGGCGGAAACCAAAGAGTGAAACCGCTGCTAATAGCGCGGTGACAGAGTTGGCTAGTGTGTGTTTCACCCATTTCTTAAAATAGGTGGCTATCGTCGGAGTGTGTGTGCCCTAAGGCCTTTTCTGAAAGCCTGTCCAAGAGGCAAAGGGCATCGCTCACATTCTCATCGTCGAGGTGCATCTTCCATGGCCTCATCCACGGCACTGAATACGGCAATATCCCGGCTGCAGAGCGACTGCCAATGTTCGTCCCCACATCCACAACTCACTCGAAATGCGGAGAAATTGCGGGGGTTCCCTGATTTTAGGCATCGACATGTGGTCCACTTGAACTCTTCACAGTCGGTTAATACCCTGTCCCTGCAATTTTAACCGACTTGGTCTTGGTGCCTCTCCTCCACGGGCTTGGCTCGTACGATATCCCTCATTTTCCCCCACAGGGACAAGCATCGTGGCGGCTCAGCTTCACGATGGACTTTTCCACCAATTGCGGTTGACGATCGACGTCATCTTCAGGGACAGAACTCGAGTATATGTACAGCCTCATGTCTCCCTGGCGAATAGGATGTTATCACATGAACGGGTGTGTGCGCAATCACCGAAAACATGTTTTCTTTGCGAGCCTTGTGGCAGTTCTTCCTATCGGCCTTGCTGGTGCAGTCTGCATTGGCCGACACCTTCACAAATCCCTTAAAGAATCCCAATGGCAGTGATCCGTTCATTGTCTACGTCGACGGCTATTACTACCTAATCACGACCACGTGGACCGATCTTCAACTTACTCGCTCTCCGACTCTGGAGGGCTTGAAGGCAGGTGAGAACAAGGTTGTGTGGAAGGACGACAATCCGAACCGCTGCTGCAGTGTGTGGGCACCGGAGATTCATCAGATCGACGGAACGTGAGTACCTGATCCCGTCCATGTCGAGTGCCGTAGTGGTCCTAACCTATGCAGATGGTATCTATACTACACGGCCGGAAGCTCCGACACCCTCGACAACCAGCGCGCGCACGTCCTGAAGGGTATGAAAAGTACTCCCCAAACTAATGTTTATTGACTTGCTAATACATTAAAAAGGTGGCTCCAATCCCTGGGACGCATACGATTACCTCGGTCAGCTCACTACCGAATGGGGCATTGACGGAACCGTCCTCGTCGTCGACTCGCAGAACTACTTTATTTGGTCCTGCATGGAAGACGGCATCCAGTCTAACTGCATCGCCACTCTTGACACTCCCTCGACGATCGGCGAGAAGCACATTCTCTCGCAGCCGCTCGAGGACTGGGAACGAGTCGAAGCCCCAGTCAACGAGGGTGCCGCTCCCCTGTACCATGACGGAAAGATCTGGGTCGCCTACTCGGCCTCCTATTGCTGGACCGCCAACTACTCGCTCGCTCTCCTGACGTACGATGGTGCTGGCGATCCGCTGGACAGCGACTCGTGGACCAAGTCGGCTGGTCCGTTGTTCACGTCTGCCAATGGAAACTACGGAACCGGACACAATGGGTAAGTCCTTCTACTCTCTGATCTTCTGTTTGTATATGGACGTGTGTATCGGATACTGACATGTCGGAAAGATTCTTCACCAGCCCTGACGGCTCTGAGATATGGAATGTATTCCATGCCACTTCGGCTAGCGAGGGTGCTTGCGATAGCAATCGCTACACTATGGCCTTGAAGGTGGAGTGGAACGAAGATGGAACGCCGAGTTTGGGAGAGGCCCCAGAGCTGTCAGATGTTCTGGAGGGCCCTTCGGGGGAATAGATTTACATCTTCGTGAAGTGTTCTGACTAGGCAAGAATAGAATCCCTAGGTTACGGTGGAGATGAAGAGCCAAAGTGGTCTATATCAATGGACTATGGTCATATAGAATGGTATTTCATATATAGATGATGAGGAAGAGTAGAGTACGGAATATAAATGTATACATGGACATGCAGAACTAGTACTGTAAGAGTAGCTAGGCGTCGTAACTATCAATTTCAACCCCAACTAGATTCATGTCCCGATATTTCTATCGAGAGATATGATGCAATAACCTGTCACGATGTCACGGATTATCGCACCAGGGCCCTGTTTTATTCGATGTTTTGCGACCACACCCGGGTTTTTACAGACAATTAAAGTCATTCATATAGCTCAAGGCCAACTCTTCCAAGCCTCATACGAATTCAGCTCATTCCATACACTCACCCGACTGTGTACCCTAAAAAACCCCAAGTAAACCAATTTTGGATCAAAATGCCCAATCTAACGCAATTTACCTGCCCCCGGCTGAGAAAGGGAGTTGCCTTGAATGACATAGCAGCTACCTATTGGGAGATGGCGAGACGGATAAAACAACGAAAATGGGGGACCGGATTTGTTGAACTGAGATACTACATCGTAACTCTCCGGTTTCTCCTCTCGCAATACTCAAATCGTAGGTCTATGGTCTCTAGATATCGTCGTAAACTCGGTGGTGGAGGCAGGAAGATTATATATATACAGTTCGGAGCTGTCCGGAATAGGCAAAAATACACTACAAGCCCTAATAATTGACCATATAAATAACCGGATCTCCTCTCATTGCATCAAATAGTCAATCGGATCATGACCGATTGTTAACTATGTATGAAATTCAAGATGCAGTCCTCCGGAGTAAATTCTAGTGCCTCCAATGCATTCTGACCGACCACGATCCCCACCGCAGGCCGATCTCACGAATGAGAGAGACGAGAGTGACTCGAGACGAGGCCAAAAGCGAGAGAAAACCCCCCACCGACTTAGTGGCTCCACCGACAACCTCGACGCGATCCCCCGACCGTCCGAACGCTTCTAATTTTCCATCTTTTTTTTTTGGATGTCACCTCGACTCGGTAATTCGCGAAGGGATGCGCCATGCCCGATGTTACAGCAGCGCCATCACGTGGCATCCGTAAGCCTAGGAAATCGCGTGGGCGAGGATTGCGCGCCACAACTGGCTGGTCAGTCTGAGAATCCTTAGGGACATTAATTGCCTGCATGCCCCTGATTGCCCTAGCTAACGCGGTCGTAGTTTGATCTGCAAACGGCGGCATGTGAAATGCGACGAGGCAAGTCGACTCCTCGCGCTGAAACAGTACCCGCCAGGAGTGGCAATCAAATATTAATATGTGATCTCTTCAGGTTCATCCCCAGTGTGGCCCTTGTGCCAAAGGTCAACGCGCCTGCGTCTACGGTGACACAGACTCAGGGGTTGGAAGCAATCTTTCGATCGATGCTGCTGCCGCAACGCCGTCAACGCCTCGAGAGGACCCCCCAAGGACCACACCGCAGCTTCAGGTCCATGAGCCCCTACAGATCCTGGTGGATGCCTGCCAGCAGGAACGGCCTGTGTCGCATGAACGTCCCCTCGGTCGCTCGTCGCTTGCGCCCGATTCAACAGCTCCCAATCACGAAAATGTTCCCTCGCCGGCCACCGAGTCAACGGTCTCCAACCGCACGGGTGCCCCGAGAAGCTGGTTCGAATTGTTGGCAACCGATGCTGTCAATGCAGATGAGAACTTTTATCTTTCACCCCAATTGCGGACCCCGTCGACCCCAGCGCTCTCCTCGTCGCCGTTGTTCCCGGACCTTAATCCCGGCTTTAATCCTCGCACACTCCGGCAACGTGAGAGCTTCAAGGCGGCTTCGTTCGGAACCGATCCGGAGATTCAAAGGAGCTTGATGCCAACACAACCCGGTGATGTACCGAACATGGTGGCAGATGATCCTTCGTGCTGGACGACGCCATCTCCGATACAATTATCACCCAAAGAGTACCGGATATTCAACCACTTTGTCAAAACCCTCAGCTCGTGGCTCGACTTCTTCGACCCAACTCTACAGTTCTCCACGGTTGTTCCACACCTCGCACTGCGAAATACCGGCTTACTGAAGGCGCTTCTGGCCCTCTCCGCCCGGCATCTCTCACTGTGGAATGCCAACTACCCTTCCAGTATGCCGCGAGACACTGGCTCGTCGACCAGCGACGTCAAGGAGGCCTGGAACCTTTCTGAAATTGACCGCAATCTAGCAGTCCAGTATTACTACGAAACCCTTACCTATTTAAACAAGGCCATGAAGTACTCCAGCTACGCGTCGAGCCCCGAGCTCATCTCTACTGCCCTGCTCATCAGCACGTATGAAATGGTAGACGGCTCCAACCGAGACTGGGAGCGACATTTAAAAGGAGTCTTCTGGATCCAACGATACCAGAACAACAACGGCGAGTGCGGCGGTATTCGACAAGCAGTCTGGTGGGCCTGGTTGCGACAGGACGCCTGGGTGGCCATGCGAGAACGCCGTCGTGTCTTCACCTTCTGGAAGCCAAAAAAGCATTTTTCGATATTAACGCCTGCGGAGATGGCTTGTCACTCGCATTACCTTCTCGCGCAATCAATCAATTACGCGTCGAAGGAAGAGTCCGAGTCGAAGGATCTGCAACAACGGCTGGAGCGAGGCAGCGAGTTGCTCTGCATGCTGCAGGAATGGCTCGATTATCTCCCCAATGAATTCCGACCGCTGCCGACCGCACCTAGTGACAAGCTCTTTCCTCCTATTTGGGTGCACCCCCCATCATATGGGGCCGCACTGCAATTGCATAGTTTGGCGCGTATTCTTGTCCTGCTGCATCGCCCGTCGGTAGGGGGGCTACACGATTATCGTGCGGGTCAGCGCCTTTTGACGGCCTCAGTCAGTACGATCTGCGGCATCGCGCAGACGGTAGATGAAGATAATAATGCGGCCTGTCTGGTGTCGCTTAATTCTTTATACGGAGGTGAGTTCCTTTCCACTCGGAATAATAGGCGTTCTCACTAACCTACGATCTAGCTGGAATGTGCGTCCACACGCCTCACGAGCGAACAATTTTGCTCGACCTGATGGACATGTTCCAGCAGAGGGTCCGGTGGCCTAGCAATTCCCTTCGGCGAGATCTGGAGCTGGACTTTCAGAAGGACGACCTGCCGGGGCCTATTGATAACAGATAATGGCTCCACGGTCGTAGCGCGTGTAAATAGCTGCTCAGATACTGTATACGGATACCCATTTGCTTTAGAAATTGTCACATCAGCGAATCTCGTTTATAGGTGACATTGTGTCTCACACTTCAGCACGTTACTACTAGGTCACAATCCACTTGGGTCTATGAGCGATCCCTGTGATTAAGAATAGACTAAGGGAAAGTAGCCCCATGAGCCTAAATGTGCGTCCCTGACACTTTAGCCCATTCATAGTGCACGCCCCCATGGCCTGTTGGTCTGTTACCCACTAGATCGGCACCTCCGAGTTGATCGATGTCCGACTGCCTCGACTCGAGGCACTTTCACTCGGGAACGTGATCGGATGGTTATTTCGATGCGGGGACAGACTGCACGAATGCGAATTGTTTATCGGGTTGATGTCACCATGTTTTCTCGGTCTTGTTAGTTGTGACAACTGTCGTCAAGTACAAGAAGCCTGCGTTGTCCGCAATCCAGGTTTTGCTGTCCGGTCTATCATCTTACATCCATTTCTCCTATCTCATGCCAAGTCTGATTTTTATTCCTCTTATCTCCAATTGAGCAATTGTATCTTATTTATTTATTTAGAAACCCCATTTACAGTCGCAATGCCTCCCTCCGCAGACGAAACGCCCGCCACGACAGCCGCCGAAGCCAACGGCGCCGCACAACCTCCTCTCAGCACGATGCCCTCGTCCGACTTCACCTGGCAGATCACGCTGGCGAACAAGGTGATCGCAATCACGGGAGCCAATCGCGGCATTGGTCTCGGGGTCGCGGAGGTCTGCCTTGCCAACTCGGTGAATATCATCTACTCGCTTGACCTCATGGAGCCCGGGGAAGAGTTCTTTGCCCTGCAGAAGCGCCGCCCCAATATCCGATACATTCAGACCGATGTGACATCGGAAGAGAGCGTCGAGAAAGCGATCAACCAGATCGTCGAAGAGACGGGGAGAATTGACGGATTGGTGGCGAATGCTGGAATGACGAAGCATCAGCCGGCGTTGAACTTTGATCGCGCTGAGTTGGATAAGTTGTTTAATTTGAATGTGAGTCGGAGAACAGAGCGAGTTAGGTTGAAGACTGGTTAACGCGAAATAGGTGTTTGGAGCGTATTTCTGTGCGCAAATCGTCGCCCGCAAGTTCATCGAGCTGGGCATCAAAGGGTCGATTGTTATGACCTCGAGCATGACTTCGTATAGACCGAACCGAGTATGTCTTCCCTATGCTGTTTCCAAATACCACGATACTGACTATGCAGGCCGCTCCATCTGCTCCCTATGGTGCCACCAAGGCAGCTGGTAAGTCTCCTCCATCCCTTTCTGAGTTCTGGACGGTGTTTTAACGAGAGCACAGTTCGAAATATGTGCCATACGCTCGCCATGGAGTGGAGCAAACACGGCATTCGTGTCAACAGCGTCTCTCCGGGCTTCGTTCGCACCGCAATGACCTACTATGTTGAGCATTCGCCCGACTGGGACCTGAAAATGCAGTACTATGGGGGGATGCCACGACTGGCGGATCCTCGCGAGCTGGGAGGCGCATATGTGTATTTGCTGAGCGACGGAAGCTCATATACGACGGGAATTGACATTCCTGTGGCGGGAATTGTGGGCGCATGGTAGATCCAGTGCAAAAATCGTTGTTTTGTGGGGGTGTTATAGTTGTGTTCTTTTCTTTGGTAGGTAGCGGAGATCGCCGACTTCCTCTCGGCCGAGCAAATAATGGAGACTTCTATGACTTCACCCTCGTTCTCCGTTCTGCACCTTCTGTCTTGCATGTAGACGTTATTGCAAAATGCGAGCAAAGAAGGCATCCTCGAAACAACAGAAACCAGAAATACCCCGCAAATATACTGCAGGATGGCGACGAGTCATCAGCAATTTCAGCCCATCGTAAGTGACTCTGGCTGTGTCGCCTTCTTGTCTGACTCTCTCGAACAGATGGTTCTCAATCACGATGGGCACCGGAATCGTTGGCATTTTGTTCCATCTTATACCATTTGATGTTACGGCATTCCACTATATCGCTATCGTTTTCTTCATTTTGAACACAATTCTCTTTGCGACCGTCCTCGCCATGTCCGTCCTGCGATATGCCCTCTTTCCGGAGATATGGGCAGTGATGATCCAAGATCCAGTCAATTCGCTGTTTCTTGCAACTTGTCCCATGGGCTTGGCGACACTGATTGAATTGTGGGTTTTCATCTGCGTGCCCATATGGGGTGACTGGACGCGCACCGTGGCATGGGCCTTTTGGATCGTGGATGCCGTTGCTGCTGCATCGGTGACGGCGTCGTTGTCGTTTATTCTGTTTGTTCTCTATCCTTCAGTACCTCATAGTCGTTCTAATACAGGGCTAGTATATCCCAAAGTTACGTCACGTCGCTCGAGCGCATCACCGCCCTGCAGCTTCTTCCTATCGCGGCCACCATCGTTGCGGCCGGGGTGGGTGCAGAGATCGCCGATATTCTCCCCAATCCAAACCATGCGACCGGGACATTACTTGTCTCCTATATTCTCTGGGGCATGGGCACTCCTATGGCTATAATGATTTTGGTTATTTACTATCAGCGTCTCGCTGTTCATAAGCTGCCGTCGCGCGCGACGATCGTCAGTTGCTTTCTACCTCTTGGTCCGTTGGGATTTGGTGGCTTTGGGTACGTCTTTTTCTTCTTGTCCTTACTTATCATGAATACATTGCTAATACAGACAAAAGGATTCTGTATCTTGGAAAGGTAGCTCGAACACTGCTGGGAGAATCGAATACTCTGGACCCGCTCATCGGACACATGGCATATGTTTTCGGTCTCCTCTTATCCCTGCTCATGTGGTCGTTCGGACTGATTTGGCTGGTCTTCGCACTCGCTACAATCTACTATAGCTCGCCTTTTCCATTTAATATGGGTTGGTGGGGATTCACCTTTCCGTTGGGTGTGTATGCGGCGAACACGATCCTACTGGGAACGGAGACGAATCTCATGTTTTTCAAAATTTCTGGCACGGTATTTTGTCCTTCCATTGTCATTCAGATCCATGCTAATGTCTATAGATATTAAGTGCGGCTGTGGGACTCCTATGGGTTGTGGTAGGATGCAGAACGGCAGCGGGTGCGTGTCAGGGGACTCTATTCCATGCACCGTGCTTGCAAAATTTGAAGTCCAAGTCAGAGGACGATGTGGCGGGCCAGGGCCCTTGATTTACACCTTTGTGTCGGTAGAGGATAGACTAGAGAAACACACTTAGATTCCAGGTACCTGACATTCTGAAAGAATCTTGGAGTAATAAAATGAGCCCGCCCTCCCCCCTTACCACCTTTAGTTCTTCCAACAAGCAACTGACATAGCCTTCACAACGGGCGAAAAACTTCCAGTCCCCCGCATTATCTGTGAATTGGGATCGCCCTCGCAAAGGTTGGTCCTGGAATAGCTTAGTCTCATTGCTCTGTAGTCTATCAAGCGGAGGTACTTACGGCCAGCTGTAGCAGTAGAAGCTGGACGATCGTACTTCGTATCCTCTAGCTTTTCTGGGGATATTTAGATGACATTCTCTCTCTACGTAGAGAGGCCATACTCACCCTGTCCGGCTGTTGCCCTGGTGAAAGCAATATCCGTCGCCGATGTTCTGGGTCCAGTCCGGAGCCTCGATCAGGTCGAGTTTAACCTGCTCCTCGTGGTTAGCAGCTGACAGAAAAGAGAAATGGAGGTAGCTTTACAGTGACACTATCTCTGACTGGGCGAATAGCTCCAAAGCTGAAGAGCATGAGCAGGATTTTCGTCACATGCATGATGGTTGATAACAGTTTACAGATGATGTCCAGAATCATGTTCCGTGCGAGCTTGAGAAAATGGGATTTGAGTGAAATCAAGATATATGAAACAGCTCCCTGAGCCTTTGAACCATGGTTGAGTTGACGCTTGGATGATTCGTCTGACTTGCATATGATATAAAGACGGAAGCCTGTTCCCGCCTTGCGGTTCAAATTTTCCATGGTCGTCAACTCACCGGATAACGGGTTATAAAAGAGAAATGCCAGTGTTCATGTTTCCATTCGCCGGCGCTACTCATGGAAATGTGTAAGATGAGAGGTTTGGTGCTTTGACAACTTGAATCAAGGAGCTTATAAGCTTTGCCAAACGAACCCTATTCAAGTAAGCCATGAAGTCATGACTTCTCGGAGTATTGATCATCAGGAGAGCCAGCCATGATACAACCAAGCATAGTATCTGCATGGGTTCTCGATTCTGAACGAGCTATCTGTCGAAAAATGTCTATTTGACGAATTATGGCACGTTTGTAGTCCATTGGGCACGGGGAAGAGTGCGTCTGAAACTGTCACTCAAGTAAGTATTATTATTGAGAGGTAACTACTGTAAGTATACTCAGGGCGAATATGGCATTTGCCTATCAAGCTCTGGCTGGTTGGACCCACGCATCTCCCCTGTCTTGTTTACATATTTCCGAATCCCGGACCACGACAAGCACGATCATCCAATCGCCTCATATCTTCCGGCACATAGCCAGGGGATAATCGGGCACACGCGTAACAGGAAGCATTACGTCCTGCAGTGTCGCTTCCACAGCCAATCCAGAGAGTGAGTTTAAGCCATCGGCCTCGTATCGACGCCTCGCCCCGTCCTGTGTCCATCATGATCTTCTCTGAATACGGACTGGACAGGGACATTGGAGCCGATTGGAATTGGTGTTGTTTTCATGTTTATCACATTACTCCATCACATGATGTGTACGAGGGTCGAAGGCCATGCGGCTGATGGCGTCGTTGTTGGCATTCTTATCTTCACTGAGAGCGCTGGTGTTTCCTTGTACCCGCCATCGTGGTGATACTCCAAGCATCAGTTATGGTACGTCTCTGTCGAGTTTCATCAAGTTCATATGCTAAGTGTCTTAGGATGCCGGAGAGCATGAGTTTCCCTTCTTAGAGGAGGTTTATTCTCCCGCCGAGCAGCCTAAGATCGAGTCAATGTCTCCCCTTCTGCTTCCGATATCCCGCTGACCTGAATAGCTTTGTGTTTGTTCATGGACTCAACCCTCGCGGTCGGAACGATCACCCCTTTGAAACATGGACGCATCAGAATGGGACCTTCTGGCCCAGAGACCTTCTCCCTCATGACATCCCCCAGGCGCGAGTCTTTGTCTATGGATACAATTCCAACATCGCGAACCCCCAGGCCATGTCCACGGCAAGTGTGAGGGACCATGCGAACACTTTATTGAATTTGCTGGATATGGAGAGGAGCCCGCAGTTGGTACGGGCGATGTTCTTTGGTCCCGGGACAGCGCTGACAGATTTAGAATGCTCGACTCCCCAAAATAATCTTCGTCGGACATAGTTTAGGCGGGTTGGTCATCAAACAGGTTAGTTTGGACTTTACTTGCACCAAGATGAGAGATTAAGAAGATTGAACAGGCCCTACTCAACGCCCAAGAAGACCCCAAGTACACATCCATTCGAACCGGCACCTCCGGCCTCGTCTTCTTCGGCTGCCCTCATCATGGCACCAAGGGCGTCGAACTGGGTAAGATCGCAGCCAAGGTCGCACAGTTCGTCTCCAAGGGCCATGCCAGCAATGACCTGTTGGACTGTTTGCAGCATAATTCCCTGTTCACGAGACAGATGAGCGCCCGATTTTCGCACCAGCTAGAGGATTACAAAGTCGTCAGTTTTATCGAGGGAAAGGAGGTCATCCTTGGGGGTGCAGGGCCCGCATCTATCAGTCATGTTTGTCTCCATATATTTTTTCTCTATCCCGATGACAGAGACTGACAAGTGCCAGCTGGTTGTCGATGAAGAGTCTGCCGTACTCGGCCTGCCTGGGCAGCGAGAGACTCGGCTGAAGCTTGACGCAGATCACTCGCAGATGTGCAAAGTCGGAACACGCGGGCCCATGTACAAACTCATCAAAGGAAACATCAAACAAATTGCCGATCAGGTCCTCGTCGCCGAGCAGGGATACATTCCCCAACCGTCGAGAGCGGAGCGTCGACCTCCCCCGGTTCCACCGCGAATGCATTTCAACAGCAGTGCGCCTTATCCACCCAGTCGTTCGCCTGCTTCGGCCCAACGAGTCGTAGGTACGCTTTTTGCGCCCCTAGACAATGATCCTCGGTCGGTGCAGGCCGCCGAGCATAAGAACAATTGGCAGTGGGATAAGGCACGCGATCTTGAGTATGCTGTGTTTCAGGACCATCTGCGTACGCTGGGTCCAGATCATCACAGCACACTTCAGGTTGGATACAACCTGGCGGAGATTGATCTACGGTCTGAGTATCTGAGCAAGGCGGCTGAATGGTGCGAGTGGGTGTCGAACAATACTGCGCGCATATTCGACAGGCGACATCCGCTCACGATGAAGGCCGAAAGTCTCATGGGCGAGATTCTCTGCCATCAGGGCAAGAACCAAGAAGGAGAGTCTGTCTGTGCTAACGTCCTGGCTAAGCAACAAATGACCATCGGCGAGGACGACCTCGACACCCTGGAGACCCGTCGTCGGCTTGCAGTCGCCTACGCCTGTCTCGGTCGCAAATCAGAGGGTGTGTCCGCGGCTGAAAAACGAACGGCCAGTCTGCAGAGTCTTCTAGGCGAGAATCATATCCAGGTCTTTGCGTCAGTGCTCTGCATGGCCGAGCTGGTCGTCTCGAACCACACACAGAGCGACACGGAGAGACTCACGGCTCGATTCAACCCGCAGACGCAGGAGACAGTCAAAGGCATCGCAAAAATATCTCGCGAGATAAATGACATTCTCGGGCCTCGCCACCCCTTGACGATCTGGGGACTGCGGGTTCTTGGGGCCAGCCAGATGAACGCGAGCAGCAGCATCACCGAACCGTCAGAAACCCTCCGCCGCGCCCTGGCCAGCGCGGAGGAATATCTTGGACATGACCACCCCGAGACGCTCAATATTGTCGCGCACATGGGAACTATGTATGCGATGCAAGGTGGGTTCGGTATGGGTTCGTACCGCTCCAATGGCAGCAACGCCGATATGGCGGCACCCTGGCTCCGGCGATATCTCGACTGGGCCGAGCGCCGCCTTGGTCCGAGCAATCCTGATGTACACGCGACTCTCAGCCTGTTGGGGAACATGTACTTCTCCAGCCAGCGGTATGTTGACGCGCAACAGTATTTTGATAGACTAGTTAGCGTGTGTGAGCAAACGAACACTGAGCTGCCGCAGGATGTCCTCAACTCGATCCAGTTGTGCCAATTGAACATGCAGATTTTAGCACCCAAGAGAGGTTCAGGACTGGAGGGATTGTTGAAGTCATTTCAACGATGAGAAACGGATATTCATTGTCGGATTGTGCAGAGTTTTCATTATATTATGCTATCTGAGTTATAAACCATTATACTCCTATTTGCGCAGCGAACTAATTGGAAAACTTCTCTGGTACTTTCTTTCTGCGCCGTCGGGTTAGCCTCGTTTTTCTTCATGGCACGGGCTATACTAGCATCATACCCTGTAGCACCCTCGAATCTCTCGCGTGCAGTATCTGTGATCTTCTCGTTGGTATCGCGCATCTTATCAGGATCGATCTTTCCGCCACCAAATTTTCTCTCGGCAGAATCCAGAGCTACACTCGTTAGTATTGTATGTCATTTTGATCAAGAGGCAGAAAGACCCACCCTTATCAAGATGGTCCTCTTGGTTGTTGCTACCACTGCCGCCAGACTCGCCACTGCCGCCAGACTCGCCACTGCCGCCAGACTCGTCCTTGTGTTTGCCGGTGAGTTTGGAGGCTATTCCGGAAAGTTTGTCCATGTTTGCAGTGAAGGGATAGTCAGATATTGCAGTATAGAGATAGTACTTCAGTGGGACTAGAGGGACAAACAATGTGATATAAATATGATCAGAGTCATGGTGTAAGTTGTACAGATTGAGTTCAGGTGTTCGTATTTGACGAAGTCGATGATCTCAGAGACTCAGACCCCTTATCTTGTTCCTTCTTTCTCTGCTAAAGATCTATTAGGTCCAGGAGCGTTAGGGGGAAAATAGATCGACCACGTAGACCTCCTTGTATATAAGATGTTTCTACGGCTTGATTATCACCAATTTGATCTATTGTGCTCTTCTGAACAAATGCACTCCATGATTGTATAGAATGTGGTGATGTCATAGACTTCCTCTCGAGATGGACACCTGAGGCCAATACTCGGAACACGGCATTAACAAACAATGTGTTTCCCATACGTTGAAGAGTGAACAGACTCGATGGACACGCGCGATACAACGATATACTAGCTTTAGCTACCTTATATATAAACAAAGCATTTGATCACCACAGTTCCTGACGCCCTCCGGTTCCACTACTGTGGACGTTTGCCTATCTGGTAATTGAAAAACGGGAAAATTAAGATCCCTTCTCTAAAGTCAGTAACTCGGTCATTGCCTTAGCAACTATTTGCTACGTCCAAGGATGGGTTCCATGTTCAAGAATCTGAACGCTCGCTAGTCACAATTCATACCAGATTTTCCGACTCACCGCTGGCTGATCCTTTAGGATTTCACGAATAGTCTGAAATCCACAGGAGCGTTTATTAGGCGATTCTAGAGACCAAGCTTTGAGCAGTACCAACAATGGGATTTTGATGCTACGGCCGAATAACCCACATTCGGCCGCTAGCCTACCAGATATAAGCCTCGTTCAGTGCAACTCCTAAGTACCCCGTACAGCCTCGGCGAGAGGCTAGGTATGGAATTAAAAATATCATGATGTCATGACATTTTGGCAGCGCCACACCGGATCGCCGCGGAGAACCAAACTTCATCGCCCAGGGTTCACGGCGCCTTCTAGGGTGCTAGGTAGAAGGGTGATTAGAGCCAGGGTTGACATAGACAAGCGGCCTCCGCGGGAAGCGAACGGTTCCTCAGCCACCATCTTATTTGTTGGCTGGCTCGTTCGTTCGTTGGTCCAGCTAGGCGACAAGATATTACGGTCTGGAAATTGGACCTTGGTGGATCCACAATCGGGTCTGGCGGAATTCTAAGTTCCTCTGGATAGGATTGTTTCCGGAGAAAAATGAACAATGATGTTGTGCTCGTATTCCAACCTCCTGGGCTGAAAAGCATAAGATATACACCATTGATGATGCATAATTGAGACTCACTGATGCATAACTGACTCAGCGTTACTTGTGCATGCATTCTAGCCTAAGAATGGGCCAAAAAAGGGCCAAGGAATGAAGTGTGTCGAGGATCCACCGGCCAAACTTCTAATTTGGGGGCCTTGGGGCCGGAACCTGAGCCTGTGAATTGTCAGACTCGAGAGATTTCAGCTGCAGCCACCCTGTCTGACCATGACAATAATAAACGAAGCAAATGCAAGGGGGGCACAGATGGCTGCCTAGACACTACGGAGTGGTTAGCCCTAATATCCCCCTCTCATTCTCTGTCAAACTCAGCCACTCCCTTGTTCCACGGATGTCAAATCTCCAATACGACTACGAATGTACGAGAGCGAACTGCCTCTTTTCTCCATTAGACTTCTCGAAATAATGCTGCCTGGCTAGCCCTATGCCACTGCCGAACTCCGACTCCGTCCATGATTGGGGTTCTTCACTCTCTCGCTCTCCACCGGGCTGTGACTCCACGTTCCCCTTCCTTCCGGTTGGTCCACGCGATCCGACACTATTGACCGTTAGTCTGGCGAGGCTCATGATGTCCAAGCCTTGGACCGTCTTGGGCTGAGTTCTAATGACAAAATAAAAAGAAAACCCAAAAACAAAATATTACATATAGTCACGATGCCTAAAAGGGGGTATTCGTCCCTTGTCTCCTTGTCCGTAACACCCACCTCCCGCCATTATGAAGATCCCCCTTCTCACCCTGGCGGCTGGCCTGGCCGACGCCGCCTCTATCTCGCTCATACCGCGTGCCTTTGCGAATGCCCCTGATGGCTACGCCCCCGATAACGTTACGTGTCCGTCTACCCGGCCGAGTATTCGGCCCGCCGGCGAATTATCTGCCAACGAGACCGACTGGCTGAAGATTCGTCGTGAAGAAACGCTCAAGCCCATGAAAGATCTGCTGGGTCGCCTGAACATCACCTCGTTCGACGCCAAATCCTACATCGACAGTCATGCGAAGAACATCTCCAACATCCCCAACATCGGTATCGCCGTCTCCGGTGGTGGATATCGTGCCCTGACCAATGGTGCCGGCGCTATCAAAGCCTTCGATAGTCGCACGAACAATGCCACGGCAGAAGGCCAGCTGGGAGGGCTGCTGCAGTCGGCCACCTACGTTTCTGGTCTGAGTGGTGGCTCGTGGTTGCTGGGGTCGATTGTCATCAACAACTTCACCACGGTCAGCGCGCTGCAGTCGGACGAGCGCGTTTGGGATTTCTCCAAGAACATCTTCGAGGGTCCCAATTCCAAGGGACTCCAGATTTTGAGCACCGCGAGCTACTGGAAAGACCTGTTCAAGGCCGTTGACAAGAAGCAAGATGCCGGCTACAACACCTCGCTGACGGACTACTGGGGTCGTGCTCTATCCTACCAGTTCATCAACTCTTCTTCCAATGACGGCGGCATCGATTACACTTGGTCCTCTATCGCTCTGACGGACACCTTCAAGAAGGGCCAGATGCCCATGCCCATCGTGGTCGCCGACGGCCGGAACCCCGGCGAGCTCGTTGTCGGCAGCAATTCGACCGTGTACGAGTTCAACCCCTGGGAATTCGGCACCTTCGATCCCTCCATCTATGGGTTCGCGCCGCTGGAATTTCTCGGATCGCGCTTCGAGAACGGCGAGCTGCCAAAGGACGAGAAATGTGTGCGCGGATTCGACAACGCCGGCTTCGTTATGGGAACCTCCTCGTCTCTCTTCAACCAGGGCCTCCTGCGACTTAACAACACCGATGTCCCCGACTTTGTGAAGGAGACGGTCATGAAGATCCTTAAGAAGCTCGACAAGAGCGACGAGGATATCGCCGTTTACTCGCCCAACCCATTCTATCGTTACCGCAACGCCACCCATGCCTACTCGAAGACCCGCGACCTTGACGTCGTCGACGGCGGCGAGGACGGACAGAACGTTCCCCTGCACCCCTTGATCCAGCCCAGCCGTCATGTGGACGTCATCTTCGCTGTCGACTCGTCCGCCGATACCAACAGCTGGCCCGACGGATCGTCGCTGGTACACACCTACGAGCGTAGCTTGAACAGCACTGGTATCGGCAATGGCACCGTCTTCCCCGCGGTTCCCGACAAGAATACCTTCATCAACCTCGGCTTGAACAAGCGCCCGACCTTCTTCGGCTGCGACTCTAAGAACATGACTGGTCCTGCCCCCTTGGTCGTCTACCTGCCCAACTCCCCTTACAACTACGCCTCCAATGCCTCCACCTACAAGATGGAGTACAGCGACGAAGAGCGCGACAACATCATCCTGAACGGCTACAATGTCGTCACTCGCGGTAACTCCAGCGTTGACGCCGAATGGCCCTCGTGCGTGGGCTGTGCCATTCTCTCTCGCTCCGCCGAGCGCACCGACACCAAGTTGCCCGAGATCTGCAACACCTGCTTCAAGAACTACTGCTGGAACGGTACCGTCGATAGCTCGACTCCTGCCGACTACAAGCCCGAGTTGCAGATCGAGTCCTCCGAGTCTGCGGCCACTCGCGAGCAGATGAACCGCACCGCCGCGGTGATTGCCCTGGCAATGCTGTTCTTTATGACTATGTAGGGAATGTTCTTGGATGATTGGTTGGCTGGCTGGCCTCTTTATTTTCTTTGCTGTACTTCGATTTACTATTTCTTTTTTACATAGACATGACTTTCTTTTGGTGTACATATAGTAACTTATCTTAACTACCTTTGTTTCTCACCTTATCAGTTGCGAGGAGAGTTGATGCATCTTTGTAACGGTCCATAGTACAGAAGCCCGATTTTATGTACAACGGATGTCTCTTCGCTAAATAATACCGAGATTACCTGAACTATGAATATCGACGAAGTCTGGTTCCTTTCGGCTGATCTGCAAGGCCTGTCTTGCTCCATAATTACTCCTTGGGGAAGGGATAGGCTGCCGCTGGGTCTCTGGCCGTTATTCGATGCTCCTGGCTTTGCACCAATAGCGAAAAAATCGAAAACGAAAGCGATTTGAAAAATAAAAAAGAAATAAAACAAACAGAGCTTGGATTACATGATCTTTAGGAATCCCTTTCGGTGACGGGTAAATCAGCTGTCAAATCTCCATGTAGCAAATATATTCCGACCGGGCGCACAACATGAGAGCAAAGACAAGTTTCACAGACCTCCGCTCTAGTTACTAAAGAAAGTCAAATCAAACTCAAATAAATCAACAATAAAATCGAGAAGAAAAAAAAAGAAAAAAGGGCCGCGGGAATGCCCCCCGAAACAACCGTGTTTTGTTTACGCAACAGGCGTGCTAATCTGACTGATTCCCTCTGTGACCGTTCGCTAGATTCCTGATTAATCTCTTCTTTCTAGGTTGTTATTCTGCTTGGACATTCCCTGGAAAGGAGATGGACGTGTCATATAGACCTGAAAAACCGCCACGGCGTTGTCTTGATCGCTTGTCTATTTTAACGCCGAGTTGGCCCTTAGATATGTCCTATTCTGAGTCTTCGAAGAGTGCAAGATTTATACACCAAAAATTAAACATAGAACGCAGTCGACGTGAATAAAAATAGGCTCGTCTGTCCGCCAATCAATGTATTTGTTTAGAAGCCAAGCTTTCAAGGATGCTTGGAAGATGACCGGATTACGGTCCGGAGGATCCGACCTGAGCCACGGAGTATATTGGTTGGAGTGAACTTGTCAGGAGTCCAGCGCCTGCCAAATGCTTCCTTGGGGGTCGGCCAGGATTTCCCCGGCGACTCTCGCTGAGATGCACCTAGGTAGGTAGGAGGCACTGTGCCACTGAGGCACCGTCCCGTCGGTCTCCGATTAATTAACCACCACTTCGATCTGTGCAGGAAATGCCGGACATGTGGGTTATGAAGTCTTATGCAGTAAAACTCTTCACAAGGCCTCGACGTGGACACGGGAAATCGGCAGCAGTGCGCATACGCTTTACCTCCTTACCTGCCGTGATGCATCAATTATGCCCTAGAGGTCGTCACACCGACCGATCGTCGCACTGATGCCATATACCGACTGGATATGACGACTTAGTACGCGGGGTAATGCCAGAGATGTTGATCATGACCCACTCGGCCCAAATGGCTTATGTTCTAGCGAGCTGGCATTGGCGTATGGTGTAGTTCCGGTGCAGCTCTCTCCATGGAGGGGTATAAGTAGCCGACGAAAACGAGAAACCGCGTTGAAGATCGCACACTCGCAACAACAGTTCTTTGTCTTGCCATAACCTGGCAAGTGGCTTGTCACTATGGTCGATTCTCTACATGATCTAGTTCCGGGAGGATGGCGCGCTGCAGTGATGGTGCCCGGACTGGCCATCGCGCTGGTAAGACCATGTTCAATATCCTTGGATAAATTCTGCTGACCAAGAGTTCTGACTAGGGGGTCTTCTACCTGGGCGCACTGACAATTTATAACATCTATTTTCATCCTCTTGCACGATTCCCGGGCCCCAAGCGCTTTGCTGCATCTCGTATCCCATACCTGCGAGCCGTCGTAGACGGTCGATTAGCCCAAATGCTCAAGGCCCTGCACGATGAGTACGGCGAGGTGGTTCGCATAGCGCCCGACGAGCTGGCTTTCACCAACGGTGATGCCTGGAAGGCCATCTACGGTACCCGGATTGGACACGGGCAGAAGCAAAAGGACATGCGAGTCTTCCCGCCTCCTCCGAACGGTCTTCCGACCATCATTCAGTCCAACGATGTGGATCATTCTCGTTTCCGGAGACTTCTGTCGCATGCGTTCTCCGAGGCCTCGCTGCGCGGACAAGAGCCCATCATTAAGGGATACATTGATCTGCTGATCCAGCGACTCCATGAGCAAGCCAGTGGCGGTAAACCGGTTGATATGGTGCCGTGGTATAACTTTACCACGTTCGATATCATCGGTGACCTGACCTTCGGAAAGCCATTCGGCTGTCTACAGAATTCGAAGTATCATCAGTGGGTCTCTGCTGTCGTCGACCACGTCAAGTACGGAGCTTATGCGAATGTGTTTCGGCGATTCCCCTCGCTCAAGGTGTTACTCCAAATGTTTATCCCAAAGAAGGTCGCTGAGGGTAGGGAGTGGCATCTGGCCACCACCAAGAAGAAAGTGGAGGATCGACTGGAGAGCTCAAATGAAAGGCCCGACTTCTTTAGTCACATTTTGAAGCACCACAACACCGAGAAGGGTATGAGCTTCGGCGAACTGCAGTCAAACGCCAGTACTCTCGTCGTGGCTGGGTCAGAGACCACTGCGACATTGCTTTCGGGGGCTACCTATTACCTTCTGAAGACACCCCGGGTGCTGGGCAAATTGCAGGATGAAGTCCGCAGCGCGTTCAATTCCGACAGCCAGATCACACTGGCGTCTTGCAACAGGCTAAGCTATCTTAATGCCGTGATAAACGAGGCTCTGCGCATGTATCCTCCAGTCTCGGTCGGATTGCCACGGATTGTAGACGCGCAGGGCGACACGATCGCCGGGACGTGGGTGCCGCCAGGGGTGAGTGTTGTATATCGATGACGATCCATTTTCACAGCTGACACGAACAAAGACAATTGTCTCTGTCTCACAAATGGCCGCGTATCATTCTGCTTCCAACTTTACCGACCCTGGAAGCTTCATTCCGGAGCGATTTCTCGACGATCCTCGATTTGAGAATGATAGCAAAACGGTCCTTCAGCCGTTTAGTTTTGGGCCTCGGAACTGTATCGGACGCAAGTATGTTTGATTCTATGATATTGTTTGTCCTGGAGATCTGTTGCTAATGTTGCGGTAGTTTGGCGTACGTTGAAATGCGTAGCATCCTTGCTCGTGTGATATTCAACTTTGACATGCAGCTGCATGACCCCGGTGTGGCCTGGGAAAACCAGGCGAACTTTATTCTTTGGAGCAAGCCAGCCCTTCATGTCATTCTTAGGTCAAGAGTTCCACGAGAATAAGGGCCAGCGAATTTGGTGGAAAGGTGACAAAAAATGAAAATAGGTACCGTGAATGTCTATTCTACTCATTTCGGGTCCCACCAATATTATGCCTAATACAAGGTACACGTTGATACGAATATGAGTTTGACCAGGTCTCTCGCGAGGGAATTCATCTTTGCTCAGGGATAGTAAATGAGCATGGAGAAGGATAATGTGATATTCTATTGCGTGCAGACATAACAATGCGATTTCTACCTTTATTGACTTTCAAAGATGAAATTAAAATTTATTCAATATGTTCTATGTCCAAAGCAGAAAGACAATCGTCTCACGACGGATCTTCAACATTTATGCTATTTGGGGTGTATTGACGTCAATCCTAATTGATGAATGATCATACTCTGACAGCTCTGTGCGTAGAGGAGTAATTGAATCCTGTGACACGGCGAACACAAAAGACTCAAGTAGCGTTTTCGAATTATTCCTCTTACACATGTCCTCTATGATGAGGTATGGTTCTCGCCAGTCTAGAGATGAGACCTAGGCATAGAGTCGCTTCCCCGCCAGGTCTTGCAAAGTCCTCGCTCTGAGCTCCCAAGCACAGAATCGTACCTCGGCTTAGGAACAGACCACACCCTTTCGAAATCACCCCCAGTGGCGACAAAGTCCCAATCACCTCCACTAGCTTCGATCCCGTGCCCAGTTCCTGGTGACAATAGAGCAAACTCGGCCTCGGGTTTGGTGTTGTGCGTCTTGTGTGCCACGCCGGCTGGGATGATGAACACGTCACCAGCCTCGGCTTCTAGCAGGACACCACCTTTCTCCCAAACCTGTTCTAGAAAGACCCATGTGTGTTCTCGTTGAGGTCGGGCGACGTGTCACCGACACCGAATCGGATGGTCGCGGTGCTGGAAAGAACGGCCATGCACTCGTGTGCCTTGGAATGGTGGTGCGAAACTTGAGCGTGGCTGTAGCGGAAGATTCAGTGCACGTTCCATTCATTCTTGGTTAACATGTCCCAGACCTCGCCTGGGTCGCAGTGCGAGCTATCGGGCCTCTTGGCTAGAACATTCTTGTAGTGCAGAAGAGGTCAGGGCGAGTTCGGGATGAGATCCGTGGGCGAAAGATGGTATAGTCTTACTTCAAGAACCACGTTGAACTTTTCCTGAGATTGAAAAGGATTATGTGACTGGGCTAGAGACAGATTTGACGTTGTCGAAATGTAAAACAGTCGGTGACCGATTGATGCTGCCTTTTCATATACGTCTTATCAGGATCGGCATCGAAGACCGTCAACCGATCCGAGACGGATTCCTTAGCCGAGTAGTGCGGGGATTTGTGCTTATGGACAAGTTAGAGTGGCTAACACTCTGGCATAACGAAGTTCACACAGTGGAAAGCTGCGAAGTTGATAGGGAGACTTTTCACAGATTTTCTCTCTCTCAGAAAACGGCAAAGTGATTTCATGGTGCTGAGGGAACCCGACTCCGACGAGTACCTTTATAAGAATGTAGGCAAACTGATTACTGCGCTCGAAAAATGAGGCAGCAATTAGGTAGATTTCCTAATGTGTATCAAAGGCTACATAGTGTTGATTATACATACTACGCTGCACCCAAGATACGTTCTTACGGAAACCTGTATGCGCAATGAGAGGGAACCCATGGAATTGATAATCCGTTTACATAGAAGGAGTAAAAAGAGCAATCTTTGCAATTCTAAAAAGTCTAAGATAAGAACATACTTTCAAACCGTTCCGCAGCCGCCATGGTGGCCGTTGTAAAGGCCGAGCGAACTCCCAGTTTTTCCAGCTCCAGCAGCGCCCTGATAGAAGCGCCACCCAGGGAAGCAATCTTCTCTCGCAGAACACTCCGGTGTTCTCCCGAAGGTACTAGCTTCATCATTTCAATCGCATTGTTGACCACCAGGTCTCGCACCTCTAGTCATCTAACGCCCTCTGCGACAGCGACATCTAATAATCCGTCAATGGCAAGCAACAGCAAGGAACCGGCGCACTCAACCAGAACTGCATATCAGACGAGCTCTCAGAAATCTGGTGGACTTCGCCAACGTGGTTGAAGATCCACGATGCTATTTTGACATTTTCCGGCCTGGTCCCAGCAGTAGTTGGCATCAGAGTCGCGGCCTCTGTTATTTTGTCAGCCATGTTTGTTGCGCGCACTGCCTGGAGCCGGGATTTATTTTTCGGGGTGCAAGCGTCGCCAAATGGTGGAGATCTCGGCCATGATACTCACTCCTAGTTTGCCTTGCAGCCCTTCTTTGAATCCCGGTACATCAAAGATCGCTTTTCGCATGATGAGCCATGCGACAGACGGTCTATGTTCACTTCTTCTTTCTGTTGCCTGTTACCGTTCTGACCATCTAGTATAAAGTGAAACATATGTTGAGAAAACATCACGCATTGGTCACTGATTCCTAACAGAACATATTGCCCATAGACATATTAGGCTTATATCATGAAGCAGAGCTTCATGAGCTTCCATCATAAAATTTGGGATATTTCTCACTCATTCGACCGACGGCTATACAAAATGCCAGAGATCACGTGCCTCTCGGCAGACATTCCGCACTCGGCAATCCCCGGTCTTCCTTTACCTTCTTCATCCTCTTCCTCTTTGTGCGACAACAACAAGAAGAAGGTATATCCACCCTGCTGCTAGTAACTGGCCAAGAGTTGGTAATTCTTGTCGAGAGTATCCGATCTGCCATGGCCTCTGCACTCGCCAATGACCCCGAGCGCGTCGCCAAGACCTTTCTGTCGCGACACTCGCTGGCGCTCGTCTCTTGCACCACCCTGCAGAGGCTGTGGGCAGGATATGGTCAAATATGTGCCATCACCGCGCGAGCCACCACCGATCAAGCGGCGGTTCGTCTCGACAAGCTATGCGGACTGAAATCCGGGGGAACTACCGGGACTGTATATCCGCTTATCCTGAAGCTCATCTCACCCCCGACCAAAAGTGGCGGTCATGAGGATGAGGGCCACCTGCGAAAAATCCTCAGTTACGAGGTGGAGCAGCATTTCTACAGTGAAGTTGCTCCGCACCTGGGCGATAAGGCTGCCGTTGCTCAGTGCCTCGTTTCGACGCGGGATGTGCATGACGAGGAACTGGGCGGGCTGATGGCCACGATCATGGCGGATCTGCGCCCCAGGTTCTCCGTTGCCGGCGAGAAGAGAAGCGTGTTGAGTCGCACGCAGGTGCACGGGGCGCTGGAGTGGTTGGCTGGGTTTCATGGCCGTTCATGGAGCCTACTTCCCAAGGACCTTGACCAATTGGTCCTACCACCGCTTGAAGAATCTAGGAGACGGCAAACAGCCAGTAAGCAGGGTGGTCGCGGACTGTGGCTGAATGGAGGTTACACGTATCTTGCGACCCGACGGAAAGAGTATTCGTCTCTCGTTGAAGATACCGATTCGGAGTGGTCGGACGCCCTGTGTACCACCCCAGAAGGCTCGTCACTGTCTATCGCCGAGATGGTTGCGCTCTTCTTGACCCCGTGTGGCAGATCGACCGAGTCGTACATCCATGGCGATGTCAAGTCGGAGAACCTTTTCACGACCACGGACGGAGAGAAAGTGGCGTTCTTTGATTTTCAATACGTTGGCCTAGGCCTGGGCGTCTGCGATCTCGCCAAACTTTTTACGTGCTCGGTACCTCTGCATATGCTGGTGGACGACACAGATTTGCCCGAGGAACTCGAGATACAGGAGGGGGAGCAGGTACTCCTCCAGCGCTATCACTCACGTCTTCTCCAGAACGACAAGGCGCCGCGATACGAATGGGCAACGTTTAAGCGACACTGGGAGACGGCTTTGGTCGACTGGTGTCGATTCCAAGCATCCTGGGGATTCTGGGGGAACACGGAGTGGCTCGAAGCCCGGGTCAGATTCATCCTGAGCGACCAGGAGTGGAGAGACTGGCTGCATGAGAGTATCATGAGTCGGAACTCGGCCAACTAGCTGGATTGCCTCCATAGACTCTAGAGGGACTATACACGAAACAATATAGACATTTATTTAAATTCCTACATAGCAAACCGAAGGCGTGCGAACTTGATCGAAGGCGCCTGGCTATCTGTTAGTACTATAGCAACACTGAGTGACTCGAATAATAGAGCGATCGCATCAGAGGACCAAGAAATATGCCATATGCAAAAGTTCAGATCCAATCCTCATCCTCCCAAACCCTTCGGAATTGCGTGCTGCAGAAAGATCCACCAACAACCGATGGCGCCAGAGCCACTAACGAGGCAAACCCCACCGGAATGAAGGGCCTCGTCGCCGCTTGCATTTCTCATTTCTCCGTCTGATATCACCATCCTATCTCATCTCACCCGTTATGGCTTCCTCGACCGATGCATTTACCGCCATCCCGGTGCTGGACTATACGCTCTCGACTTCGCCCGAAAGCAAGCTGACCTTCCTGGCGGAACTGCGCGATGCCCTCATCAATGTGGGGTTCTTCTATCTCATCAACTCGCCGATTGCCCCCGGGGTGCGAGACGCGCTGGTAGATCAAACGTTCAAGATTTTCGATCTCCCACTTGAGAAAAAACTGGAGATCGAGATGGTGAATAATAAGCATTTCTTGGGGTATTCGCGACTCGGTGCAGAGCTCACGGCGAGGACGCCAGATTATCGCGAACAGTTCGACGTGCGTATGCGTCTGTCGCATTTATGGGTAGAGCGTAGCATTGACAGGAACAGTTTGCAACCGAGTTACCTCCCCCTGGACCAGACGAGCCTTTGTATCGCAACATTCGAGGCCCTAACCAGGTATGCACCCGGCTGCTGCCACGCGACTGCATTTCCCATTAACACTAACGGAACAGTGGCCCGACGAAGCCGCCATCCCTGGATTCCGCCACGCCGTCGAGGCGTACCTGGCGGAGGTGGCCCCGGTAGCGGATGAATTCCAGGTCTTTATCGCAGAGGCGCTGGATCTTCCTCCGACGGCCCTGCACCCGTACTTCGAAACCCCGTCCCAACAGAAGATGAAGCTGATCAAGTATCCGCCTCCGCCGGCCTCGTCGACCGAGCCAGAAACCCAAGGCGTGGGCGCCCACAAGGACTCGGAGTTTCTCACCTTCCTCCTGCAAGCCACACCTCACGCCGGACTAGAGGTCCAGAATAAAGCCGGCGAATGGATCCCCGCGCCGCCGATCGCAGACTCCCTGGTCGTCAATATCGGTCGCGCCCTGGAAGCGTTGACGGGCGGCGTTTGCACTGCCACCACCCACCGCGTCAGTCTAGCGTTCAAGAACTTTGTGAATGCGCAGGGAGAGTCGCTGGGGCCGCGGTTCTCCATTCCGGTGTTCCGGGGCATGGGGTTGAATCTTTCCGCCGATAATGTCTCGTTGACGATCCCCGAGCACGTCAAGGCGTTGATCAAAGACGAGAAGGTTCGGTCCGATGCGGAAGCCACCTTCAATACGATGTTTCGGGGGAGGTTTGGCGAGGGGACCTTTATTCATCGGATCATGAGCCATCAGGATGTCGGGAGGAAATGGTATCCCGAGGTGTTGGCGAAGGCATTGGGCGAGTACGAGAAGTAGGAGGTAGTACGGAATACTGCGTAGTCTAGTCCAGAAACCAGATGGGTACCAGAAGAGGAAGGCCTACTCCGTATGGAACGGACTAATTTCTATACAGATTGCATTAAGATAGCGATCTTCATGAACCAATTTCTTCTCGCCTGTCAGTGCCCTTGGCAGGGTCGCGGTCCCTGAAACGCCGGCGGCACCTTGGGGAGCTCTGCACTCCTCTTCCCTGCATACCTCTCATCTAAAAGACTTGGCTGGAGGGAAATACTCCGTCTGCAGAAGATTCTCCGGGATAAGCGAGTCTTGGGGAATACTGAGCACGCGTTGAGTCTATGGTATCTGAGCAGCTATTTAATCCGAAGGATCTCACTCAGGAGTCGAGTGTAGAGTAGAGCAGTCCATATCCTACGTAGTCATCCCACGCATCCCAGCTCCTTCACAATGCGGTATCTCCTCTATAGTCTCCTCCTGGTGGCCCCGAGCCTCGCCGCAGACCTGTATGTCTCGACGTCCGGGTCCGACGACGCATCGGGCGACATCGACTCGCCGCTGCAGTCGATTCAGGCCGCCGTCGACGCAGCCACCGCGGGGACCACCATCTACCTGCGCAAGGGCACCTATTCGCCTTCGAGTAATATTCAGATCAAAAAGAGTGGTTCTTCAGGAGCGGCGTACGTCGTTCGCGCCTACGAGGGCGAGAAGGTCGTTATCGACGGTGAAGACCTGCCGGGGTTAGTGTCCAGCTTCTATAGCGGTTCTAAATTTGAAAGTCGTTCTAACACTGTCATTTATCTTTGATAGCACACCGGCTGAGGTCGGCGGCTCGCTGGCCAACAAGGATCGAGGCATCTTTCATATCCAGGACGCCGAGTACTGGGAGTTTTACGACCTCGAGTTCATCAACGGGCCGTACGGCGTGTATGCCAGGGACGCCTCGAACAACCACTACGAGCGGATAATCACGCGCGAGAACTACGAGACTGGTATGTCCCGTTCGGGGCGATGGGAGGGTAACTGTTGACACTTCCTAGGTTTCCAACTCGAGGGTGCATCCGCCAACAACACGGTGCTGTACCTCGATTCGTACGGTAATCGGGATCCTCGCAAGAACGGCGAGAGTGCCGACGGGTTCGCCTGCAAGGAGGGCGAGGGAGAGGGCAACGTACTGCGAGGTGCCCGACTCTGGAACAACGTTGACGATGGACTGGACCTCTGGTATGTCATGCGTCGATTCCTCCTCCAGCCGACCGCTGTGAATTATACTGGACTGGGCTGATCTTGTCAGGGAGTTCAAATCCGGCGTGACCATCGAAAACACCCTGTCTTGGGGCAATGGGTATAACAGGTAAGACATGCGTCCGACCCTGCTTGCTGCGAGCTGCACAGTCCGTACAGGGTGAGACATAATCCCATAAATAGCATATAACTAACGCGACGCTCTCCATGATAGATGGGGTTTCGAGCCTTTCGAAGGTGACGGCAACGGCTTCAAACTGGGTGGCGGCGACGAAAAAAGACCGGCTAATCACGTTCTCACCAACTGCATTGCCTTTGGAAACTCGCATGACGGATTCACCGACAATTCGCAGCCCGGCGACTTCACTCTAAAGCGCAACACGGCCTGGAACAACGCTGCTATAGGCTTCCGGTCCCAGACAGCCGTATCCACGTTGACGGGCAACATTGCGGCAGCCAACGGCGAAAAGCCGACCTCTTTAAGTGACAAACAGGTTTCCGAAGGGAATTCATGGGACGGCAGTGGCAGCTGGAGCAACAGTAGCTTTGTCAGTATCGACGTGAGTCTGGTGCAGGGGGATCGTAAAGCCGACGGAAGTATCGAGGCCAGCGATTTCTTGTTGCCAAAGTCGGGAGATGCCCTTGGGGCCACGACGGATTGGTCTGCTTGATTTTATTTTATTTATTTTTTATTTTTTATTCTTGGATCTCAACTTGACCTTGGCCTCATGCTTGCTGATTGACGGAGGAATTCATGGTGAATAACAAGGGCTAGGTTAGGGTTGTTGATGACGACGACCTCGCAAGAGGGGGAGGGGGGGAATAAGCGTTAAGTCCGTGATGACAGACAGCTCAGACAGCATAATACCAACATATTTCTGCCTGAATAGCCCTGAATGGACTCCAACTCCAAGCCAGGCTTGCGCAATGCCCTAATGCAATGATGTAATGGGGTCGAATGGCACGACGAGCCAGGAAAAAGGCGCGGCGCTTTCGCCCGACCAGCGACAGGGGAGGAGAGGGAAATGCGCCAGCCTAGGGAGTAGACACTAAACGGAGTGCAAGGCCTAGGAAACAGTCAAACAGGCCGCTGGATCCGGCCAGAGGATTGCAGATCCACTCGGCTGTCTCTCGGCCACCGCCGGTCGTTCCATCGTGGCCAATGGAGCCCGCCGATCCAAGACGACGATGCGACTTGGCGACGCAGCGGAGAATCAGCCTTGCCCCGCTTTGCGTTGGTCCTTTTGGCGTTTCCCCGGACAAAGCGCCTATTCTTGGGTGGCTTTGTTCCAGTCTGACGGAGGGCGACGGATGTTTGGAAGGTGGCGGTGGAGTTGCTCTTCTTGCTATAAAAAGCTGCCCTCCCTTCCCTGGGGGCTATTGTTGGAAGCTCCCTTTTTTTTTGCTCTCTCTTCATATATATATATACCCTTTGACTAGAATCTCTTGTCTGATTATACCACCTTATTTATACCAAAAACAAAATGCAGCTTCAGTTCAAGTCTACGGCCCTCCTGGCCGCCGCTCTGGCCACCGTTGCCTACGCCCAGAACTCCGAAGCCACCGATGTGGCCAGTGCCACTGACAATGGCGAGCCCAACTTCAGCTTGCCCTACTTCACCGACTCTGCTACTCCCCCCAGCGGCGGCGGCGTTACCCTGACCGAAGTCTCCGCTCCTCCCTCTGAAACGGCCACCGAGACTGCCACCGAGACTGCCACCCAGTCCGGCGAGACTGCCAGCGTAACTGCCACCGAGACCTCCGTGGCCACCGGCTCGACGGCCGTCAGCACCTCGACCGACGTTGTCTCAACCTCGACCGCCGTCTCGGGTTCACAGACTGGCAGCAGCTCCGCTTCCGGCACGGCCAGCGAGTCTGGCAGCGCGTCGGCCACCAATTCCAACTCGTCCGCCTCTTCTACCGAATCTCCCTCGTCCACCAGCAGCGACGACTCTGCCTCGGGCACTCCCTCGAGCTCTGAATCGGCCTCTGCCTCTCCTTCTGAGACCGACTCGGGCGCAGCTGGTTTCGCCGACAAGAACTGGGCTCCTTGGATGCTCGCCTGGGTTGCTGGTGTTGGTTTGGCGCTGTAAATACGTTAGGTTGTTCTGGTTTTGATGTGAATACTACTCCTACTACTGGTCGCTTTATCATGGTGGCTGTGAAATGATTGATGGACTTAATTGGTAATGGTTGTTTTCTGCTTGGAATGTAACACCGGCCGATGGCCCTTAGCTTGAGCATATGATTTTGCATGAAACAGTCTCTTCATTTGTGTCTTGACCATCTGTCTTCATCTAGTATCATTGAACAGTGAATCAGAAGTAGCATATACTCCGTAATTGAACGGATTATCGGCTCCATTGATCTGCATCCCGTTGAAGTCTTCATATGAACGGCCAGGCGATCGTTCGGCTATTGTGGATTATGAGACCTGAGGACGGCAGTGTAGATCTCACATGGGCCCCAAGGCCGACAAAATGCGTCATGATATTTCGTCCATCGTCAGAAAGACACGACAGGAGATCAGGGATTTCCTAATGTGGTGATATCACACCATGACGGTATAACGCCATTCTCCTCCATTTACTCCGTGGTCTGCATCATGACCTTGGAAAAGCAAAGCCATTCTCTCAGCCTTATTCCAGGCCACCGTGATACAGACAAATCTCAATGGTTCCACTGTCAGCTTGTTGCATGGCTGATGAACTTTAATCGAACCCATCCAGCCGTTCGTCTCTCCTGATGTCCTCTCATATCGCAGTGTCAGACAACTTCAAAGTCAGCTGCAATGCGGAAATTTCTTACGAGCGATCGTCCTGTCCTTTACCTGCCTCGGTAAATCTCCGCTCTGGGGCTGCGAGCCACTGTAATGTTAGGAGGGTCCACGATAGATTAATTCAGGGACCCTTTAATTCCTCTCTCTCCTGAATATATTTGGAGGGAAGGGATTCTTTCGCAGGCCAAAAATATCTTCCCCGTAGGCCCCTACGAAGCCGTTGCGCCGTGGAAATGAATCCCTTGATCGATGCGAACTCCGTAAAACTGGATCCGCCGTCGCAGCGATGGAGCCGTGGAATCCTCGGTTAATCTCCACGTCGATCGGGCTGTTCCAGTCTTCCAGAAGGCCTCTCGCCCCTTGCAGCGTCGCAGAGCATATGAAATCATTCGTCCATCCCGAAGCTACGGAGTACGTCGGAAAAGGCGTTAATGTCATTGTCTATCTTGATTGCGGCCATTTTCACGTATTTCTCGTAACTTCTCAATCTTACAGGCAAGATCCCTGTTCGCGACCGGTCTGATCACATTGTTGCATCGTCACTTGCGACCGTGACGCCAGCCAAGAAAATAGAGTGTCTCAGGATGCTGTGCACAGGGGCTGTTTTTTGAGTCAGGGGACGGTGCCCCAACTCCGTATCGCCACAGGAGGGTCGAGGGTCGCATCCTGGGTGAGTTTGAACTTTGAAGAGTTGGTTATGGCTCGATCGGTCGCATTTTCTTGTCAAATTTTCGGGCCTCTTCACTGATCACCCCCAGGGATCCAATGCTCCTCCTCCGTATGCTCCTGGGAAGAATCGTGGTCGCTGTGGTCTTGCTCAATTATTCCTTTTCACGCCTTTTTTTTTTTTTTTTTTTGGCTAAATTATCATAATTGAAATACTGCCCTACGTCCTACGTAGAGTGATATTCGTAATTATTGCACTTGTATTTAGCAATCGCAGTGTGGAAATATATATTTGGCCCGGCGATGCTTTTCGTGGAGATGGCAGCAAGGGACCTTCTAAGCCACTCGATGTGATAAACGGATCTGTTACTCTGTACTGGGAATTTGACTAACACCAATTCTCATCTTGCGTAGTTCCACCAACAAAATAAACGCAGAGCCGTGGAAAAGATGCCATGATCCCTGGTTGTGCTTTGTGTGTAACCGACACTCCCGGTTGCCCTGGCAGGAATTTGGTCGGAATTTCACACTAGAGCTACCAATGCCGGCCAAACGATAATAATGAGTAGCTCATGGAAAAAGAAATTGCAACAGAAAGTCATCTAGCATACATGGGCTCAATCTCTCTTTCCTAGGATAAACTCGCTCGAAGATCTTTCTGACTCTACGCGGTTGCTGCCTAGAATCAAAGTTTTTTTGGGATTTGTGTTGCAAGCTTCTTCCGTACTGGACAGTTCAAAGCCGGGCTGCAGGAAAGAGCGAAAAACATCCTTCGAAGCATTGAATACTTGGACTAGAAGCCTCACCGACCTTAACAAGATCTATACAGGTCACCTCTAGCTCCGCGTTTGACATGATGGAGATGTTGCATTGAGTGGACTAACACACGAAAGAGGCGGTGCATTTGAGCTCCTGTCAATATGTCATGCATGCAACTGTTATACCCGCTCTCTGGCTACTATTTAGCACTTCGTGATGCTAGCTCAATGTTTATTCCAGATTATCGTACCCACAGTGCAATGCACAATAGGACAGATCCGCCTAAAAGTAGGGGTCTAATTAGTGCGCCGCTAATTTGAGTGAGAGAAAGACATCACAGAGAGATAGACTGATAGAAACAAAATCCCAGAAAAGACGGAATCATGCCATAGAGAAGCATCTTGTTCCCAGCAACATCCGACAGCAGTCTTAAGAGTCATGCCCTGTATCAGTAGGACTCTAGCCCAGGCTGATTCTGCCTTGGAGATTTGGCATTGCAGTAGAGCAGCCGACAGAGTCACGCCCACAACTTGCCTGGTCAACATTTAGCTTCACATCGACTAACCCAATAAGCAGCTGATTCGCGACGGTCAAATAGCAACAGACCCAGAGAACACGATCTTCAAACGGACCCTCGAGTTAGGAGGTCTTCAACTCTTGGCCTCGGATTGATCAAGTCAAGTTGACTGGCCAGCCTTGCCCTAAACGGCCCCCTTCACCACAATAACTCGTATTCCGGTCCCTGAGCCTCAGCCCGTTTGCCCAACCGACCAACGGGATTCCTCCTTTATGCATACCCGCAGATTAAGGCTATGACTCTTCAAGCTGCCCACAGTCTGAGCGTGGCCAAATTGCCCCAGATCATGGTAGCCAGCGCAGCGGCGAAATTGCCTACATAACGAGGCAACTCCCCAAGTCGAAATGTCGGCCCTTCTCGCGCCTGCCGGGATTAACTGTGTTGGGCATACATATTGACACATTTATCATAATTCATAATGGCTCCTCGACGCGGTGGTGGCTCGGGTGGCTATTCGTCCGGGTCTAGCAGCCAATGTTCGGACTATGGTGCCTTTGCAGCAACTATAAGCCGTATCTATATTGCCTTCCATGCCCTGTTCTTCCTCGTGTTTATTGCGGCGTTCTTCGTTACCGTTGCGAAGCATAAGCGCACTAAGAGAATCGCCAAATTACCGTTACTGTGGCTATCTCTATTCTTTTCGATTGTTTTCGCTATTCTGTATGCTTCACCCTGTCCCCTCAAATCATAATTTTGAATCTCGATCGCTAAGTATCTCAACCAGCGCGACCGCCCTCAATATTATCTTCAACACGCTATCGGAATGCGGTATCCTGATAAGATATGAGCTATATCGTGCCAACATCGCCATCGAGTGGCTCGAGACCCTGGCCACTTTTCTAGTCATCGTGGCAATCATGTTCCCCATCTCTCAGAGGCTTCACCAGGGCAACAAAGGCATGGGTGGTTTGGTTCTCATGGTGCACTCGGCTACACTGGGCCTGTTTGCCATCCTTATGATTGTCTCGCTCAGTATTAGCACAAGGGTTATGGATGCGGCGTCTTCTTCCAGAATCCGATACGGCTTGTCCTCTAATATTTCGAAGTTGGCTGCGCATCAGCGCAGAATCTGGGTCGCTTACTATGCGATCGGTGTGATCTGCATGCTTGTGTCCGCTGGGACAATGCTGTTTGCGTTGGTTCGGAACCCGATTTATCGGAGAGGCGTAAGTGCTCTTTCCCTTGTGTTGCTTTTTTTCGCGTTATGATCCGTAAATGAGAAGTACTGACAAGCCTAGTCACTGCGCATTAAAATTATATTTCTCATCTTATCTTCTCTTGCCATGACACTGCTCAGCCTGGCGGCATACGTTCACAACGCGTATGGCACTTATTCCTCCTACGGGTCGATCGGATATCTCCAACGATCGTACGAGGCGCAGCTTTTCTTGAAATACTTTTTCTACACCTGCGCGTTTCTCAGTGCCTTGATGGTGGGCAGCGCAGCAGATCTGTGTGGTAACTATCCGCCGCGGTATGACCGGCCACCACCAGCTCAGCCAATATATCAGGCGCGTGTGAACTAGGCTTTTGTTTGGAACTCTGACGAAGTGGTCATGGTTGCTGAGGAAGGTGAGGTGGCTTTTATTAATGTGATACCCGAGTTTCTGGTCTGTGAGGTCGGTTTTGGTCCTTATATACCCCGTTTTGAATTCAAGTAAATATTGTGTAATGTAATGAAGTTCAGAAGTCGCAAATATGCCAGAGATTCCAAGACAACACAACAAATTAGATGATCCAAAGTAGCAGACATGTTGAAATTGATATCTCGCGACAAATTACCAAACTATGTTACTCTCTCACCATCCCAACCACTTTGGCGCTCACCTTGAACTCATATGTGTCAGGGAATCCTACCCCCATGTCGCGCGTAATGCGCAAGTTCTCAGGTGGCGTGTCATGTAATTCAAGGTCAAATCGTCGCACCAGGTATGCTATCGCCATGTAAAGTTCCGAATATGCCAAGCTGCTTGATTAGCGGGATCATGGGAGACTGAAAGGGAATGCATACTTGATACCGAGACATTGCCTACTGCCTCTGGTGAACGAGGTGATGTAACGTGTGAGGTGTCGGTCAATTTCTCCGTTCGAGATCCATCGCTCTGGCTTGAATTCCTCGGGCTCGGGAAAGACGCTAGTGCTCCGGTGCATGAAGTATGAGGAGGTGCTGACGGGGGTCTAAGAGTCTTGAGTATAGGGCTTCTGGGGCTTGTGGTAAAGGGACATACCCCCGGTGGAATTGAATATTGCCTATACTGGATCACCTCTGTTGGTGCGACACGAGGCAGTCGAATCGTGAGACCAAGCGCGACACGGAGGGATTCATTAACGACGCCTGTCTATCAGAATTCTTAGCCTCTATTGCATTTTCTAGAACTGGGATATATGAAAATGCAGGTCATACCAGGTAAGGTAGCTTCTCCAAATCAGTCCAAGTCGCTTGACTTGTGATTGTTGGAAGCACTGTCTTCAGCTCTGAGCGCAGTCGCTGAACCATCCCCTTCTCGCGATATAAATGATACGCGGCCACTGTTATTGTTCGACTGGTGGTCTCTGTGCCCGCCGCCAGAAGCGTCATACCCTCATCCTGCAGTCGCGGCAGGGTACGTTCCTCGGCTGGAACACTCGGGTCCGTCAATCGTTCAAATATATTGCCTCGTTCCAGTTCTCCTTTGTGCTTTAGAGGCTCGGTGCTAGGCTCTAGGGAGTGCTTAAAGATAGTTTTCTGCATGTCAAACACCACCCCCTTTCCAGGTTGGATTAAACACATTACGTGCGCCGGCACAAGGCGCAGGAGACTCGCAAACCACGGAAAGAACCGGTTGATATGCACGTAAGTGGAAGCGTCGTTTACCACATTACGGACGTGACTGTCGAAGTTCTTGTCCGTCAGATAACCCCAGCTGCGCCCGTAGGAGTAATGGGTGATTATGTCTGAGGTGAGCGCGGCGAGAGCATCATCCAGACGGATAACGGTCTGGTCTTGGTGGAATTCCTCGAGGCGGTGCATGAGCTGCTGCACATGATAATCTATCATTGGAGATAATTCTAGCACGGAGCGTTTGGAGAAGAAGTTGTTGAGGATGCTGCGCCGGAACCGGTGGTGATCGTGACCTACTGTCGCGACCATGGACATGGGCAGAGCAAAGCCCGTGACGAATTTCGGGTCCTTGTCTCGTTTATGGGCGCCGCCGGCGTAGATCTCGTCGTAGAATTCTGGGTCGCTAATGTGTACTTCGCGATAATTGATGCGGACAATGGGACCTGTGGTGGTCAGTGCCATGTAGAATTTCCTGTCCTGAGGCACGTTTACCGTATTGCTCGTGCCATTTTTCTATTTGGAACAGGAACCTGCCGCCTAGGACTATATCATAGTATAACTCGTAAAGATCTGTCAAGATGGATAGCTTGGGCCCCGGGATGTGGCTGAGAGGGTCGAAATAAAAACGATAGACACTCCTGACCACGAGGTATACGGCCACAAGGCCGAGGAAGATCCAAAGAGAGTATAAGGATACCAGCATGATGGAAAGTGGATCTGGCAGAACTGATGAATTAGATGAATCTTAAAGTTTCTTTGCGGCATTCCTTCACATAGCGGCCTTTATAACGTTCCACCCCTTGCTGGGTGGAACCTGACAGGTTATTGTGATACGTCGTAGCATCCATGCGAGCTACATCTACCGCAGAACCATGCCCGTACGGGACAGTCTAACTGGCGGATGATTTAATCGCTCTTGCTCGCCTAGAACCTCCATGTTTCGATACCAAACGCTCCGGCGAGGTTCGGTTATATCTTTGCCACAATGTGTCTACGGTAGACTACTGCAAGACCTACAAATGATGGTTGGTAAGCCCCTTCACCACGCCATCTCACTATCCAACCATGACTCAGAGCGCTTCATGGCAGGCGGTTGCTAATATTTGGTGTGCATCTGACCGAGTCGCTACAATTCGCCCGATTCCCGGATTGCTGCCTAGGTAGCACACTGGCGCATGTACGTGCTGTGGTTTCCCCGCACTCTTGCATTATTGCATTGCCGATTGGATCAAGATAGTGTGTTCATGGTATCACCATCCACGGCGGCTATGGTGGCACAAGAACCGGGATGCGATTGGGCATTGTCATCTGGTGATGCCCTTTCAAGGCCATGATTTGTCCGAGGCGAAAGTAAATGCTTCCGTTCCGTGCCTCACCATGATTCCAGAGGTTGGTTAATCTATAAACCTCCGAAGGGTAAGTTGCTCCGAAGAGAAAATATGTGCTTGTGTCTGATAGGGTGCAACAATGTGTTTGTATTGACCTCTGGCTTCTTGATTCTAACATCCAAACTCAATCTCTCCATACGACATTCAGCTAGGGTATTGGAAACTAGACGTAAGTATCAGAAGTGCACACAGTCGCTGCTCGTAAGCTGCGACTCCCAAAATTGATATCAGTTCATTGGTTCAGTCTATCATGTGTGGATGAAAGTATGACTACCGTGTTGTATTCGCCTGGCTAGAATGGCCGACGCATACATAGCACCAATTACGCCTAGCCCGTGTGTGCAGCTTGCGTCAACCTAACAGCTGCAAGATATCATTTTCCAATAGGACATCGACGAAGAGGATGTGTTCTCTTTGTGCACAGTTCCCTTTCCAACTACTAAATCTTGTCTTAGCCGTGCATGGATAGCCATCTACGCACCATGACAGATTCAATTGCAGACATCTTCCCAGCATCGTACATTTATAGATTTCCTTGACGAGAGATTCAACTAGAATGATGTGTCTTAAGTACAAAATATCGCAAATTCCAAAAAGCCAGCCGTTCGCCTCCCAACGCCATCAACCCCAGCCATTAATCTAAACAGCGGCCTCGATACCAAAGATCCTTCGCGCTGCAAAGTTTAAGCCCAACTAATTACAAACATATTACCTATACCCATTATGATACAAACGCATATGGCTGATTAAAGCAGGCATCCCATTCGTCACCCCCGGACTCCCAGAATACCTTCAGAATGTCTCGTGCAGTTCCGGGGATCGGCGTTGCGAGGTCACGGCCAATGTCGGTAAGAGAAGTTTCGACAAAGGTACGCATACCAGCACTGCTGCCTTTCGCTTGTGCGCCGGCAACAACGAGTGGCCATGTCATGCCTTTCCGCGCCATGGGGGAGGCCAGGGCTTTCCGCAGCAGGAGGCAGAGGCGGCTGCCATGGGCGGCGCGCACGGAGACAAGATCGGCAGTGTAGGGCAACACGCCGACACTTTGCAGCGAGGAAATGCAGTAGATTACAATGGCGGATTGGTAGATGCGACCGAGCAGACTCCATTCCTCCCGAGGAGAGCTGCTGGTGACGACCCATTGCTCCGGCGCGAAAGCCTGGATCTGTTCAAGGAGGGTGGTGGCGCTGAGATGGATGAATTCGTCGGCGGGGTTAGAGGAGCCTTGGAGCCGCAGGTGATTGATGCGGATGATATCGAGCATCAGAGTGGGCGGGCAGCAAAGGGAGGGTAAAAAGCCCTCGCCGTAGGACTCGGCCATCAAGTCGATGAGATCTAGGCTAGAGGTGGCGGGGATTTGATTAGTTGCGGGACTAGTGGTGTTGCCCATAACCCCGATGCTGGAATGTGTCAGCGTCTACTAGATAAACGGCGCAGGGACTTTCAGGCAGGGGAATACATCATGAAGTAAAGCAAAGAAGGCCGTAGGGCCATTGACGACCGCATGAGCTTTCGCAGGCCGCCTCGTAGAAGGATCAGCTGCGTGGCACCGGTGAGATGATACCGCCAATATGGAGCCGCGAACTGGCGCACCTGTGGTTCAAGGGTCAACAAGGAGGATACAGGACATGGCACGGGCCAACGTGTTTATACTGACATCTGCGAATAAAAACATCAATACGCTGAGGATGGTGGCGTCATTGCACTGCGTCGTGGCGTTGGCGATATCCTCGCCGAGACACCGCATAGCTTCGCCGCGATGGTGATAGAGCCGCGAACGCTCCCGAGTCAAGAACTCGTCTGCCTCACTTGAGCCACACCGTTGCAGCCGCTGGCCCAGGACGAAATAGGCGATGGTGTGGCATACGGACAACGGCATTTGGTGGAGCGCCACCGTCGGGAACCGATCGAGATACGGGTTGGGCGGCAGATCATGCATCGCCGCCACGTCGGGGTACACGCAGGTATTGACTGCAAGGGCCGCCCGTGAGTAAAAGAAGCTTTTTCGGAGCCGGCGGGGGGGCAGGGAAACCTACAATAGAGGACGGTATTGACAAAGTCGCGGGCTTCTGCTCCCAGGTCTTGAATAAAGAGCATCGGGTCCACAAGATTGCCCGTCTGCGCCTGCTGGAAGATCCCCGCGCTTGGATCTCCAAACAACACGTTAGTCGGACTGCCGATTGGCTCATCCAGACTGTCGGTTCTCGGACTCCACGTCGCACTGGAGCCGCTGCTATCAAAGCTGGCCCTACTAGCGGCCGCCGCAGTCGGTCCCGGGGGATCGGGTATGGCAGGGGCAACCGGAATGGAGAAAGAGGCATTATGATTATCATTAAGATGGGAATTGGTACTAGGATTGGACTGTGCAGTCATAAGAGTAGCAGATGAAGAACGAGAGGAACAGCTGGAGGACGACGAAGGAGAAGGTGCCGCATCTGATGCCGCAGCGCGACCCTTGGCCGTACTCGACGGTCTCCCCCTATTCCGGGATTTAACCTTTCCCGGGGTAATCCACTTGAGCGGTTTGTTCCCACTGTAACCAGGGCATTCGGTTCCGGCTGCACGGCACTTGTTGCAGGCCGGTCGTGCAGAGTCGCAGACGAGGCGGCGGCGGCGACACTCCCAGCATTGCCGCCGCTCCCCCGTCGGTGTCGCAGTCGTAGTCGCAGTTGCGGGCGCCATGAAGTCGGTGATAACTATTGGGAGCGTACTATATCCACTCAACAGTCAAATGACAGCGGGGGGAGGATATTTAGATAGTGGCCACAAGGCGGACTTGGGACTTGGGACTTGGGACACCCAGTATACTCCCTTCCGAACTAACGGAGCCTGATCGAAGAGATCGCTGTCCAGTGGAGACCGTGTAGATTGTAAGGAAGGACTAAAAACGCCAGGTCAGGGCTTGGCCAGCGTTTTGGCCTCATTGAGTAAGGAGTTGTCAACGCCGAGCTTTGAGGTGCAGGGCGGCGAACCCAACGGCACGGTCATCGGCCCTTTTAAGGGGGAAAGCCTGACCTCAGCGACGGTGGCCACGATCGACTTCCCAGCGGATGCGTTCCTGGACCCAAGAAAACGTTTTGCTAGGACTTTGTCTCGTCTGCGACTAAATTCTGACGCCGTCGCGCGTGGGGGGCCTGAGGAATCGACTCGCCAGTGGGGACAGCGCCGCGTATGCCCCGATCGGGCCTAGCGCGGGTCTGTCGATCGCTCTATTAATATTCAGGGTCAGAATTGTATCTTATAGATAAAGGCATATAATTATATTGTGATTGATTCCCTTCGGTCGGTCATGTTCGGCACATCACGATCGGGATCGGGTTGTCTCAGCTGTCAGGCGGCGGCGGACAGTCAAAGCCCACGAGAATCCCAGGACACGCCGATCGCCCGACTCCCCTTCGCCGTGTTTCACACCTCTCAATTCTCCATGCAAGGAGACCTCGTAACCAACAGTCTGAATAAATAGAAACAACGCTTGAGCAAATCACGCCCCCTCCTGCGTCAGGTTAACACCGCCGTGGTGGTCGTCGTGGCCATCGAAGCGCTCAACATGTCGTAGTACCAAGGCTGCAAGCCTGTCATGATCGCCATAATCTCCCACGTCTCTCCCATGCTGCCGTCCAGCCCGCTGTCCAGAAACTGAAACTTCAAGGCTTTCGTCATACTGGCCGACACGTTGCGCGCCAAAACCGCCACCACGCCCCGCCCGTCGCTGGCGCATCCGAGCGCGCGCTGTCGTCGGTTATCGCTACCAGGACCCACGGTTCGCGACAGGCGCACCAGCTTCCATCCGTATACCGAGTGACCCGTCAACTCCCAGATCTCGTTGCCGCGACTGTGCGCCATTCGAACTGCTCGCGCTGTGTGCGCTTCTCGGGGCCCGGAACGTCGATGGCGAAGGTGGGCGGCGCGCGCGTGTACGGCGTCGGATGGTGCAGCCTCCACCACCGGCGGCTGCTGGTCGCGGGGGATGGTGACCGGAGATGCTCGGTCGCGCATGGCCTGGCCGCCCTCGATGGAGGCTAGCGCCGGGGCCTTATCCGAGGGGCCGGCATGGAGGATCAGGGTCTGCTTGCTGCGCAAAAGGTGGTGTGCGTGGAGATGGCGAACCGTTTGTCGTCGCCACTGGGGCCCAGGTGGAAGGTGGAGGTGAACTTCCACCGAGAGTAGCCGTTGAGCGTTGGTAAGAACCAAATGGGTGCAGCTTGCGTCGGGTCGGACGAGCTAGAGAAGCCAGGAGTATCGGAAAAAGGATTCTGGTCGTACTCATTGGACGCGGTATAGCGGGGAGGTGCTTGGCTGAATGTTGACCTGTCGTGCTCCGATAGGTGGGCCATTGTTGGACCAGGAATGTGACGTTGAGGATCTATGGACTGCCGTAGGTTGAGTATTAGTACGAGGCAATTGAGACCCTCAGATTACCAGCAGCGCGATGAGTTCGCACCAGGGGAGACCGGGGTTATATTCCAGCACGGGGCCCACGTCAGTCTGACTATAGGCTGTGCTGACCTCTAGAGTCCAAGCCACTCCTGTATGAGTCTGAGGCGTCAATTGCTCGTGAAGCAAAGACATCGATCCATGCTAACCAGGTCCGAATGTATCGAGCGATACGACTTCTAGAAAGGAAGGTTGCCCCCTGGGCAGGCCTCAGCCTTGTCTAACGGCGCACCTTTGCAGTGCTGCATCGCGACCGATTTGGGGAATTCGGCGGGACCCATCCACCGTGCTGGACTGGGACGGTGGGTCAGCCAAGAGTGCTGGACTGCCGGTAGGACTGCTCTCTGGCCACTCATCGCAGGCGCGGATAGGTAGGAGAGCGAAGGAGAGCGAAGGAGAGTAGACCTCCTCGCGGTCCAAGTCCGCGGCGCTAACGTTTTGGCGCGTCGCTTGTCCCGTTCGGGACTGTATGCCTGAGGCCACGAAGTGCCCGATCGGGCAGTAACTCTACAGAGGGTCGTGGGGATAGCATCATGAGGTTCTTGAAACGGGGCCATGTCGCTACATTCACATCTATCTTGGAATAGCTTCAGGATGCCTGATCGGGCTCCTGATAGACTATATATTCCGTCATTGGTCTCTAGTCTCCCTATATCCATTGCTATCAACATAACACCGAATCAAAATGGCTCACGGAGAACCAGGTACTTGCTCTGCACCTGTCCGCATGAAGATAATACTGACACCTTTTAGTAAAAGGAAGTCTATTCATCTACGCCCCGAACAAATGGGCTCCGGTAATATTTGCAGTGGGCTTTGCGGCCTTGGGACTCATCCACACATGGCAATGTCGGTATGTGTTGATAGAAAGATGTAGGAGGTCTAGTTTGAAGACAAATCTGACAGTCAGCGTAGTCATTACAACTGTTTCAAAACTATGTGGCTGCACCTGGTCTGCTGCTTCATGTTTACTGCCGGGTTTGCCTTGCGTCAATACGGCTCTTTCAACTACATTGACTCGGAGGACAGGACCAATCTCTACTTCTACATTGGCAGCACATGTTTGATCTACATGGCTCCGTGAGTCTCCCTCGCTACTGCATGCTTCGGTACTTGACTGATGCCCGCAGTCCACTCCTCGAACTGGCCAACTACCACATCCTCGGTCGCGTACTGTTCTATGTGCCCTACCACTCTCCCATGCACCCCGGCCGCGTTCTCACCACCTTCGGCATGCTCTCGGTCGTAGTCGAGGTCATGAACGCCCTGGGTGTGTCCAACATTTCCAACAACCGGCTCCCCGAGGACCGTCAGAAACTCGGCCACATCCTGATGAAGACTTCTCTGATCGTGCAGGTGGCCGTACTGTTGCTTTTCTGTGTTCTCGCGGGTCTTTTCCAGTATCGCTGCGCCAAAGGTAATATCAGGTCAAAGCGTGTCTCCGCTCCGCTCTGGACTCTCTATGCCAGTACCCTTCTAATCCTGGTCCGATGCATCTATCGCATCATCGAGCACTTTGGCATCTCATCGATTAACCCAACGAATGCCAAGGCGGAGGACCTCAGTCCGATCCTGCGATATGAGTGGTTCTTCTACGGCTTCGAGGCGACGCTCATGCTCATCAATAACTTGCTGTGGAGCGCAATGCATCCGAGACGCTACCTGCCCCAGCACCGCAACATCTACCTTGCCCAGGATGGAGTCACTGAGCTCGAGGGCCCAGGATGGAAGGATAACCGATCGTTCCTCGTCACGCTTCTGGATCCATTTGGGTGGCTAGATTCAAAGAAGGACCAGCCTCCGTTCTGGGAAAAGAATGGCCATGCCAAGGTCCAGGATGATCATGTTTGAAGGGCCGGGTTACAGAAAAGACGGGGATCGGTACGAGGAAATGAAACTCAAAGTGAAGAGTACGAATAAAATAAACCTTTTTGCAGAGCCGAGCATCATCAAACACAAGAAGAATGCATAATTTCTGGGAAGCGAGCTTCTAAAGAATTTGCATAGCCGCAAATCGAGAAGAATAAATTCTAAACCAGTTCATCTCCATCCCATTGTCTAACGAGATGCGACTCGCCCAATGCTCCCTTCAACACCAGGACCATTTCATCTATAGCGGCCAAGAACTTGAGATAAGCGCTTATCCCAACACAGTACCGGCGATAGTTCTCGTCTTGGACAAGCTTGGTACTTAAATGCGCTTCTCGGTGCTCTTCGTGCCATGACTCATAGCAGCGTTTGATCAACGGCGTGGGGAGTCGTTCTGGGAGAGCAAGCCCCAGTCGCAACGCCTGCTCAATGATACTGAGGACGCCCATGATGTCACCGATATGACGGTCATCGAGGATCCCGACGGTGTGGGACAATCGACTTTGAAGGTGGCCAGGGAGGGTGTCTGAAAGTAACAATAGTCGCCCTAAGGCTTGGTTAATGTCCTGACATAGGCGAGCCGCTTGGGAAAGGGTCTGTGAGTCGAATGGACCCAGTGTCATTTCAAATCTGAGCAGGGCGATGCTCTGCTGCGCCGAGAGAAGGGTTTCGGCAACGTCCAACGAGATCTTCTCGGCGACGACGCCGACAGGACTGGTTTCGTCCCCGCTACCCTCCGGGCGTGCACGTCCCCAGTGCGACAGGAGAAGAGCGTAATGATCTGACAAGGTGCGTACTGTGTTAGACAGCGTCTGGCATGTGTGTCGGGTTGCTGACGGCGGACGAGGGAAGATTTGGACGACAAACGCTGCCACGAATCCCAGCAGCACTGTCACAAGTCGCTTGTAGAAGGCTGTATATCCGTGCCCAGGAAGCCCGTATTGCGGCATGTGCGTGTCGTCGTAGCTGAAACCGAGGACGAGCATGAACGTCGCGCCGCTCATGATGGCTCCCATTGTGAACACCGGCGGCAGGAAGAGACGCCACCACATGAGAACCAGCGTCATGGCCGCTGTGCTGGCAGCCAATCGGTACGCGTTGCCCGGCCCGTTGCCCGACCCGATATACCAGGCTGCCATGCCCATGACGCCGCCGACGACGGTGCCCGCCGTGCGGCCGACCAGGCAGACGGTGAAGTCGGCCATATAGACCAGCAGCGTGGTCTGCGCCGTGATGAGACACCAGATGCCCTTTTCGCGGTAATAGAAGCCCGCCGTGTGCGGAAGGGACCCGGGGATTGCAGTCGCGATAGTCACCACCACCATGCGCAGGGCGTACAACCCGCCGGAATTGGTCAGCCACTGATAGATGGTGACGATGGCCCGCGTGAGAAAGTTGTGTCGGACTAGTCGTCCATGGCCACGGTTAACACGCAGTCGGCGATGTGCTTCCTTCGTCTGCTCCGCCACGAGGTCCGGATCGCTCCCTCCGTCGGCCGGTAGATCGGGTGCTGGGGCTGGGTGACGCCGATTGACCAGCCAAGACAAAGCATATCGCAGGCGTGACGGCAGCCAGAGTCGGAGCTTGCTCCGATCTTGCAGCAGGTGCGTGGCTTGCGTCAGCAACTCCTCGATGGCTTTTGCGGCACCGAGGATGCGTTCTTCGACGACCATCCCGAGAACAAGACCTCGAAGCGAGTGAGGGCCCATTTGATCACGACTCTTGAGCTGACCGGTGGCGTCAAACATCTCTGCATGGCTTTCCAGTAGGCGCGCTGTGGTTTTTGTCCGGGAATTTTCTCGTGCAGATTCAAGGCTACTACGAAGACTCTGGCCCCGAGTGAGCAGGTGAGTGATTCGCTCTGAAGACGTCCGACGAACCCAATGTTCCGAGTTCACGGTGTGGATCATCTCTGCCACCCAGATGAGCGACTCCGAGGAAAGATGCAACAACTCGGCTGTCGAGGCCTGTAAGGCGTTGCGAGTATGTGCGCGCATCTCTGCCTCCTCTGGACTCCGCAGTGCTTGCAGGAAATCGGCGCTTTCTTGCAGTTGATGGCGACCGACCTGGGGTGGCTTTTCCCCGGGATCGATGTTAGGACCTTCGACTGGGGATCGGGGCACCTGTTCTAGCTGTTTGTCGGTTCGGACATGCGATATGTGAAAATCTAGCAGCGAGAGGCCCGCAACCATGGCCCGCCGCAAGGGCTGGTATAGAGACTTAACATCCTCGGGACTCCATCGGCCCCAGGAGACATCTAGCGGAAGAAAGGCAAGAGCCGGTTCTGTGGTTTTGAGGAGTGCTATAGTCCTTGCCTTGGATGCCTCGAGCTCGCCGAGGTCGACCGCTTTCCCCGAGAAACGCGACCGCGTGCATTGCAGTGGCTTGTCGACCATACTCACGAGTTGTTCCGCCTTTGTAAGGACGGTGCTAGATGCTGACTGCGCGAAGAAGACAACATTGCATGCGACACCTAAACCAATGCCAATGGCGCCTGGCTCAACCAGGACCCTGGGTAGAAGCGCCGAGAATGATGGCAGGACGGGCCCAAACAGTAGGAATAGGTCGGCAATAATGATGCCGAATATCTGGGCCAGCGCAAATTTCTGGTTGGCGACGCGGAGTCGTGAGACGGTGTACACGAAGAGACATATCATGACGTAGAAGACTACGGTCACTCGCGCATCCAGCATGAACCCGTCGTACACAGCCTTCTGGGTCAATAGTGATGCCGGCAGGCCGGATTGTTCAGCGTCCGCGGCAACCTGCTGCTGCAGTGCTTGCAGACGAGCCTGTGTTTGCGAATCCGGTCGCGCCGCAAGAGCAGCTTTCATGGTTAAGAGGCCCCATGCCCAGGCGAGGCACATGCCGAAGAGGAGGGATAGCGAGGCCAGCAAGTACACGGACAGGATGCCGCCCGGGGGAACGATGTACAGCACCAGAGCGGCGAAAAAGGTGGCGATTCTGATCCTATGCAATGCAGGGCCGATGAAAATTAACAGCGACGCGATCCATGCGGCGACCCAGCAGCGGAAGAGCACCTTAAGGTCGCGCGCATTGAAATGATCCAGCCATCCCGGCAGTGGAATCTGACGACGTGCGATCTCTTTGTTCGTCGACTCTGTCAACGGTTCGGCCGAACACCGGGAGTTAGACATGGCGATGCGACGAACGGTGTTAGGCTTCTGAAATACCAGGCGATGGATGTCCACCTGGACGTTTGACGATCATTGATGTGATCCATGGAATGGAATGCTCGGTCCAGCGTTGATCCTCGGCCCGGAGTCGGCGCCAGGGTCACCTACTACCTACCATCTCAAGGTGAAGCACAATGACCAATCGCTGTTCCAAGCGTCGCTTTTTACGAACTGTTATCGCATCCTAGAACATTTCTTGACGCCCAAAGACTGGAAATTCGGCGTCAAACCCAGTGTGAACGGGATCCTCCTCATCCCTGTGTCGTGGCGCGTTTATCTATATCCCTTGTTGGAACCCTGCCCAAGAGACCAAACCGATAGCCTGAAGGCCATAGAACATAAAGGGAGAGAGAGCTTGTCGAATTGGAGCGCGAGAGTAAACAGACTAGATGAAAGCGGCGTCCGCACTCAATCCGCGGTAGCAAGGTGACTGAGTAGACACGACAAAGAACCCACTGCTGGCGGCCAAATTGGGATATGCATCTAGGCCTCCCGGAGACACAAGGCCTACGGAGGGTTGAGTTAACTTCCTGTTAGTTTAAGGAATGATTGGGATGTCCGAGTTGGAGGCGTACGTGGCACGTCTTCTCGACGAGGCCGGAGTGCCGAATTTCATCTGGGCCGAGCCGGCTCTCTCCATCATGGGGGTCGACACCCTCCCCTTTGTAAGTCACTATCCACGAAAAATCTGACTATGCAGCCAGTCTAGCTAACGCAATCTGTAGTTCAGTGGTAGGGTAGTCCCCGACGAATGTATTGGGAAGGCCGCGCAGGCTCTCGACGCAGCGAAGTTCCCGCCCTGCAAGCAGGGCCGCAATGGATGCAGCGTCTTCTGGGAGGCCCGGGCCCATCCCTAATCCGACTATCACTGGCATACTTATGGATTCTACCCACCGAGGCAATCTCGACCCGGAGGCGCCGACATGACCTGCCGGGTCTTTCTCTATCCCAAGTCGAGGCTGTTTTGGTCATTCCCCGATCCCCCTATCGATCGCCCGGCCCCGGACGATCCTTACTACATGCTTACAGATGACACACGCATCGAGATGGGAGCCAGAACCGCCAGGTGTCCCCAGTACAATATCTGATATCCCGTTCAGATGCCAACCCCAGCCCGTTACATAGTAGCCATGTTCCGCCTGGTTCTCCGAGACCTTGAGGGTATGACTTTGCTATGCCACTGGCACATCGAACTCGTTTACCTGACAGGGGACTTGCTAAAACGAGGTATCAATCTGAAGTTGGAGGATATTGCCGAGCCCTTCCGGAAATGGGCCCGACGATACACGGATGGGCGATATGCCAAACAGAAGGGCGATCCGGGAGCGTGGAGGATCATGCACGAGATCTACGTTGAGATGGCGAGAAACAAGTAGATCCCCCCGGTAGACGATGTTCGCTTCGATTGTTGGCAACCCTTGAAAGAAATTCTGGGGAAGTACAACCTCCCCTGTGACCCAGAATAGGGTACTCCGGAGGAGAAGAGGGTATACTGGAACCTCTCACCGAACCATCGACGAAACCAGCGACGGTCTTGAACTCTCGCTCCTTGGATCCCTTATTAGTCTGCATACCTTTCGCGGCTGTTGAAATCAGGTTAGCCTTGTCCGATATCCAAATGCATAGTTTGAAGATCTTACAGAGAAAAGAATTAGTTGTCTGTTGTGCTGCTATTGGTGTTGCTCTTAGGAATGGTGTTAGAGTTATGTAAGAATCGATTTCTGGTTAGCTCTTTCTGGTAGTTTGGATGCAAAAACTGTAATACTTACTACATTGATAGATAAACCCAACAATCGGAATCAATGCCTATGTAGGTCTAAATTAAGATAAGGCCGGATGGTCAAGTAAAGGTGCGAGTTCTCAGCTAGCTGGGTCGTCCACTCAGGCGGGAACCTCACAAGATTTCGCTGCTTAGTCCCCAGCGTGACTTGTAAAGACGTTAGATTAGATGTATTCAATGAATATACAAAGAATCTACCTTTCACTCATTACTAGTAAGAAGGCAACACGAGAGGGGGAAAAGATAGAGTATCAGTACATATTCCACGTGTGAAACTGGTATAATGTAACTATACCTAAAGCAAGGCATGTATCTGGGCCAAGATAATCGAACTTTTCGCTCCGAGTAGATATGAAAACTCTCGGGATTTTCCTCCCATGAAGAACAAGAATGCCCGTTGCCGATAAGCCTGAGAGCCAGGTTCCACACATCACAGGCATCTTTTTTGGCTCTTCGCCTCTAATGCGCGTAACTCGCAGCAGAAGGCCTTCAGGCACATGAGGTCAAGAGGGGTGGCGGTGGGTATCGCTCGGGGGCTCGCCGAGAGGATTGGCTCCATGCCATCTGGCCGGTACGGAAGCTTGATACATTCTAGAGTCAGCCAAGAGACTTTGCCAAAGGAGGAAAAACCTACGACGTTGATTGGAATCAAGTCCACTTGGATACTTTGCCGTCCAGGAATTCGGAAAAGTAGCGCTTCCGTCCCCCTTTCAAAGGCGTCGGCGCGGTGTTTTTGCAGTGTTTCCTTGATCCTTTTCGCCATTGTAGGAGGGGATATAGCAAAATCGATGTCCTGCATGGCTTAGTTACCTGAGGGCGGTCGGAAAGGTAGAATGGGTCATCGTTCGTACCTCAACAAAGGCACACCGTCTGGTCAGCTGGTGGACCCTGAGACAAAAAGCGCCATCAATCGATGGACCCCGATGGCGACGGCCCGACGTGCCCAATCTTGCTGGCGATGGTCCCCACCGTGCCTACTCCGTACTCTAAGACCCAGTAAGATCCAGCAGCGAGTATCTCCATTAGCGACGGTTCCAGGAGGGGGTTGCAAATGTGGAGGGACCACGGAGGGTTCTCTAAGACATGACAGCGCAATTCCCGTCTCTCTGCCAAAGTTGTCTCCCTGTCTCGCCCTGTGTCTCTCCACCCCCTATTCCCGTCCAACATGGCCAAATCTCGTGTTCTCCTCGTGGGCAGCGGAGGTATCGGAACCGTTGCAGCGCTCAATCTTGAGGCAGGGAACTGGGCAGATGTGACCAGCGTTCTGCGATCAAACCATGCCGCCGTGCTGCAGAAGGGGTTCACCATTGAGTCGTGCGACCATGGCACCGTCACGAATTGGCGGCCTACTCAGAGTATCCCGGATCCCTTCAGTCAGCATCTCCCAGATCGTATGCTAACTGCAGCCAGTTCTCGATGCAGTGCCCTGTCATCCGTCGCCGCCGTTCGATTATATCGTCTGCTGCACCAAGAACATCCCCGACGTGCCCCCTTCGCTGTGCGAGCTGATCGCTCCGGCCGTGACCCCGGGGCAGACGGTGATCGTGCTGGTTCAGAACGGAATCAACATCGAACGACCGCTAACGACACAATTCCCGAACAATCTCGTGCTCTCTGGAGTCAGTCGGACAGACGCCCACGAGATCGCCCCCGCCGTCATTCACCATAAACAAACGGATTCTCTGGACGTCGGACCATTTCCTCACCCTTCGATCCCGGTCGCTCAGCAGGAACACGTCGCGAGGGAGTTCGTTCGCATCTATTCCGCCGGCGGCAAGACCAACTGTCGATACGATGCCAGCGTTGCGCTCAACCGATGGCGAAAGCTCGTCTACAATGCCTGTCTGAATCCCATCTGCGCCTTGACTGGCCTGGACACTGGGACGCTACAGCTCGATGACCGGAGTATGCAGACTCTGGTGAAGCCGGCCATGCGCGAGGTCATCCAGGTGGCTGCGGCCTTAGGCCATCACCTTCCGGACGATATCATCGAGACGACGATCGCCAGCAACCCGGTGGAGCGGCGAATCTCGCCCAGTATGTTGGTGGATTTACGGAAGGTAAGGTTGCCGACCGGCTTGTTCTGCGCAGAGGGGATCGCATGCTCACCTCATTCACCAGGGCAATCTCATCGAGCACGAAAACCTTCTGGGCGAGGTGGTTCGCGAAGCTGACGCTATCGGACTAAGTGTGCCTACGCTGACCCTGTTGTACAACTTGTGTTGCGCCGTGCAGCTGCGGACGAAGCAATCCCGCGGTCCCAGTTCGGTATAGCCGCGATGCCATCATTCCCATCGTATCTCCCTGCCAATATGACCGTTCTTTAACCCGAGCAACCGACCTACCTAGTTCCCCTTCTCTACCGCACTTGCCATTCATACACTTGACCCCCGATCGCTCCACACCGACTGGATGCCGGGTTTCTTTTCCGGGTGATGGGCGCGAAACTCATTCAACCATCTCTGTAGCACTTGGACAGGCAGGCTTGTCATCTAATTATCCTCCCAAGAAGAGTAAGATGTAGTCACAGTTTCGCAGCATGATCCTTTTCCCAAAAGGCGAAGATGGGCAACTGGTGGTATCCAAGTCGAGCCAGGGATCGTATAACCGGATCGGCCTCGTTGGCTGGGAGACGAACGCTGTCCCCGCGAGGGGGCGCGTGGGGGCTCAGTCTTAGTGCACGACCGAAGGCGCTGATCGACTTGGCCAGCTTGGCTCCCCACGCTCGGTAAACCCGATTGAGGGGGGTTGTGTCGCTATTCCTACGGGGGTAGTGCAGTGCTTGATGCCGACAACCGACCAGCTCGATGCCTCGGTTGTACTGCCCGCCAGGCTGAGATTCTTAAATATGCCGTTCATTCAGCTACGATGAAGATCGGGAGACCGGTTCTAATCACACCTGCCACCCATGGCCGAACAAACACCGTCCAGTCCCGCTATCCTCCGTCCTCAGCGTTCACTCACGGGTCGCGTCGCCATCGTCACCGGCGCCGGTGCTGCGGGCGATGGCATTGGCAATGGCCGCGCAGCCGCGATTATGCTGGCCGAAGATGGATGCGCCGTCGTCTGCGCTGACATTCAACTGTCCCTGGCAGAGCACACCGTCCAGATGATCGCACGCGAAGGCAAGGGCCGGGGAATCGCCGTTCAGGCCGATGTCACCGTTGCGGCCGACTGCCAGAGAGTGGCGCAAACGGCCATCGATCATTTTGACCGTGTGGACATCCTCTTCAATTGCGTCGGCGTCGGCGGGGCGACCGGGACGGCCGAGACGGTTGACATGGAGGCTTGGGCACAAGGGTTACATCTGAACGTCTCCAGCATGGTGATGATGGTCAAGTGCGTGGTGCCCGAGATGCGCAGGAACGAGGCCGCGACTGGTTATCGAGGGAGTATCGTGAACATGGGTAGCGTGGCCGGCCTCCGGGGTGGGACGCCTCATTTGCTATATCCTACGAGCAAAGGAGCCATCGTCAACATGACCAGGGCCATGGCGGCGCATCATGCAAGCGACGGGATCCGCGTGAACTGCGTATGTCCCGGCATGGTGTATACGCCCATGATGTCCGCCAAGGGTATGAGCGAGGAAACCCGACAAGCGCGCAGGAATCGCAGTCTCCTCAAAACCGAAGGCAACGGATGGGATGTCGGCGCTGCCGTGCGCTTCCTGGCCGGGGATCAGGCCCGATGGATGACGGGCGTTGTCTTGCCCGTGGATGGAGGAACTACGGCGGCCGTTGGGACGGACCTGCCGGCGTCTGCGAGCGTGAATGGATGATAGATTGATTTACAAGCGTTTCAATACCATTAGCTTTGAAGGATCTTCGAGTCTTGATGAGATTCTAGCAGGTTACACATTCCGGTCCACCCCGTGCGTCCCTCAGAACAAGAATCGGCGACAAGCTACCAGACGGTCAACACAGCGACCCCCCAGGCCGCCATGTCTATTGTGTAATTCCCCGTTCGGCTCGACACGTTGTGGACCCGGGGTTGGATGGTCACATTGTGCGGCAGATTGCTGGCGTCGCGAGGGCCCGACAGCGTCTCCAACCTCCCCGATCTAGTGTCCGGCACGCTGACATGGACCGTCTGCTCCTCCTCGCCGTAGTTGGCCAGCTTCACGTTGTACGTGCCTTTTCCCCATGAAGCAGTCCAGTATAAAGGTCCGAAATTTGCCGTGGCGTTGACGGGCAGCACGGTTGTTCCCCGGTTCGTGGAGAACATCTTCTGCACGTAGTACGACGTCGACGGCGTGATGGATCCGGGGCTGGAGTCAAATCCGTACAACGTTGGCTGGACTTGGTCAGCATCCATGGATTCCTCCCATTCTCCGGGTCCAACTCACCGACCACTGGGTGTAGCCGAAATGCTGCAGCAGAGGCGCGTAGGCCGACATCTTCACCACGTCGGCGTTGCGCTCCATTCCGATCATATGCACGGCCTCGCTGCAGCTGCATTGCACGAAGGACCAGTACACTCCGCGGTCGTGGGTGGTATTTCGACATCCCCATTCTCCTACCATGACCGGTTTGGATCGCGGCCAGTTATCCCATTCGCTGAACATGTCCACCAGCTCGTCCGGTTTGCGGTAGTAGTGGTGGTCGTACATGATGCCCGGCGGCGGCGTCAGCGGCAGGCAGATCCTGTCAATGGTCGAGGCGATGATGGTGAGGTGTGGATGCTCGCGGATGATCGCATTGTAGATCTGCGTGAAGCGATCGGGGTAGGACTCACATCCCCCGGTGTAATCATCCTCGTTTCCGATCTCGATATACCGCACCGGCCAGGGTTTCTCTCGTCCGTTCGCGGCGCGCACCCTGCCATACGTGCTGTTCGACGGGCCGAGCAGATACTGGGCGAGTGAGCAGACCTCCTCATTTCAAGGCTGTGCGATGCTTACCTCGAGTTCGTTCATGATGTCCTCCACGTACGGTTGCAGGTCAGATCCGACCAAGATGCCCCCGTACGATTTGCCGGCCCAGACAGCCAGCACGGGCTCCATGCCCATGTCCTCACACCACCAGAGATACTCGTCCAGCCCTGGGCTGTTAGCGGTGGTCTAGCGAATCGGCGTTCAGGCGCAACTCACCTAAGGCGTCGGTGTTGGGGTAGAACCAGTCGCCTTGCGGCGTTAGCGACGTCCAATCCATCCGAGAGAATGCAGCATCACTTACTGTCTCTTCCCGGTCGATCGACTAGCGGACCGATCGTCCGATTCCAGGCCCATCGGCTGTCAATCTTCAGTCCCTCGCTGAGTAAGTTAGCCCGTATGTCGCCAGTCGCCGTGAAAGAATGCGGCCCTTACAGGTTGTTCCCTCCGGGAAACCTCAAAAACGACGGTTTGATCGCCTCGAGCACCGTCGTCAGGTCGTTCCGCAAGCCGTTGGCTCTGCAATGGTCAACGGAGAGCCCGAACAGAGGCTCGAGATCTTACCTGTCATGATAGGTTGGCGGGAACAACTGTACCAGGCCAAAATTCAGCGACATTCCCGGGACCTTCGAGCCGTCAAACAACAGTCGAAACTCGTTGTCGCCGTCGGGGGAGGCAGTGGCATTGAAGGCAGTCTCGTACCGAGTGAATCGTCGCCAGGTGCTGTTCGTCAAGACGCCATGCGACGCATAGACAATTCCGCTGGACGTTCCCACCAGCTGCAGCGTGACACGACCGGAGTATTCGCCCTTGATCCAGAATTCACATCGGTAGGTCGCGTTCATCACGGGCACGCCTTGATAGCCTCCGTTGGCAAATCCAACGAACTCGGCCTCTCCTGGCGACACCTGCACCTGCAAAGTCGAGCGGATGGCGTCGCTGAGAGGAGTGGCCTTGTCTTGCAGGATGTCCACGTCGCCGACAGCCCAGTAGGCCGTCAGTCCCGGCTTGGAGCCCTGGAAGCCATTGTTTTGCAGCAGTTGTCCGTGGATTCCACCATCGCCTGTCGCGCTTCAGCCGTCAAATTGTATATCATGTCTTGCGCGGGAACATACCGGAGTGGTCCATTTCCTACAAGGCCAACGGTCAGCTCCAGTCCTGGAATCGAAAGCAGGCGGATCTCTCACCTCAAACATGATACCGTACAGCAGCGGATTCGTGTGATTGCCGCCATCTTTCTCGACGTTCAGTACGACTGGGGCAGGGGATTTGGATTTTTCGCTAGCATGCGGCGCGCAGAGAACTGTCCCAAGAAGCTGCAGCCTGGACAGAGCCATGGCGCCGTTCCATATCTGCGAGAGCTTCATCATGAACCAGGAGTGTGAAACCGTGCAGAACGATCTTGTGACTATCTCTGTCGGTCGCCAGTTCCCCCGCGCTACTAGTAGCTTGCGTCATTCTCTGTCGAGTGAATATCCTTGCCAATTGCGACGGTTGATCAGTAACGATCGCTTTCACCAACTTCAGCGATGTGGTGGATCGGGTGTTGGTGAATGACATCACCACCCAAGAACACGTGGGAAGAGCCCACGAGGGATGGGCTCCTCCTTCCCTTCTTCAGTTATATACTAGTAAATTGATTACTTGGATCTTTGTTGACTACCACCTAGCGAGGCGGGCGTCGCTTGCTTGCACTGCTTGATTTCCCTCATGAATACTCCGCAGTCATTCGTAGGAAGTATATAGTTACTTGCAACCACCCTCCCTTCACCAGCGAAAGCAACAACAACGTCCCTGAAACTTGCGTCATTGGATCCTAAGACCAACGCCTTAACCACAGCGACATTATTTGGTGTTTTATTCTGTTGAGACCTTAGAGGGGTCCCGGTTCTAACCAACGATAAATGCCTGAGGCCACGAGTATACCCCGGTGCCGAAAAGCTTCACCTTCACTCTGCGCGGTCGCATCTGCCGAATTCTGCCTCGATAATGTTATCCTTGCGTCGATGATCTCAATAACCCCTCCAGAATACCGGATTTCAAGATCGTGTCAACCCCTCCTGACCAGGGCAAATGGTCGGACTCCAGACCGACACCGTCAGGGCACGTCTCGACGCGGGCGAATCCCTGCCTGCCAGACAAAATGGATGGACTCCTCCAAATTGGCCGAGCTGCGAATCTCATTTGTCGCGGGGAAAATCTACCTTAGATCTTGGATTTATCAGCAGCAGCAGCAGCGACAGGGCTGTGATTTCGATGATTTCTAAGCACCGCCCCAGACAGGTGGAGGATTGCTACTTTATCTATCGATTCCTCCTGGACAAGCCTGCGGTGTATATAGGGGGACAATTGCCCCCCCAGGGTCTACGAGTTTCCTGCAATGAAACCAGTCTTGACCCGACTCTTTTCATCTACAAGAATGGCGCCCATCCGCGTGGGTTTGATCGGCCTGTCCGGCGCCCCGGCCGACAAGTACGAGGGCACCAACTGGACTTCCCTGGGACATCTGCCCTACCTGACCAAGACACCGCATTATGAGATTGTCGCGCTGCTGAACAGCTCAGCGGAGAGTGCTCGCGCGGCGGTGCAGAAATATAATCTCCCCGCTGAGACGAGGGCTTATGGTGATCCGGCTGGTGAGTTGGACTTGACCCCCGGTAGGACGACGACGACGACGACGACCTCCTACTGACCCCTATCGTCTAGATCTGGCCAACGACCCGGACGTCGACTTGGTCGTCTGCAGCGTGCGTGCCGATCGCCATTTCCAGACCGTCAAGCCCAGTTTGATCGCCGGCAAAACCGTGTACGTCGAGTGGCCGCTCGATCGCAACGCCCAGGTCGCGCGGGAGATGACGGCCCTAGCCGCGCAGCACAAGGCGAAGACGATCGTAGGACTACAGAGTGGCATGGCGCCAATTCTACGCAAGGTGCGTGAGGTGCTGAAGAGCGGTGCGATCGGGCAAGTGGTCTCCAGCTGGTCCGTGGGATCCGCCGGCAACGATCTCGACAAGGAGAGCCACAACGTGCGATACTTCCTTGACCGCGAGGTGGGCGGCAGCATGATGAGCATTCACGTCGGCCATGGCATCGAGACCGTGACTACGGGTGAGTTCCTCATTTGCGACCGTGGCAAAGTGCCGTAGCTGACAGGGTACCTTCCGCGCTTCCTTAGTGCTGGGGGAGTTCAACTCCTTTGCCAGCTCGATCGCCATCACCCGACCGACGTTGGACATTGTAGACATGCGTCCCGGGAATGACGGGAAGGTGTTTGAAAAGAGCGCCGTCAACGCCGTGCCAGATAATATCCTGATGTACGGCACGGCCGGGGAGTCCAACGCCCCCGTGCAGCTCACCATCCACGCGGGCAAGGAGTTCCCCGGTACGCCGCGCCTGGACTGGCGCATTCAGGGCGAGAAGGGCTGGATCCGAGTAACGTCGCCTTTCCTGTTCTTAAACGTGGGTCACCCCGAGACGAAGGTCCAGATCTACCGCAACGAGACCGGCCAAACAGAGGAGATCGTGGCGGACAGGGATGAGTGGGATACTCTGCCCACGATGGCGCAGAATATCGCCCGGTTGTACGAGGCCTACCGCAAGGATGAGTGGCATCCCACCTTTGAATGGGCGCTTAAACGACACGAGGCGATCGAGGGCATGTGGAAGAGATTTGACGCGGCGAAAAAGTAGATAGATAAAGACCTAGCTAGGGCCTATGCCGCGGTCATCGATCGCCACCAGCTTCAACGCACTTCCTGAATATACTTGAAACGAGATCCCACGGCCAATTCTCCTACTGTGATACGGAATGGGCCTCTTGCCTTGCAAAAAGACCGACATCGCATAGATCGACGGACATCCAGCAGGCTGCAGATGTCGGCCGAGTGTTGTTGGAGACATCCAGAGAACCGAAGTAGATGTAAACTTGAAAAATACCAGCTCATCCCACGTAATTGCAAAGTATCCCCCGCCGCTGACACAATCAGGCTGCGTGATGGTGTGACGCCGATTATCCGGCAGCTCCAAACGCCCCAACTTTGGGGTCTCGGCGAAGACCTCAGAAGGACGCTCGATGGCGTGCAGAGACGATCGCTCTGACAGGCCAGATCCCCGCATTGGCGAGCGAGAGGCCGTGGACGACGCCATCTCGTTCAGGAACGGGGATATTAATAGCTGGAATCGCAGGTGTGTTGTGAAGATGCGTGGATTGCATATCAGTCTATCAGGTAGAGCGTTTCGATATGGCTGCCGCTAAAGGACCCGTCGTGGCGACGACAACGTTGCCTCTGTCTCATGGAAATCCCGCGGTGCATAGTCCTCGAATCGGCGAACCTGCTCCCACGACGAAGCCAACGCCCCAGAACCGACCGGCCTTTGAGATTGAAGAACATCCCATTGACCAAGTGCGACCGATCAAAGTCGGCGTCATTGGCGCCGGTCTGGCCGGTGTCAACGCGGGCATTCTACTTCCTGCGAAGTTGCCTGGGCTGGACCTGAGGATCTATGATAAGAATGCTGACGTGGTAGGCTATCGCGCGAACCCAAAACGACGTCTGGAACCAATTGACTAACGAGAATAGGGTGGCACTTGGTTTGAAAACACCTACCCCGGCGTGCGATGCGACATTCCAGCCCACGTCTACCAGTCAGGTTTCTCACCCAACACGCAATGGACGGAGGAATTTGCTCAAGGTGCGGAGATCCGTGACTATTGGCAGAGCGTGGCGCGCAAGTACGACGTCTACAAGTATCTTCGACTGCAGCAGCAGGTCGAGAAGGCCGAGTGGATTCCCCAGCAGGGCAAATGGCGGGTTACCCTGCTGGATCTGAAGGAGAACAAGGTACATACCTTACGCGCTTCTCTGAAGAACAACCGGTGCTAATATTTGTAATGCTGGTAGACTTACATAGAGGAACTGGATGTGGTCATCCATGCGATCGGCCACTTTAACGCCTGGAAACTGCCCAACTACGAGGGAATCGACCAGTTCCAAGGACCCTTGTTCCATTCCTCCAACTGGCAACACGACGTGGAATTGAACGGCAAACGCATCGCGCTCATCGGTAACGGGGCCTCCGGTCTGCAGGTACTGCCATCGATCCAACCTATCGCCGAGCATGTCGACCACTACGCGCGCAATCGCACCTGGGTGGCCGACTCCTTCGGTACTACCGGTGTGCGCCGTCTGGAAGCCAACCTGTTCACTCCGGAGCAACTTGAATCATTCAAGGACCCAGAAAAATACATCGAGTACCGCAAGTCGATCGAGCAGGGCTACTTCTCCCGCTTCGGTGCCGTGTTCAAAAACTCGGCGGAGAACCAAGAACTGCGCGACAAATGGACGCAGCTGATGCTGGGACGTATTGGCGACAAGCCCCAGCTAGGCGACAAGCTTATCCCTGAGTTCCCGCCAAACTGCCGTCGCGCGACGCCGGGGCCGGGGTATCTTGAGGCTCTGACAAAGCCCAATGTGAGCTACATCCAGGACCCCATCCAAAGATTCACTCCCACGGGCATCGTGACTGCGGATGGCGAAGAACGACCGGTAGACGTAGTCATCTGCGCTACCGGAGCCAATGTCGACCATGCGCCTCCTTTCTCTGTCATCGCCGGTGGCGTCGACTTGAAGACGGCATGGAAGCATGACGGGCTTTGGGGATTCCCTTATAACTACCTCGGTGTTGCCACTCCCGGCTTTCCCAACCTCCTCTGGATTGGAGGCCCTCATGCTACAGGCCACGGGGGCAGCGTGCCCAACAGCCTCGAGAATCAAATCACATATATCGCCAAGATCCTGCGCAAGGTGCGCAGCCAGGGAATCAAAGCCATCGCGCCCTCGAAAGCCGCCACCGACGATTTCGTGGAATACTGCGATACCTTCTATCCTCGCACCGTGTGGACGGGAAACGACGACTCAGCTCCTGGCCAGAAGAACTGTCGCTCGTGGTATAACGGCGGCCGTCCCGGAGGCCGAATCCACGGACTGTTCCCTGGAAGCGCTACTAGTCTGAACTATCTGCGCCGAGATCCGCGCTGGGAGGACTGGGAGTATGAATATACCAATCCTAGCGGCAACCGATTTGCGTACTTTGGGAATGGATGGCGGACGCGAGAGAAGACGAAGGATGCGGATTTGACGCCGCATGTGGTTCGGCCGGAGGAGGTTGATCTGAGGACTTATATGGAGGGCTGGTGGGATGTGTAGATACTCCGTTGAAGGATGATTGAATTCATTTGGCCCGTTACTAGACTGTTTGGATTTTATGAATGAGACGATGATTCCTTATTTTCTACCCTCATTCCTCCGCCGCATACTTCGGCCGTTCCTCGCCTTGTTTCCAGAAATACTTCGCTCCAGGATGCGACTCGGGCAATCTCGCATGACCCTTGGTCTCATACATGTTCTCACGGAAAGTCCCTCCAGGCACTGAGTAGTCGGAGTGGAAGATGCCCCGCTTCTGCAGTTCGGGGACGAGATACTTGATGATATCGTCAAACGTATCCGGTACACTGGCATAGCTCAGGTTGAAGCCATCGACATCTGCTACTTCCACCCAGCGTTCCAGTTCATCCGCCACCGTCGTGGCACTCCCGATGATCTTGGCTCCGTTGCCTCCCATGATGAGATACTCTGCGATAGTCTTCTTGTCCCATTTCTTCCCCTCCGTGCCCGGCACCGTGCTGGCCCAGTGGTTGACCATGCTGCGAACCGCGGGCTGCTCCACGAAACGGAAGTCCTGATCGTCATCCCACTTCGAGAGATCGTACCCTGACCAGCCACCGAAGAGAGCAAGCGCGCCCTCGCGATCGCCGTATTTCGCGAGCTCCGCGAACTTGGTATAGGCTGCTTCGTCCGTTTCGGCCACGAGCACCAACAGTCCGGCGACCACCTTGATGGCGGACGGATCACGACCCAGATCCTTCGCCTGCTGTCGCACAGCATCCACCGACGGCCGTACCAGCTCCGGTTTCTGTCCGTTCAGGAAGATCGCTTCTGCATGCTTCGCGGCAAAAGCTTTCCCCGCCGTCGAGGTGCCCGCCTGTAGCAAGAACGGCGTGCGCTGAGGACTGGGCTCGCAGAGATGCGGACCCGGCACCTCGAAGTATTTTCCCTTGTGGTTGATCTGGCGAACGGCTTTGGGGTCGGCGTATCCGACCACACCGTCGCGAACATTCACGGCGTCGTCGCGCCAGGATGCTTCCCACAACTTGTAGGTGACGTCGAGGTATTCGTCGGCAATTCGATACCGCTCGTCATGTTCCACCTGCGTGTTCAACCCGAAATTCCGCGCTGCTGAGTCCAAGTACGATGTGACGATGTTCCACCCCACGCGGCCCTTGCTCAGATGGTCGACCGTCGAGAATCGTCGCGCCAACGCGTACGGCGCGTCGTAGGTCGTCGATGCGGTCACCCCGAACCCGATGCTCTGGGTGGCTGCGGCCATGGCCGGGATACTGTACAGTGGATCGTTGATCGGGAATTGCGCGCCCGCGGGAATCGTCGGGTCCAGGTTTGCAGGCCCCTTGTAGACGTCGTATCCGCCCAGGACGTCGGCGAAGAAGATGGCATGAAATTTGGCAGCCTCGAGCTTTTGTGCTATACTAACCCAGTTTTGCAGTGACTTGTAGTTGTGTCCTTGGTCGCCAGGATAGCGGTGCAAGCCCGGGTTCAGGTGCGAGGGCGATTGCATGGCGAAGGCATTGAGAATGAGTTGCTTCTTGGGCGCGTCGGAACCCATTTTGCGCGGTATTTGTGAGAGTAACGTATCAGGATATGAGTATACTGGATCACAAAAACAACTTTATCTACATTCAGAATAGTTGTACTGAGGATTAAATAGGAGTCTCATATGGATGCGACAGATTGTGCTCGGGTGGAGCGGGTCTGGATACTCGTGTTGACACAACAAGAGGCATAGACGAGACCGACAGGGACCGACAACCCCATTTCCCCTCGTAACCCCTCCTCGGCATCGTTTCCACCGGCGGGTACAAGTTGCACAGGCATTAGAGAAGAGCCAATGTCCCACCGAGCGCAAGGCGAATCAGCGCGACTGAAGGCGTGCGCGCCCGGATTGATTGCGCGAGACTCCCCCGCGATGGTGATACCGTTGGGGTACTCCAACTCGTCGACGCATCCCGAACGAGACTATCGGCGATATGCATTCATATTATCAATTTGATGCTCTCATGCGCGACGCATCGGGGGAGATGACGATATCGGATCTCTTAGGGCACGGCCAGCCCCGTGCCGCTCTCATCAGGAAGTATGTAAGTTGACGTCGTTCATTGATATCGTTTTATCTCCCATCTATCACGTAAACCCTGAAAGATCTCTATCTACATATTCATAGTAATAGTGTATCAACATAAATCAAGCAAAAATGGTCGCCCTCAGATTTACTGCGTCCCCAGATCGACGACGATGCGTTTTCCCGACGCCGTGCCCTGCCGCAGAATCTCCAACGAGTCGTTGATTCCCGCCAGTCCACCCTCTGCTCGAACGATTTCCGGCAGCTGGAGAGTACCGGAGTCTAGTAGTCGCTCTAACCAGGATACCATGGCCTCGCCCACGGCCGGCGACGAATGGAATAGTTTGATGGGAACAGTGTGATGCGTAATGTTCTCGCCCTTCTCCTTGGGCAACCCCGTCAGTCCAAGCAGATGGGCGTGAGAGCCATCGTCCCGCGGCGAGTTATCCAGCGCCTGTTCCAAGATGGTCGCAGTATCTTTGCCGACAATGTCGATCGCATATCGTAGCTTGCCGTTGGTGATGCCGCGGATGATCTCCACGGCGCGTTGTGAATCGTGGCGGTCGACGAGGGCATCTGCACCCAGCTCAATGAGTTTGGCGCCGTGTCGGGCAATATCGGCGACGCAGATGACTTTGAGCCCGGCCATTCGTGCGAGTTGGAGTGTGATGTATCCCGTCGTAGTAGAGGCTAGACTGGTCAGTTCGATCTTGCAGAAAGTGAATGATCCTCAGGGGACTCACCTCCCCAGATGGCAATCCAGTCACCCTTCTGCGGTTGCTCGGCTTTCTTAGAGGACTTGAAGCACTCTTCCTGAATATCCAGCGGAATTTCCTCTCTGCTGATTTGATGTACCACTTCCACCAAGTTGGGTCCGGGCGACGGCGAGGCCTGCGAGAGGTCAAGGCCTAGGGACACACCCAGTGCCAACACGGAGGCCACAAAGGCAACGCCGAGTGACGCCGAGGCGTGAACACACCCCCTCGAGGGGATCCGTGCTGCGTTGAAATGAGTGGCCACGGCATACTCCTGGAAGGCAGCCTTACGGATGTCGCGATAATCGGTGGATGGAACCAAGACCAGGTCACCCTGCTGCACGCGGGCCGATGCGTCTGCCTCGACAACGATGCCGGCAAGGTCTCGTCCATTCACCCAGGGTAGACTGGGAATGCCGAAATTGAACGCCCTACATACCACATGTGTTAGCGAAGCATGGACCACAGTCAAGACGGATAGACTTCTTACGGGCCCTTCCAGTCGATCGGGTTCAGACCGATCGCCAGAATCTGCACGGCATCAGCGATGTTTCGGTGGAATGAAGGCACGAGAAACAGACCTTGACTAGAATCTCATCCTTGGTCCGCGTGGATGGGATGGTATGATCGGTGACCAGCGTATATTGCTCGCGCGCGGCTTTCAGTAGCAGTGCACTCTGAGTGGTTCGGGGCTGCGGTGGTCTGATGGTCTCGACCGGAGAATGTATAAACGTCGGATTATAACTATATTCGGGTCCTTGTTCGATCACCAGTTCGTGGTGGAAGACGGCGTGGTGCTTTTCGTCCAGCGATGCCGGAGCATACGTGGTGGATATCGTAGTCATTGTGCATGCAGATAATAAATAATTCTAGCCCACAGAGGTCAAAGAGCCACGGCGATGTTTGATAGAATCAAGTCACCCTAGATGGGAATCAAGTATATTTCTGTCTAGGTGCTTGCATGGCCCATGGATATACACGCCCTCCGCTTAACCGCCACCAGGACCATTACAAATCGCTACTTGACGATAACGCCCGTCTTTGCGTGTAATTTGCAAAGTGTATTTTGCGATTTTTTCTCTGGTCGGAACTCGCCTTCATTGCGAATGGCGGGGCTGGAATGACGTGACGGGGGATTGTCGCCGTTCCAAAGAACGTCCCTTGCGTCACGGTCTGTGCGGTTTGTCGTATCTCTATGAAGGGAGGATCGGCCTCGGATATGGAAATCGAAATCTTTGGGATTACTGAGCCATGGGTCTGGTGGCACATCATGCCGAGAGCAGTGAGCGCAGCTTTGCAGTACGCAAATAGGCTTAACGGATAAGATGATGTGATATTGGTTATCAGGCACTCCATCCCTCGGGTGATCTAAGGGCTCCAGCATGATTTTGTCCGTGGACTGTGCCCTTCTCCTTATTGTCAATTGATTTTCTCCTGAACTCATGAGAATCAATTCCAATGGACAAATCCCTTTCTGGTCGAATCGATCGAACCCCCTGTGCTCAATCAGGGGCCACCTACCGTACATTCACAACCCAAGCTATGAATATGACCCGGATCCTCCAAGCCAGCAAAAGAAACGTGAACAGCTCATCTGATCCTTCCAATCGGCTTACACTCGCCGTGCCAATGGCTGTCTCCCATTCATAAGTACCGGGATGCACGCATAACTTCAGGCCGGGATGACGTGCCTGGCATCCACGGGGATTACTGAGCTGACCTGTCTCTTGGTACCTTGCTTGGTAATTGCCCATCTTCGCCTCGATGTCACATTGCTCAGAAACACTATATGACACTGCCACCCGGTACACGCAGTCGGTTGACTGCTTTTGTTCCTCACTGGCGACTATTTCATGCGCAAAATGGCCGACACCGAACACCAGCCACTGCTCGAAGCCGCGTCGATACAATATGACTCCCTGCGCGACCCATCTCCCAGTCTCCCTCCCGATGAATTTGGCCTCAGTGTTCAGAGCACGCTCCCTGGGACAGCACCGGAAGGCAAGACCCTCACCTGGTCCAGCGCGTATATCCTCGTCGTATCGCGGGTTATCGGTAGCGGCGTGTTTGCAACGCCGGGCTCAATCGTCAAGTCGGTCGGGAGCGTCGGATTGACTCTGTTGGTATGGCTGGTCGGCACCATTCTGGCGGCCTGCGGACTCGCCGTGTCCATGGAATACGGATGCATGTTGCCTCGGTCAGGCGGAGAGAAGGTAGATATTCATGGGCACTTCCGAGGGGTATGGAGCCCACAGAATTGATGTTCTCCGCAGGTGTATCTCGAGTATACCTATCCTCGGCCGCGATTCCTCGCCTCGACTCTCATCGCTGTGCAGGCCGTGGTGCTGGGGTTCACGGCGAGCAACTGCATCATCTTCGCCAAATACACCCTGTTCGCCTTTGATATCGAGCCCACCGAACTGCAACATAAAGCTCTGGCCGTCGGATTGCTTACGGCGATTACCATCGTACATGGCTGTTTCCTCAAAACGGGCATATGGATCCAGAACGTGCTCGGGTGGGTAAAGATCTTCTTGGTTGCGGCCATGTCGTTGACAGGGCTATGGGTGATTCTCTTCCGACCGTACGGAGACTCGATCGGAGCGTCGCAAACAGGATCTGACTATCCTTTCGCGTGGGACACGGTGTGGGAGGGCTCGAACTGGAGCTGGAGCTTGTTTTCCACCTCGCTGTTCAAGGTGCTCTACTCGTACACCGGTCTGAACAATGTCAACAACGTCCTCAACGAGGTGCAAAATCCCGTGCGTACCTTGAAGACCGTCTGTCCAGCGGCTTTGTTTACCGCATGTGGCCTGTATCTGGTAGCCAACGTGTCTTATTTCCTGGTTGTGCCGCTAGAGGAGATCAAGAACAGCGGCGAGCTTGTGGGTGCTCTCTTGTTTGAGCGTCTTTTCGGGAATCATATCGGAAGGACGCTTTTTCCTTTAGCCATCGCCATATCTGCTGCGGGGAATGTTATGGTAGTGACTTTTGCTTTGGTATGTTCGTCGCTCGAACTGCTGAACTAGTGTGTACTAACAACCACAACAGGCCCGAGTGAATCAGGAGATTGCTCGACAGGGGTTTCTGCCTTGGTCAAAGGTGCTCTCCTCGTCTCGACCATTCCACACTCCTCTAGGCGGTTTGATCGTTCACTACGTACCCTCGCTCCTGGTTATCTCTCTCCCGCCACAGGGGGATGTCTACAACTTCATTCTCGACGTTGAGGGCTATCCCGGTCAAATCTTCGCGCTGGCCGTCACGGTCGGCTTGCTGCTCGTTCGACGACGTGAACCCTTTCGTCTGCGTCCGTTCAAGGCCTGGCTACCGGCAGTGTGGCTACGTATCGTGGTCTGTCTGGCTTTGTTGGTCGCTCCCTTTATCCCTCCACCAGACCGGAAGGGTGATGTGCACTTCTTCTACGCGACGTATGCGATTGTAGGGGCTTCTGTGTATGTATGACACCTCCTTGCCCGAGACAGAGCTAATTATGATAGTGTTATTTTTGGCATTCTCTACTGGTACGTATGGACAAGGCTACTCCCCCACTGGGGAGGCTACAAACTGGAAGAGGAGGTCGACGTATTGGATGATGGCACCAGCATTACCAAGCTGGTTCGGTCGCATGAATAAGAAACAGTAAAGGAACCGTGCTTATTTCAAGATATTCGCAATAGAACGCATTAGGAATCAACATTATTCAGCTGAAATGCCATAAACCTATCCATTATTAATGTTAGTACCCCGTATGATTCGCTCCTGGCTCGCTCCCATGACAGCCACGCATATGCATGACCGTTGCCAATCCACGCATCCAATGATGCTCATTTGGATTTATCAGCGTTGCCTGAATTTGTGATTGACTGTACACCCTGGAAGATGGCGTGCTAGCCTGACAAATGCATTGCTGTTCCCCGCCTCTTGGATATAAAGTCAAGCTTGGACGGCGACATGTGGTAGGTATATCAGAATCATCACTATCGTCAAGATCATCAACAGACATTCATCTTTACATTCGCTGTCAGCCCACGTGTCGCAATGGCCTCTGCCGCAGTCCAGCTTCCTACCGGTCCCGGTTCTTCTCTCCTCACGCAAAAGTCCCAAGCCCCCATCCAGACCTCTGATAAGCCGCACCACGTTCAAACGAACCTACATTTCGTCAAGGAGCTGCCGGACGGATCACATCTCGCTCCGAGCTATGTCGGGAAGCCGGAAAGCTATGAACGGCCCTCTGCGGAAGTCCCGGTGACGGTGCACGACGTTAGCGGCCGTGAGCTGGACTATACGCTGGACGGTAATGGGTTCCAGTTCTACTACCACGAGAGCAAGGAGAAGGATTTTGTCGACGACGAGAAGATCAAGAGGGAGTACTATCCCGAGGTGGAGCAGCTTCTGAAGGATGCGTAAGTTTGACTCGGTGTCTTCCACCGTGGCGCCCCTTCCTGACGTCCCCAGGACCGGCGCTTCGAAGGTCTTCATCTTCGACCACACCATCCGTCGACCGGCCGAGAATCCCGATACTCCCGCAGGACAGCTGCGTGGACCCGTGCAGCGTGTGCATATCGATCAATCATACTCCGCGTCCAAGAACCGCGTCACGTATCATCTTCCCGACGAGGCGTCCGAGCTCCTCAAGGGACGGTTCCAGATCATCAACGTCTGGCGTCCCATCAAGACCATCTTGAAGGATCCCCTGGCCGTGGCCGATGCACACTCGGTGCCCGACAGCGACATCATTCCCGTCAAGCTGATCTATCCCAACCGGGAGGGCGAGACTTGTGTTGTCCGGCCGAACCCCGACATCAAGTGGTACTACCGCTACGGGCAAACCCCCGACCTCGTCACTTTGATCAAGTGTGCGGACTCGAAGACCGACGGTCGGGCGAGGCGAGTTCCTCACACGGCGTTTGTGAACCCGGACACGGTGAACGAGGAGCCGAGGCAGAGTATTGAGGTTCGCACGCTGGTCTTCCATCCGGATGATCGCGACTAGAAGATGGATGGCCGGCGACGAGAGATGAGACATGCCAGGAAGGATCCAGAATGACGCACGAATGGCATTTCATGACATAGTATTATCAGTTGATTGATAACGAAATTGCAATTATTTTGACTAGTTGGAATGGAGTATTTCATCCTTGGGAGCAATCCATGATTCATCACGTCAGGCCCGGTGGAGAATGTCCACGAGCCGTCAGGAACCCATCGTTAACGACTCCAACGATCGTAGAGACGGGGTAATTTTCAATTTCAGAGGCGAGATCGGGGTTCCTACTGAGTAGTCGACACGCTTATCCGGAGGCCAGAAAGCCGCCGCCGTGCCGCGCGATTGACAATTCCTACTAAAATGCCGTGCGAGCACGTAATCGCGCGCTCCAACGGCAACATCGCAGCCTCGGCCTTGTCTACGCGATATTCAAGCCTTCAAGGTCAGCATCTTGCACGGCAGGGGTGGATACGGAATGGCCATCGCCTTCTCCCATGCGTCGGTCTAGCCGGTTTGATATACGATGTGCAAGGGGATTAAATCGTGCAGCTCTGTCGTCGTGGAACGCCCATATAAAGATACACCTTGCCGGGCTCGCCAGCTATGCGCGACTCCTCCGACCGTGTCAGCTCTTACCTTAGCGCCAATACGGTAGATCTGCTACTACCATGGCTGCGGAAAAGGAATTCCGGCCCAGCGACGAAGAACTGGCTGACCAGTCGCTGCCGCAGTCGGGCACGCACCAGGGTAAGACCTTCCATGAGCGCGTCTCTCCTCGTGGACATGCCTAATTGAGTCAGTCAAATGGTATCGATCGACCTTCTATAATGCCCTGATTCTCGGACTCTGCAACTTCTTGGCCCCTGGCATCTGGGGCGCCATGAACTCGCTCGGCGGCGGCGGCGCGCAGGAACCGTACCTGGTGAACACGGCCAACGCGCTGACGTTCTGTCTGATGGTGGTATCGTGCTTCTTCGGCAGCGTCGTCGTGCACTTCATCGGCATCAAATGGACTCTGATCGTCGGCACCATGGGTTACGCGCCCTACGCGGCGGGTCTCTACACCAACAACCGCTTCCAGAGCGAGTGGCTGACCATCTTTGGCGCCGCTCTCTGCGGGCTCTCGGCGGGCATCTTCTGGATGGCCGAAAGCGCCATCGCGCTCTCCTACCCGGAGCCCTACAACCAGGGGCGATTTCTCGGATTCTGGCTGAGTTTCCGCGTGGGCGGCCAGATCCTCGGTGGTGCCATCAATCTCGGAATCAACGCCAATCGCAACGAGGCCGGCAGCGTCTCGTTCACGGTATTCATCATCTTCATCGCCCTGCAAGCGCTAGGCCCGTTCGCCGGTTTGCTGCTCAACTCGCCGGAGCGTGTGCAGCGTAGCGACGGGCTGCCGGTTCGACTCCGGGTGGCGCAGAGCCCCTGGTTCGAGATCAAAGCGACGGCCAAACTGTTCGCGACGCGCAAGTTCCTGCTGCTGGTGCCGCTGATCGCGCAGGCGGCGTACAGCGAAGCAGTCATGTTCACGTACCTGTCGCTGTGGTTCTCGGTGCGCGCGCGGGCGCTCGGCTCGTTCCTCTCCGGGATCACGGCGCTGACGGTCGGGAATCTGCTAGGCGCGTTTCTCGACCGCACTCGCATCCCGCTGAAGATCCGCAGTCGCGGCGCATTCACGGTCATCTTGGCGTTGCAGGGCGTGTGGTGGATCTGGGGGACGATCGTGACGACGGAGTATCGTCGCACAGGGCCGACGTATGACTGGGCGGACGAGGGGTTCGGACGAGCGTTCGCGGTGTATCTGTTCTGGGTGATGGGCTTCCAGCTGAATTACATGTTCCTGTCAGTGATTTGTATTGGATTGGGATCGAGGGATTAATGCTAACACGCCATCAGGTACTTTATCATCGGCAATCTGGCGGACGACGAGGAGGAAATCATTCGCGTGGCCGGTCTCCTGCGTGGCACCGAGTCAGCGGTGCAGGCCGTATCGGTAAGTTCATTGTCCCTCTTTCTCTCTTTCTCTGCCTGTGCGATCCAAGGCTAATCGACGCAGTACGGGCTCAGCAGCGTGGCGGTCATGGCGTCGGTGGGAGACATCTATCTCAACTTCGGGCTGTGGGCGCTGTCGGTCGTGCCGGCATGGATTGTCGTGCGGGAATTTGGGGTGTCAGGAGAGGACAAGAAGATCGAGCGCGAGCGACGGTTGGCGGACGGCGAGTGATAATTTCGTATTGACTTGATGTTTCGATAGAAATGAACGGTGCGTGTAGTCCGCAGGAAGTAAACAATTCCCGGGGAGGACGAAGAAACATCACCTTCCTCCGCTTGTTATGTTACACTCTGTAGGGCCAAACCACTGAGCACTACGCATTATTTCTCGAGTGAGACTCTATATTCATGAAAGGCAATTCGAGTCTACGTGTTAGTTTAGTCTCTCGCGTTTCTCAACTATTCTGGAATTGAACTACGCTCATTGTGTTGGGTGGAACAAAGAAGCTCTTCCCTATACTCCCGCGGATATATATATCATGCCCGAGAGAGCAACCAACAGTGTTTTGAATTTCTGTTTACGTTTCATCTGAGTTCCAGATCCCGTTAAGAATCCCAGACAGCCTGAGAACCATTCGTGAAGCTTATGATGCTATTCTTAGCACGGGGTCGCATTACTCTTTCGGGAAGGACGGTTCCCCGGAGTCGACGGACCGTGTCAGAAGTCAAGATACAGGGTCTCTACTCTATACATGTGCAGCAGCGCGGAAAGCGCGGGGATCTGGGGAAGGCATTCACGGACCGGTTGGTAGAGATTCGAGACTCGAGACTTTAGTCGAGACTGTAGCACATACGGTGCAGTTCTGTACTCCGTACAGATCAGGACCGCCTTGCCTTTTCCGGACAACGCCGGGGCCGGGCCGGTTCCGCACACGTGATCGGAGTCATAGATGCAGTGTACATGCTGTCTTATCATGTTATCAAGTGTGTCTATTTGCTTTGCTTCCCTCCCCCTTGCATACGTTGTACGCCGAAATGTTACCCTACCTTCCTTCGACCCCCACCGGAACGAATCGACAATAGTCCTTCGAATCCCAGGGGCGTTCGGCATGTAGCCCGTGATAGCCGGCGCCTCTGAGCTGAAATTGACCTCCTTGGGGTCGGCTTGAGCAGCGTTCAACCGGTGATCGTCACGAGGCCGAACAAAATCATGGTATAGCGGACAAAGAACTCGACCACGCTCCATGGGGTGAAGCCGTCTCTCGTAATAAAGCACGACGCCAGGCATGAACACGAGTCCCGCTCTACTGGACCACGGTAGAACTGCGTGCGATAAGGCAGTGTGGACTAGAGTGGAGGATTGAGGGGAGGAGACAAGTTGCCTGCATTATTGGCTGGGATGGTGGTCTGGGAGCCCTCGTAGAGTACACTACAAGCCATGCAGACGGCCACGGAGGGATGGTCGTGGTTTCCAAACGTAAGGGCGTTGCTACCTAGCGACGGGCCATCGGATGAATTCGCCGCTCACGGGCATGTAGGTGGCCATCTCGGTCACGGTATCGTTCACGTTGGCTCAAATCTTGATATAGACCGCAAAGGCTAGAAGAAGGGACCGCCTTGGGGGACTTGCTGAGTGTCGCTGTCCAGTGAACTGGTGTCAATTGATGGATGGTATCTTGCAAAGGGGACATGGTCGGCGTCCAATGCAGGCTCGCATGAAAGGAATGAACACCCGGAAAAGAGGAATGAACCAGAAAGAGCACCAGAACATCGCAGAGCCCCATGCGCAACTATCTCCATCCCGTGCCTACCATACAGCCGGAATGCTGCCCAACTGCCCGTGAGGGAAGAGATGTTTCGCAGGATTCTGCGGAGCCAAAATGGGCAAAACTGAAGATGAAACCCCTGTAATCCAAACTGCAAGCCGTATAATTGGCGCGGGCATTGTCCCTGCAGCGCCGTTCTGGCAGGTCGACGGTGGAAGTCTTGCCTTTTTCGGGGCAAAAACGGGGGCCATCGCCACTATCGGCTCGGTGGAGATCAGCCGGACTGATAGACGCGGTCGTCAAACCGACAATGCCGTGATAAGCATCCAGCCCGACCTGGACGATGTAATCATGACTCTGGCCCATCGGCAGCCACACGGTTGGGTCCGCGCAGCCGATCCCATGATCGGAGCCAACCCTACTTCCTGCCCGTGTTGAGTCTGTTTTGTCTGTCTTGGAAGCGTTCAAGGGAGTGCCGTCACTGATAAGCTTCGAGTATATAGGACGTCTGCCATCTCGAGACAATGGCAGATAGAATAACAAGCAAGTCGATCAATTTAATTCTCTTCTCATCCCCAGAACTCTCCTCTCTTCCGACAAAGACTTGTCTTTTGTCTTGATAACCGTCACCATGACATCTGTGCTCAAGAACTACTTCGGCCTGGGCAAGGTCACCGCCACCGAAGTCTCGGCCGATGACGACAGCAACGCGATTCGTGCCCTGCCTGCCTCCTGGTACACCTCCCAGGAGATGTACGAGCTCGAGCGCCGAGCCATCTTCTCGAAGAAGTGGCTGCTCACCACCCACAAGCTGCGCCTGCCCAACACCGGTGACTGGCTCAGGTACAACATTGCCAACTACGCCTTTATCCTGGTGCGCGATCGCGAGGGCAACATCAACGCCTTCCACAACGTCTGCCGCCACCGGGCCTTTCCCGTCGTGACCGAGGAGGGCGGCACGGCGCGCATCTTCTCCTGCAAGTACCACGGCTGGTCCTATGGCCTCAACGGCAAGCTGGCCAAGGCACCCGGCTACCAAGAGCTGGAGGGCTTCGACAAGAGCCAGAACGGCCTGCTGCCCATCCACGTGCACGTCGACACCAACGGTTTCATCTGGGTGAACCTGGACGGCGGCGACAAGCCTGAGATCTCGTGGGAAGAGGACTTCCAGGGTATCGACCTGCAGCCCCGCCTGAAGGAGTTCAACTTTGAGGACTACCATTTCGACCACCACTGGGAGATGGAGGGCGCCTACAACTGGAAGATCCTGGCCGACAACTACAACGAATGCTACCACTGCGCCACGACGCACCCCGACATCCCCTCCATCGCCGATCTCAGCACCTACGCTGTCGACACCAAAGACAATAGCATCGTACACTATGCCAACTCCAAGCCGGAGCAGATCGCCGCCGGGCTGAAGATTGCTAGCACCTACTACTTCCCCAACGCCTCCATGACCGTCTCGTAAGTATTGACTGTCTCCTCTTTCTCCCTTCGTCGCTTCATGCAGACCAGACCAGTACTGACCCGGAGAATAGCCCTCACTTCTTCTTCATGCAGCGCTTCGTGCCCAGCAGCCCCACCACCTGCGAGATGCGATATGAAGTCTACCGCAACAAGAGCTCCAGCGACGAGGACTTCGACCGCATCAATCAGATCTACAAGCGGGTGATGTCCGAGGACAAGTACCTCTGCATCGAGGCTCAGAAGAACATCAACACCGGCGTCTTCATCAACGGCGAGCTGCACCCCCGGTTGGAGAAGGGACCCTTGTTCTTCCAGGCGGCGGTGCGCGAGATCGTGCAGGCTCACCACAAGCGCGAGGAACTGGTGGGACAGGAAATCTGGCCGGCTCGCCAAACGTTACCCGGAAAGGCACAGGTCAGTCGCGAAGACGAGGATTTCGCCGCGAAGGTGGCCCGCACGAGTCAGGCCAACAAGGAGAGCTGCGACTCGATGGCGCGCGAGGCCGACGGCTGCTGCGGTGGAGTCTGCAGTCAGACGCCGAACGCAGCGCTGGCCTACTAATCCTGTTTTTTTTTTTTTTTTTTTTTTTTTTTGTTCACGAATAACGATATTCTATTACCTTCACCTTGCATGTTTCCTTTGGCCCACTTTTCATCCCGTGTCTGCGATAAGATTGCCTGTTTATTTTAGTGTCATAATTTATCTAGATTCAGTCCGTACTATTTACCAATCACACTGAACTTAATCGATATCAACAACTGCTCCCATGGATTGAACGAACTCTGTCGGTTGACTTGGTCATTGCCCTAAGCAGATATCCTATCGATTCAACTGAATATAGGTATATGCTCGGTGGGT